ACTGGGAACCCTACGTATTGAAGAAAATATTATCGGCGGAGCCGTCCCATTCGTGCCCTTTTGCAGAGCTGGTTGGGGACTCGCGGAGTTCTTGCTCGGGATCCGCGATTCACGAGGCGTGTGTCCGCCGCGCGCCGCGCGCCGACGCCCGCCCTCGCATGGCAAGCAGGGTCGGCTCTAATTCTAGATCAAGTTTAAGAAGATATTTTGTGTGCATACAGCGCTCTCGCTATACTCGAATAGTTTGCGATTAAGCATGTAGAGGGGCGTGACTGTGACGATAGGCGTCACGGATTTCTTTTGAAAAAAAGTATAAGATATAGCTCATCGGAGACTCTGGGGCATGTAGGTTGCAGCTCTGCGTGTATGCAGAGCGTTTGCGCGTCATAAGACATTTTAATATTAATGCGACACAGCATCAGAGCTCGTTAAAGAAATCATTATACCGCAAGGTTTTCCTCGTGTTTGCGTATGACGGACAGCTCCTTCTCCCTACGCTCTTTTGCGATTCTTTACTGCTTTCGCTGTAGCATTTTATAATCTTTAGTTTATTTTATTGTTGTGATACTTGGGTTCACTTTAAATTAAATTTTAAAATTAGGATTCCTGAACCTTCCTAAAAGCACTTGAACGAGCGTTTAGCGGCTTTACACCATGAGAGTTAAGAAGATTGGGTAAGACCCCCGGTCTCTTTGCTTTCAACAGTGCATTTTCTTGTAGAGAAGGTTTGCAATTTTTTCCGCCATCGACTGTACCCAAATCGATAAAAAAAGCGTACTAATCGAATTGAACTACGGTGACGCTATTTAATTTTTAGCACTTCATGCATGCTTCTTTTCTACTTCATAATTAACTATTGATCTAATACAATCTTGCATAGGTTGAGTGTGTCTTACATCCATGTCATCATTAGGCAAACATCCCGAAGAAGCTCTCTGCCGCTTCCGCCAAAGATTAAAATGAGTTATAACGGTACATAGACATTGCAACATTCCGTTTAACCGATTAATTAATTTAGTGCTCGTTGTTTCCATTGGCCCACGGGTATTGTTTATACGACTAAATCCGACGAGGGTGATTGGCTATATAGAAAACATCTTTAGCTTATAGTTCATAAAATATTGCTTAGTTGGTATAGGATGACCGCCTTAATTGAATGCCTTATCTTATTTCTAAATCTTATTTAATTTTTTCCCGAGCCCTGTGTCATAAATATAGATTTGGCGAATTCCCACTCTAGTACTATACATTCAGGTAATGGTATTAAGTGCCTCGCTTAAGATCAAGATATTCTACGATCATTTGGGACACACAATTGGCACAATTAATTCTCGTATTTATACAATTTTGGTGCACTCCATACTGCGCCTATTATATACATAATATAGCTACTTGGTATGTGTTATGTGCAGTAAAAAGACTCGCAATAATTTAACCAAGGTCTTATCAAATCATTTGTTTGTCGACAGTATATTCTCCCCCAAACTATTCGTATAGACATATATTATCATTTGTGACATCAACTATCGGACAGAAGACCATTCGCTTCGTGTTAATAGAGAACCTGCAATTCTCTTCCTATAGAGCTTTAGAAAGCGTGTATTATCATAAGATACAACTATTATTTACCCACACTGATTCTTCGCGCGCACTCTCGTGCGTCTCACTCTAAGATTTCTGATTAAAGCATGGATGGTTCTATAGTACTGTGTTAAACTCTTTGATCTGAAGTGGATTTCTACGATGGTGGCAGTTGCGGAGATATTGTATTACACTTGAAACTCTGACTCTCATCATTTTAGCGCCTCCTCCTACTCTCATGCTCTCTTGCTATCCTCTATATGTTTCACTCTTTTTTAATATAGAGTTCTATGGAATATGCCTTTGACAAATGCTAATTATTGTCCTATCTATATTTATTCATTATTAGAGCTATATAATAGCATATTTTTTGCTGTGAGTGAGATCAATTATTTTCTAGGTGTAGAGTACAATCCTTCAGCCGGAGAAACCCCGTCCTAGAGCACTGAGTGTACTATATCAATCTGTTACATTCTATTTTCAGGGAAAGTCAACACTTTAACCCGGACTTCTATGTGGGCTGCTGCTTGGTATTATTGCACAAGAAAGTGCGGGGTGGATGGTCCGTATTGACTGACACCCGTCAGATGAGGCAGAGCGTGGTATCACCATTAAATCTACCGGCATCTCGCTATACTTATTTGAGATGTCTTGATTGAAAGCCCTCAAGAGCTTAAGGGGGATAGACATGGAAATGACTATCTCATCCAATCTCATTGATTCTCCCGGAACACGTTGGATTTTCATCCGAGTCACTGCTGCTCTGAAATTTACTGATGGTGCCCTGGTTGTGGTGGACTGTTATTGAGGGCAGTTTTTGTGTCCAAACAGAGACTGTGGCTTCGCCAGCTTTGGTGAAAGGATTAGGGCCTGTTTTGACCGTCAAACAAGATGGAAGGTGCTTCCTTGAGCTGCAGGGTCGCAGATGGCGAGGAGCTATATCAGACGTCTCAAGGGTCATTGAAAATGCAAATTCATCATGGCTACTATGAAGATCCCTCCTTGGTGATTTTCGTGTTCCACGCGCTCCTCGCGCGCTGTTTTTTGCGCATTTTTCAGTCTGCTTCTGGTTTATAGACATTGGTGGGGATGTGGCTGTCTCACTCTTGACGAAACATATATGTGTCATAGCAGGCTATACGCTCCTCGAAGTTTGGGTTGAACTGACATCCGACAGATGATGGAAAGGACTGCAGGTAGATACGCGTTGCAAGCTAATATCGTATCCCCAGCTAGCGCGCCTGACCAGCCAAGAGTACACTGTGGCTTCTCAACATGCCAAGCGTGGTTTTGTGCCAGTTTCTGTTTATGAGGCCCATCAAGCAGAGTTATTTAGGCCACTTTGCATGAATGACCAGAGGACAACTGTGGCCGCATGTGCCAAAAAGCTCGAAGGTGACAATGAAGTCCAGAGGAAAAGGATTTTTAATGGGCCAAGGCCTTTGATAGAAGACGTTGTTATGCAGACATTGGCTACCCTGCTAGTTAATGCTCTTCTAGAAAAAATGATGATTCTTTCCTCCCCTCTTCCTGCCAATTGCCCAGAAGTATCGTGGTTGAGAGAACTTGCTATTGAGGGTCCCCTTGATGATCCTTATGCAATGCTATCAGGAATTGTTGATCCAGAAGGCCCTCTCATGCCTTTTATGTGTTCTAAGATGATTCACTTCTGATTAAGGGTTAGATTCTTTTGCTATTTGGTCGTGTGTTCTCTGCAGAGGGTGGCAACTGGTCAAAAGGTTAGGATTATGGGTCCAAACTACCGTTCTGTTGAGAAAGAAGACTTGGTATTGAAAGAGTGTCAGAGAAAACTGTTATTTGGATGGAAAGAGGCAGGGAGACTGATGAGCGATGTTCCCTGCCCTGGTAAAACCGGTTTTGCCATGGTTTTGGTTTGGATCAAATTTATCACCAGAGTTAATGCTACTTTAACTAAACGAGAAGGGAAGTTTGATTGCCATCCCATTCGTGCTATGAAGTTTCTCTGATCTCACAGTCGCTGCTGCGGTAACACGGTTGCCATGGTTGGTTTGGATCAATTTATCACCAAGAATGCTACTTTAACTAACGAGAAGGAAGTTGATGCCCATCCCATTCGTGCTATGAAGTTCTCTGTCTCACCAGTCGTGCGTGTTGCTGTTCAATGTAAAGTTGCCTCTGATCTCCCCAAACTTGTTGAAGGTCTAAAGCGGTTGGCCAAGTCAGATCCTATGGTGGTGTGTACCATTGAGGAGTCTGGAGAGCACATTATTGCTGGTGCTGGAGAACTTCATCTTGAGATATGTTTGAAAGATTTGCAGGATGATTTCATGGGTGGAGCTGAGATTATAACATCTTCCCCTGTTGTTTCTTTCCGTGAGACCGTCCTTGAGAAGTCCTGCCGTGTTGTGATGAGCAAGTCCCCCAACAAGCACAACCGTCTTTACATGGAGGCCAGGCCTATGGAGGAAGGGCTTGCTGAAGCTATCGATGATGGTCGTATTGGTCCCAGGGATGATCCAAAGGCACGCGCAAAGATTTTATCGGAGGAATTTGGTTGGGATAAGGACCTTGCAAAGAAGATCTGGTGTTTTGGTCCTGAGACTACTGGACCAAACATGGTGGTTGATATGTGTAAAGGAGTGCAGTACCTGAATGAAATTAAGGACTCTGTTGTTGCTGGGTTCCAGTGGGCATCAAAGGAAGGAGCACTGGCTGAAGAAAACATGAGAGGTATCTGCTTTGAAGTCTGTGATGTGGTGCTCCACACTGATGCTATTCATAGAGGTGGTGGTCAGATTATTCCAACTGCTAGGAGGGTTATCTACGCATCACAGCTTACAGCCAAGCCCAGGCTTATGGAACCTGTTTACTTGGTGGAGATCCAAGCCCCAGAGCAGGCACTTGGAGGTATCTACAGTGTTCTTAACCAGAAACGTGGGCATGTCTTTGAGGAGTTACAGAGGCCTGGTACCCCATTGTACAACATCAAGGCATACCTACCGGTTATTGAGTCCTTTGGATTCTCAAGCACTTTGAGGGCTGCCACATCAGGACAGGCCTTCCCACAATCCGTGTTTGATCACTGGGAGATGATGTCTTCTGATCCAATGGAAGCTGGTACACAAGCATCAACTCTCGTGGCAGAGATTCGCAAGAGAAAGGGTTTGAAGGAGCAGATGACTCCTCTATCTGAGTACGAGGACAGGCTGTAATCATTTGTTGAGTGAGTGTGAAGATGATAAGACAATTTTTTTTGCTTACTTTTTTGTACTCAAGTTATTTTTTTTATTACTCTCAGTAGTAATATGTTGGGACTAGTCCTTTATATTTCTTCTAGTATTAAGGTCTACTGTGATGTTGTGGTACCTGGTATTCTGAATTTTGCCAACCATTTCAGGTTGATTATAATGCTCTTTTCATTTCAGGTTTTGCTTTCTTCAATAAACTCCTTTCTCCTCTTCTTTCTCAGCAGGTTTGAGTTACTTTGAACGCTTTCAGGTGCATGTGTCCTTGTATGAGGCTCATTCTTCTTATATATTAGAACAAGCAGGGATGGACACGTCAGTAAAAATTCGTAACTTTCCTTATAAATATCAAACTAGTAATTCTGTCAGAGCAGAGTGATATGAAGAAAATAAAAAGAGATTTAAAAGGGGCGTTAAGCAGAATTGATGTCTTTAGCCTGGAAAGAGATTCAAAAGGAGATTTATAGTTGGAAGTGTATGTATATTCAGCGTAATAATTTTGCCTTGTGATACAATTTCTGGTAATTTAATTTTAAATAAGTTAACAAATGCCCGACTTTCTTTAGCTTCCACACAGAAATTTTTCTCCCAATTGATTTTTGCCATTAGAACTGTTAGTATCCACATGAATAGAGTCAAAGGGGTTGCAAAATGTTTAAAAACTAATGCATATACAAATCATTTATCCAGAAATAACTGTATTGTCAAAAATTAGAAGTAACGAAAAATTGATTTCCGGGAAATATGAGAGAAATTTGGGTCACCTATTTTTTTATGGAAATTCATTTAAAATTTTATTTGGACGCCTTGTTTTTCCATCTAGAGTTTGTGATTATTATTATTATTATTATTTATTTTTCAAATATTTGGATGGAAAAAAACATTAGGTGAATTGATAGAATCAAAGAATAAAAGAAAATACGAAACCCTAAAAATGGAGATAAACAATCAAAATTAAAATTGTGAGATATCATTTAATAGATCAATGGAGAAGAATCTAAACTAATGGAAGAATGGACTCTATAACAAGTCAATGAAAAGAGAATTAGAAAGTAAAGAAAAATCTCATTGATTAATGCTAAAGAAATTATCAACGAAAATAGAACCAAAATTTTCATCGAACATAGAAGCAAATTGAACAAGAATATCAACCAAAATCTAAAAATTGAACGAATCATACTTGCGAGAAGAATTCACAACGAAACATAACTTCCATTAACGTTTTGTGGTGAAGATAACGCCAGAAACGAATAGAAACCAAGGTTAAGTAAAAGAGAGGAAAAATTTAACAGTCTTAGGCTGTCTGATCTACAGCTCTACCACCATGTTACGAAACTTAGCATTTGGAATTGAAGCTCTTAGTCATTTCTTTATATATATACTTCATGCGAGCAAAGACAAGATTGTTGGGAAGGTCATTTGCTGGAAAAACATATTTTACACCAAAAGAGGCAAAACCACTTATAAGCACAAGAGGATGCCATAAAAACAGCTTCTTGAGGCCAAAAATTAGATAGAAAACTCTAAAATAAGAGTTTCGTGGAGATTCAACAAAGCTTGAAAGATTTGGAGAAACGCCATCAACAAACAAAGGGAGATTTCACTTCAAGAGGGAAATTTAAGTTGCATCTTTATTGTTTTATTATGGGTTTCTTTCTTCTCCATCCTCTTGTATTGAATTTACAATTAACATGATTAAACCATTTTGTTAGTGCTGAGTTTAGTGTCCAATTTGAATGTTCGATATCTTTGATTTAACTTAAGTGTGCATTAATTAATGCTCATGAGTATCTTGATAACCATGATTGTATGATTTGAGACGTTTAAGTGATCTATTCAAAAATAAAATTTATTATTGGAACCCTTAGATGTTTAACTTTACGTTTTTAGACCTAGAAATAGACTAGATTGTTTTAGTGCTAAAGGGTTATGAAGGAGATTGTTAGGTTTCAATTAACATAAATACCATGAAAAGTAGGTATTATTTTAATTCTAACACTTCTTTTATATTTGAAAAAAGATTTAGAATGCCTTATGGTAAATCTCCATTAGACATATAATTATTCTTAATTTAAAACATGAATAACCATATTAGGTTAATATTTTACAATCATAACTAACACTAAGCTTCTAACCATAATAAGTGAATATGAATCACATTAACTTTGCATTTTAAAAATTTATTATTAAATATGAGTGATAAATTGTAATAGTTGTTGATGATTGATGTAATGATCATCGGTGAAATGATTAGTAGTGATTAATAGATTAATAAATACATGTTTATAATATTTTTCGCTTTTGATTTTTACCTTTCACTGTAAAATACATTTTCTATTGCGGCTAGAATAATCTATTGCTTGAATGCAGTGAAAATGAAATGAACTTAAAACTAACAGTTTAAGGATCAACTCCGGTTCAAACATCGAAGAATCTGAAACTGCTGAATGAACCGGCTAGTCATCATCCATATATCGTAGGTTAGGGTACACTATAATCATAAATATAAGTTTAGGTATAAATAAAATTACTAAAAAGTAATAATAATAGAAAAGAAAAGGAAAAAACAATGCACAGAAAAAAGGATATGAATTTATAATAGGACCAACTGCCTGCCAATTCTGGTTCCAAAATTGTTGAAGAAGTCAAAACATTACAGAACGTTAATCAACAGTCCTCAATATAGTACTATCAATAAAATAAAATAAAAAAAAGTCCTCAATATAAGCACGTAAACAAAAATATATAACATAAGAAATCCCATGGAAATAATATATTACTCAATGAGAAATAGTGCAACTCAAATCAGAATGTAATATGATTAGCGTTTCAACAGTAGCCAAGAGGCTCCACAAAAATCTACTTCAACTTTTCCCCTAAAATTATTTCAAAAGCACGTTAAACTGAAAACCAGTTTTTGCTAGAACAGAAATGTTCCAACAGGGTTAAGAAGCGGAACTCGAAAGCCACCCTGCTTCTTGTATATAATCAAAATGGAACTTATACAAGGGCCTGTATACCTGTAAGCATTTAGAATACCAAACCTGCTGGAAAAAGAAGAGGGGAGGGTGTTTATTGAAGAAAGCAACATTCTGAAATGAAAATAGCATTATAATCAGCCAATTGGTTCGAAAAGTTCAGAACATACCAAGTAAGACAACATCACTATAGACCTTAATACTAGAACAAACATAAAGGATTAATCCCAAAATACTACAACTGACATTCATAAACATAAATAACCGAGTACAAAAACAAAAAGGCAGCAAAAACATTGTCGTATCATCTTCACACTCACTCAACAAATGATTACAGCTTGTCCTCGAACTCAGATAGCGGAGTCATCTGCTCCTTCAAACCCTTTCTCTTGCGAATCTCCGCCACGAGAGTTGATGCTTGTGTACCAGCCTCCATTGGATCAGAAGACATCATCTCCCAATGATCAAACACACATTGTGGGAAGGCCTGTCCTGATGTGGCAGCCCTCAAAGTGCTTGAGAATCCAAAGGACTCAATAACCGGTAGGTATGCCTTGATGTTGTACAATGGGGTACCAGGCCTCTGTAACTCCTCAAAGACATGCCCACGTTTTTGGTTAAGAACACTGTAGATACCTCCAAGTGCCTGCTCTGGGGCTTGGATCTCCACCAAGTAAACAGGTTCCAGAAGCCTTGGCTTGGCTGTAAGCTGTGATGCGTAGATACCAAGTACAAGGTTTCCAGAAAGCCTTGGCTTGGCTTGTAAGCCTGTGATGCGTAGATAACCCTCTAGCATTGGAATAAAATCTGACCACCACCTCTATGAATAGCTCAGTTGTGGAGCACCACATCAACAGACTTCAAAAAAAGCAAGATACCTCCCATGTTTCTTCAGCCAGGTGCTCATCCCTTTGATGGCCCATTGGAACCCAGCAACAACAGAGTCTTAATTTCATTCAGGTACTGCCTCCTTTACACATAATCAACCACCTGTTTGGTCCAGTGTCCCTCAGGAACCAAAAACCATATCTTCTTTGCAAGGTCCTTATCCCAACCAAATTCCTCCCGATAAAATCTTTGCGCGTGCCTTTGGATCATCCCGGGACCCAATAACGACCATCATCGATAGCTTCAGCAAGTTCCTTCCTCCATAGGCCTGGCCTCCATGTAAAGACGGTTGTGCTTGTTGGGGATCTTGCTCATCACAATCACGGCAGGACTCTCAAGACAGTCTCACGGAAAGAGCAACAGGGGAAGATGTTATAATCTCAGCTCCCACCAAAATTGGGAAATCCATCCTGACAAATCTTTCAACATATCTCAGAATGAAGTTCTCCGCAGCACCAGCAATAAGTGCTCTCGCAGACTCCTCAATGTACACCACAACCATAGGATCTGACTTGGCCAACCGCTTTAAGACCTTTCAACAAGTTTGGGGACCATAGGATCTGACTTGGCCAACCGCTTTAGACCTTCAACAAGTTTGGGGAGATCAGAGGCAACTTTACATTGAACAGCAACACGCACAACTGGTGAGACAGAGAACTTCATAGCGCGAATGGGATGGGCATCAACTTCCTTCTCGTTAGTCAAAGTAGCATTCTTGGTGATAAATTGATCCAAACCAACCATGGCAACCGTGTTACCGCATGGAACATCCTCAACAGTCTCCTGCCTCTTTCCCATCCAAATAACAGTTCTCTGAACACTCTTCACATACAAGTCTTTCTTCTCACCAGGAACGTAGTTTGGACCCATGATCCTAACCTTTTGACCAGTTGCCACTTTCCCAGAGAACACACGACCAAAAGCAAAGAATCTACCCTTATCAGAAGCTGGAATCATTTTAGACACATAAAGCATGAGAGGGCCTTCTGGATCACAATTCCTGATAGCATTGGCATAAGGATCATCCAGGGGTCCCTCATACAAGTTCTCAACACGATACTTCTGGGCCTTGGCAGGAGAGGGAAGGTGAAAGATCATCATTTCTAGAAGAGCATTACTAGCAGGCAGCCAAGTCTGCATAACACGCTTCATCAAGGCCTTGCCCATTAAATCCTTTTCCTCGGACTTCATTGTTACCCCAAGCTTTTGCAACATCGGCCACAGTTTGTCCTTCTGGTCATTCATGCAAGTGTTAATAATCTGCTTGATCGGCTCATAACAGAACTGCACAAAACCACGCTTGCATGTTGGAGAACCTGTATTTTTGGTGGTCCACTTCTTAGTAGCAGGATCAAAGAAGTTCTCACCCCATAGCCTTTCCATCATCTTGGATTCATCAACCCCAAACTTCGAGGCATACATCTTAGCAAAGTTTGTCAAAGTGAAAGCCCAACCATGCAAACCAGCAGAGAAAGCAACAGTTCCTTTCTCAGGGTAGACCTGACAATCACCGAGGAGGGGATCTTCATATGTGGCCATGATGACATTGGCATTTTCAATGACCCTCGAGAACGTTTGATAAGCCTCCTCGCCGAGAACGTTTGATAAGCCTCCTCGCCATCGACCTGCAGCTCAAGGAAGCACCTGTCCATCTTGTTGACGGTCAAGACAGGCCTAATCCTTTCACCCAAAGCCTGGCGAAGCACAGTCTCTGTTTGGACACAAACGCCCTCAATACAGTCCACCACAACCAGGGCACCATCAGTAATTCGGAGAGCAGCAGTGACCTCGGATGAAAAGTCAACATGTCCGGGAGAATCAATGAGATTGATGAGATATTCATTTCCTTGTCTATCCCCCTTATAGCTCTTGAGGGCTTCATCAGACATCTCATAGTATAGCGAGATACCGGTAGATTTAATTGTGATACCACGCTCTGCCTCATCCTGACGGGTGTCGGTCATACGGACATCGCCGGCAACTTCTTGAGCAATAATACCAGCAGCAGCCACAAGAGAGTCGGTAAGTGTTGACTTCCCTGAAATAGAAGGTAACAGATTGATTAGAACACTAGCGCCTAAGACGGGTTCCTGCTGAAGGGTTGTACTCGCACCCAAAACATAATTGATCTAACTGCACAAAATATAAAACAGTGATTTAAATTATATAAGCATAGTGCATGATTAAATCAGTCCAAGATACACAGCTAAGAATGGAGAAAAAAACACTAAATACCAACTCACTCTAAATTCAGATCAAAATATTTACACACGTACAATACCCAACTTTCACCAAGTTGCATAGGTTGTAAAAAACATTCTGAAATTTGACGTCTCTATAAGCAGCCATGTAAATATTCATACAGACACTGAACTTGAAATCCATAGCATAATTGTGAAAAAGAATCGTATTCAGTTTTGAATTTTGACATACTAGTATTATTATGGTTGCCTACTAAGTGAAAACAATAATAAATGGAAGTCATACACATTAATAAACTCACATTCCATTAGTAGAAAAATAGCAAGGAGCATTCATTACACCAAGTATTTGCAGAAAAAAAATAAAGATTATACCATGATCAACATGGGCAATGACGGACATATTACGAATGTTATGCTTGTAGTCCATGATGCGACGGAGCTCTTCGGCTGTAAACTTCACCTGTAAATATCAAGCATACCTTCCTGTAATTTTTATCTTGGGCAGAGAACTCCAAAAAATAATTTAAGAAAAATGGCTTACCATCTTGACTAGCCTGTAGAGTTCACAGCCAATTGCTATCAATAAACAACTGCACAAGCAAACGACAAAATTTTTAAGTTAGGTGAATGAAGAAGAAGCATTTACAGTTAAAAGACACTGAACGAAATAAACTGATTATCCATTCCACAGTTAAACAAAGATAAGCTATCCAGATTTAAACAGAAGCCAGTGCAACTAGCATGCAAACAATTAGGCAGCTAAGATAAGGAAAGCCATATATTAACACAATGAGAACAAGTGCAAAATTGAATCGGCCTAAACAATATCTGCAAATACACGAGCACGAAAATAAGCCCAACACCAGACCATAAGCACATACCAAAATATTCATTAGCGGGACAAGATATATGATGCTGGCAAGTGACAAATAAAACAAATAAAATCTACTAGCAAGTGAAGACACACCAAAATCTACACATATCCGCTGACGAAAAAAATAAAAGAAATCAATCAAAATTTTGGATCAGCATAATCATACAGAAAACAACAATTTCTAAACGTTTCGACTTTATTGCTTATGCAATTATAATAGCTATTAAGAAAAAAATAAAAAGGTGAAGCTACAAACAAATCATAAGCAGCCATCAAAAACGTATTAATCTAAGCTTTCATGACTCAAGACAATATCATTTAAGTAAAGAGAAACAGAGTCTCAAATCATCTTAATTACAAATCTAAATCATAAAAACCATAAACTGAGCAACCCAACGCATTATTTAACAGTATGGTATGTTCTGAAGCAGATCCAAATCGACGATAACAAGAAGTAAATCAAAAATAATATCCAGTGACACAGAAATTAAGAATCAGCTAAGCGAAAGAGAGATACATACCTGTCAAAGACGGCCGCTATAGAAGAGAGGTTATGAGAGTCACTCTCTCTTCAGTATCCAGAAATGTGAGAGCCACTTGCTCAACGAAGGGTATATAATGAGAGCTTCAGTATATCGTGATACCCTAGCCCTAGGGTTTTTCTTTCTGGGCTCATTGGGCTGCAAAAAGTGGGCCCAAAATAACAAAAAGTAAGGGAAGATGGAAATTATTCTCGGAAAATGAAAATGAAGGTTTTTTTTTTTTTTTTTTTTTTGCAAAAAAGGTTGGGCCAAAATAACAAAAGTAAGGGACAGTATGAAATTATTCTCGCTCTGGAAATGAAAATGAAGGGGTTTTTTTTTTTGTTTTCTTTTTACTGAAAATGAAGGTTTTATTGTTCTTTTTTATATTTGCTAAATTGAAAGGAAAAATATTGTAATAATAAAATTCAAAGACGTTTAAAACTTGTTTTTAGTTGGTCACTTAGTCAATCTTTAAAAAAGGTTGTTGAAAGTAACAAGTAGGGCATTGGAAATTGAATTAGAAATAACTTTTTAAAAACGTGAATTTATGAAAAGTGAAAACTCATTAATTAAAAAAGGTTAAAAAATCTTATGTGAAATTAAAAAAGCTCTAATAAGGTTTTTTTTTTTTTTTTTTTTTACTGAAAATGAAGGTTTTATTTGTTCTTTTTTATATTTGCTAAATTGAAAGTGAAAAATATTGTATAATAAAATTCAAAGAGTTTAAACATTGTTTAGTTGGTCACTTAGTCATTTTAAAAGGTTGTTGAAAGTAACAAGTAGGGCATTGAAATTGAATTAAATAAACTTTTTAAAACGTGAATTTAGAAAGTGAAACTCATTAAATTTAAAAAGGTTAAAAATTTATGTGAAATTAAAAAGCTCTAATAAGAAGTATAGGATTTGAGTCTTCTCGTCTACAAATTTATAATAAAATTGATGAAAATTATTAAAAGAGGAAAGCCACATAAAATTATAGTCTAACCATTATTTTTACTCATTGCCCCCAATAAGTGGAAAAAAATTACAATGGAACAAGAAATTTAATGAATGTAATTCAATAGTTGGTACAAAATAATATCACTTTTTTTAAATGTGTGCGATCCCATTCTCTTATATTTAAGTAAAAAATAACACCCAGTTCAATGAATTATTTTACCAATATAATATAATTGCAAAGACTCATAGATGGGCACAGCATTTTTTTTTTTAACTAAAATAAATAATTAGAATATCAAAATTTGATAGTTTAAATTCAGTTATCTATGAACCTTTTGCAAAACAAAGGATTTTCAAAAATAATTTTATATGTTTTTTTATTAATTTGCGTCTCGGAGAAATGAAATAAATGCAATTTAGGCGTTGGCTGTGGGCTGGCTCTGATAGACTAGTGCTTGAAGTTGAATTTAAAGAAGCTAGTTCATGCATCCCATTAGTTAAACGACCATAGTCATAGTTACAATATTCCCATCGTATACCATTTGAAAAACAATAGTAAGCAATAAACGACCTTTTTTTTTCCTGTCGTCTGATCGAGTTGGAAATCAGTAAATATCTTTACTATTATATTGAAAGGATGCCCATTCAAATGGACATCTAACACAAGCATAAGCTACGATAAAAAATTTTAAAATTTCGTTTTCTTCACTCCCAAGTACAAAATAATACACACAAATATGTTGGATGGATGACCCTGCCATTTGAAATCAAACCTAATCAATGCATGATATTCTTCCATTCATTCCTCAGCCGTTGAATTGTGAACTTCAAGTTGCCATCTCAGAAGTGTAGTCCTAGTCCTGCTCAGGGCAAAGCCAAGATTTAAATTTAGGGGGAAACAAAATATTAAATAGACAAATATATCGGTATAAATGGTTCCAAGTTAGATGGATTGTCCTATAAATTATTCCATCCTTGGATTTGTCTAAAGAATTTTAATTGTTTAAAAAGAGAGTTCCATATCGTCAAGTGGCTTTGCTACTAGTCCAGCTTTGTCAGGTTCATGCCTCTGCAGCTCAAACACGCAATTCAAGGTAAGTAGAACAAAAGAACACAAAGCAAATTATCAAACAAATAACACTGAAAGAACACAAGCACAAAGTAATTATCATCACATCAATGCATGTGAAAACAAAAAGAGATGTCAAATTGGAATCATTTAACCAAACCAAAAAAGTGAAGTAATAAACAATCAGTTCACATGCAAAAGCAGCAAAAAGTGGTGAATGCAGATTCGCATTAGATGCATCCTTGCTGTGTGAATTTTTTAATTTGAATTTCATTCCCTTTCATCATCTCAGAAGGTAAAGAGCAATTTGGCAAAATGCAGCACTTGCACACAACCAAGACAACCTTTGCTAAAGTTAGAAATATAGATTTGTGGGGGCTGCTTGCTGCCCAATTAAGGAAGAGAATGACATAACAAAGAATCTGCTCAGCTCCATACAAAGCAGGGAAACGTTAAGTTCAGTATAGTATAAAATAATAAAATTCGATTACCAGGCCTGTATATTCAAATTCTGGATATCCATCCTGATACCGCTAACTGACACACACAGTAGAACAATTTGTGTTAATGAAAAAAAAGAGATTCTGAAGCATAAAAAAGAAGATTACCAGATACAGAAAACAGAAGTTCAAATCCAGAGCTCATTGATAAGAGCCGATAGATATCACAAAGTGGTATATCACAGTTTGGCTTCTTGTCATCTTTTTTGAGGCAACTACAATACAGGAGGAGGAAAGTATAGCCAACCATAGAAATGCATTTCAAAGTCGGAAGGTTTTAGTTTACAGTGCAAAAAATGCTACAGATACACAATCCTATGTAAATAAACATTCAAGTCATGATACATGTCCAGGAAAATGTTATTACATAGAAATCACCTCAAAATAAAGAGCTATCAAGGAACGTTCCTCTTAAAAGCAAACCAGAATTCTCATACGTATTTGGATGCCAGTAAAATAGATGAAACTTAACTGGACCATAATAGTAACAGCAATTACTATCATGGTTCCTGCATAATAGTAACAGAAACTACTTTGGCAGTTCCATTGCTTCCACCAAAGCAAAGAGGTTCTTGCATGTACCCCAGACCATCAATTGAGACTAAAGAAAATTGGTTATACAAAAAGCATCCTTTCCCCACTCAACTAGTCCAATGCAAGCCCAAAATTATAGTGCACAGAAGATTTCACCTATCGGCATACTGCACTTAGGACAACATACAAATTATTTTATGCATTGCAATGGTTCAACTTTGTCGCCTAGGAGAATCTTCTCAATAAGAATCTGCCTACTATAATTTCAAAAACAAGCAACATAAGAGGAAACTATTTTTTAAACATACTAAAACAACAATGACTTCCATAAAGAGCATAAAGACTAAGTGTCTGTTTTGAAGTTAAAGTTGAAAATGATATTTGAGATCAATCTTTTAGGTAATATTCAAAAAGCAGTTTGGACCTGTTAATTGGTTTAAGACAAAACGTATTGGATGTATGACACAAGTTCTCACTGCCTCTAATCAACATAAGGAAGAAGCTTATTTTCTCAACAACATATATAACAACAATGCCACATACCCTAATCAGTGATACATACCCTAATTCACACACGTTCTCTGAATACTTGTGATAGGATTGTTTTGGGAAAGCATAAGGATGCTTGAAAAATGAGGTATTGCACCACCTATTCAGGGTATCAACTGAGACAGAAAGAACAGACCAATCAAAAGAGGGACGCGAATCTAAATAGTTCACATTCCAATGGACAAGTGAGCATTTGGTGAAGGCTCAATCTTTCTCATTAAGTAGAGTATAACCTCATAGAAAGAGCAAAACTAGTCCATATATGTGTGCATTTGTACATAAATGTCTAAAAAAAGTTAAGATAGTACCAACCAAGTTGCGGTTGAAACTATGAGGTAAAAAAAAGATCTGGCGGATCCACGAATCTTTTTTGTTATAACTGTCCACTTGTAGAAATGTATACATAACATGTGTTCCCATCGATTTTGTTTAAGATGGTTTATGAGCAAATGCTGTTATTTTATTTATGTAATCCTATTGCTCCAAAAACAGTTATGAACACCATAACAAAACTTGTGATTAAAGCAATATAGACTCCAAAGAACATAGGTAACCTCAATCAGGATCACAAAACAACCTAGCAGCAGTGGAAAAAATTGTCAAAGTAAATAAATAGCTACATGAACATACATATATGCATCCATACAAACATTAAAGTTTTAAGCTGTAATGATAATCTTAAAACTTAAAGCATATTCCTTTCCCCCTAACTTCAAATACACACAAAAAAAAAAAAATAATAATAAAAATAAACATAAACAAATTTGCCTTCTGTTAACAGTCCAGTCTAACTCTAAACTGGGGTATACATATTCACATCATAGTATCTATGAAATTGAACAAAAACGGAAACATCAAAAGTTTCCTTAATATGAATCAGCATCCCTGCACTGAGATAAAAATTTCGAACAAGAATTGCAAGCACCAAAAAAATCCAATATTTATCAGCAGTTATAAATCACCAAAAGAATGTATTCGAACATTTTCCAGAAAATTACTTGCTATCCAAATGGACCCTTAAATAAAATGAAAACTTGCAGCTTATAGTAACAATCTGCAAGCAAGATTTTTTGATTGAATTCTGTCGTGCACAAGTTCTTTCCTTTTCTGTTCCATGTAAAGATAGAATCTTTTCCTGCGAATCCGTAGGGGTGCAAAAATAACATACAATACATTAAGTACTGATTAAAAGATCTAATAATTAGATCTATTAATGCCAAATAATATCAGATCAATGAATGCTCAAAAATCCAATAATTAAAGCTGTCATTTACTAGAAATGAATCAAAATCATTTCATTTTTCAGCTACAGATATAATCCACAGCTGCATCACAAAAACTAAATACATAAATAAATCCCAACCTGAGATCTGAACAGTAACCGGAGATACAACCAAGATCCATGCAACCCTTCACCGCGGTCTCCGATTCAGTTGATGCAAGGCGGGATCCAATTCGCTTCCATTCATCTCAACTAATCACATCTCGCCATCTGGCATTGATTAAGTACATACTGTACACACAAGTACATACAAGCGAAGCCAATCAGTTCCCGACCTGCACCAAGCGAATTAGAGACCGCCGGTAACAGAATCAACTCCTCCCCTCTCTCTCCCTCTCCATTTCTTTTTCTCTCTCTTCCTGATATAGATGCTGAATAAAGATTGATAGAAAGAGAAAGCATACAGATACACATCACACCTACCCTATCACGGGTGAGACTGATGGTTATTTATAAAGGGCACAGACGAATAGGATTGTGACACCTAGGCGTGCACGGACTACTGTTATCGAGCGATCCACACCAGATTTTAAGACAGCAGCTACTAGTTTTGGAAAAAGAAAGAAGGGAAGATGCTAAACAAGTAGGCATGGATTTTTATGGAAATTACAATGTAACCATTAAGCTTACGTGGAGCTACAGTGAATGCACGTGCGCGTGATCTGCAGCTGCAACGTGTAGTAAGATGGTTAAATTTTTTTTAATGCGTGTGGTTATACGCATGCCGTCAGACTTACGCTTGTTATGATTTGGAATTTTGAATATCTTTTTAACATTTTCCCATTTTTAACCTTAGATGAAGAAAACTAATTTCTTTTATTTTCTTTCCCACTATTTTTCTTCTTTAAATTTTTTTAAAAAAATGAGAAAACATGAGGAGACGTCTTTTGTCAAAAGTTTAACAAATATATATATATATATTAGCTGAATTTTGTAATTTTGAAAATTTTATTTAATTATAATAATAGAATAACTAAAATTATTATTAATTATTAATTAAATAACAAATCAAAAATTATTTTTTTTGATCAAATGCAATGATTTCTAATTAAATTTAGTCTTATGGGATTGCACGTTCATCTTAATATTTTTATTTATAACATTCATTCTTTTTTTAATTTTTATTAGTACAAAAATTTATTTTTCAAACTATATATATATTTCCAATTTTTTCAAATAATAAGAATTGGATATGGAGTGTTATATTTTTTTTTCTCAATAAAATAACCATTAAATAAATGGCTGTTATATATACATGCGTATTTCATTGAGAAATTAATAATATTATAATTGATGGGTGGTAGCCAGTGAGGGGTGTGGATGGGTGAAGAGAAATAATTGAATATTAACGCATTTGAAGTTTTAATTAAAAAAAAAAATCCATATTGTTCGTATAAAAATTTATGTTTTGATTCTTTTATATTTAAATATAACCCAGTTATTTTATGAAATTTTATGCATGGATTCTTTTTTATAGAATTTTAACAGAAGAGTGGCAGACAGGTTGGCAACTTCACTTCTGCATTACTTTGGGATTATAAATAAATTAATTACCATTTACCTCTCATAATCTACTAAAATTTACAATTTAGGACTTTTACTTTTCAAAAATCATATGATAGTCTTTGTTTTTTTTTTAATTCAACTAACTAGTTCTCTGATGTTCTAATTTTACTCTTTTTTTTTTTTTGTTAACTTAAAAAATAATAATAAAACACTTTTTTTTCATTTTAATTTTACTGTTGATAAAAATCTCATTTTATCTAATAATCTAATTTAAACAAAAGATACAATTAAAAAGTCCAATCATAGTCAAAATGATTTGCCACTAGCCAATTGCATAGTTGTCGCGTATGTATATATTTTCTCATTTCTAACCTGTATAGAATAACACTCAACAATATGTTAAAAAAATTATGGTTAAAAATGACATTTCACTATAATTTAACAGAAAAATTAATGTAAGGACGATATAATTTAACAACAATAAAATAGAGGAATTATTTAATTTTTTTAAAATAGAAGTCCTGATTTGCAAAGTCACTAAATTATAGGGACTAAATATTAATTTGGCAATTTATGTATATAATAAATTGGACGGTGGAAAGTGGGAACTGTCGAAGCCCCTGCTTTTGAAAGTTATGCCCTTGAACCTAATGTGCGAAAAAGGAAACAATATTATTTTATTTTCTAAAGGATTTTCTCCAGAAATATCTGGAGAGCAGTTAACTTGACTAGCGGGCACAGAGCATTACAGAGGTCAAAGAACTCGAAAAGGAAAAAAGACACATAAAGAAATGGGAAAGAAAAGAGTTTGGAGCCAAATTAATCAGAAAAAAAAGGAAAAAACGGAAAGAAGCAAACATTCAGTAAGCAGCCGCAATTCTCAGTTTCATTTCACAATCTAATCTCACCACAAAAATGTTTCATTCAAATTGAATATCAAACTAAGTAGCTTCCATCCTTCAAAGTTTAAACAGGAAAAAAAAAAAACAAATATTACAGGAGAAAAAAAATGCAAATCTTGAGAACTAGTAAACTTTAATTTCTTGTCAAGCTCAAGAACAGGGAAGGTGGTTTTACATATCAAATTGTTTGATAAGCTACTTTGCCTTTTTAAGGAGGTTAGAGGTTCCTAACTCTGTATCATCTCTGATGAAACTCCACCAAATGTAGGTAAGAGGGATGGTGGTGGCATGCCAGAGAGCATGAGCATCCACAAATCCTTTATATGGAGGAAAGTCGTAGATTTCAAGGAGCATTGCAAGGCCACCTCCCACGACGACAACCCACAACTTCCAGCGAGAAGGATGGCGGCTGACACCGGCCCAAATCGCCCAAATGAGAAGCTGAGCCACTGCCATGATGACACAAACTATCATGTTCCACCCTGTAAAATATTCACAATCATGTCAGTCCATGCCCGCTAACTGTTTACATCATGCAGTTAAGGAAAATTAGAAATCACATTGGCATAGCTCTCTCTCTCTTCACGGCATTAATTCCTAATGCCGTGAGAAACAGAACAGATGCAGTCAAGCAAATCACAAGATAGAACGTCATCTCCAGCAATCTTTTATTGGAAGAAATTTGCCTAGTCAGATGTTATGTTCTATAGATGAAGTGAAAACTGGCATAACAGGTGGAAAGCTATTTTTCAAAAATTTTTAAATACATCAGAATGTATCTTATGCATTAATCTTCGAACAAGAATATGTGAAAGTACAAGAGTACAGATAAAATACCATAGTCTAGCTTATAAAAGTTGAGGAACAATATATGAGTTGTCACAAATGCAAGCAGTGGAGCAGCAACCATGACCCTTGCTGCTTCAAGCCTCACATCAAAACTTCTTAGCACAGCAAGAATGAGTGAGAAACCCAGTAATGCCACAGCCGAAGAGTAATCCAACTTCTCTGTCAGGTCCACATCTCTGCAGGTTGAAGTACAAAATAAAGAAAAGAAATACAAAAGAATTGAAGTAAACCTATCACTTTATTTCTGTGATGAAAACAAAAAGTAAACTTGTACGCCATCAAAGTATGAAGCCATAATCTATTTAAATTGTAGAAGTCTCAGGAGTCGGGGCATTAACAACAAATAATCAGTCACCTCATGCAAAATGTGGTAAAGATTAAATTTCCATCACATGCATTCAACCTACTTGGAATTAAATCTTTATGATGGCATTGAATATAGAAATTCTATTATTGTATCCATCTTAAAAGCAACAAATATAGCAAAATATTTATTCAAATATAAAGCAAAATAGATACACAGCAAGAAATTACAACAATTGCCGAAAAGTAAAAAAATGTGGATTTATTTGGCTAGCATGTTGTTGTTACTCCAACTTGGCTACATTAAACAAGCAAAACACAGTTACGCTTGAATTTTTATAAGTAGCATCTAAATTCTAGATTTCATTACAGGAAAAAAGCTATAACATTTCAGATTCTGCAAAAGCACTCAGATGTCCTGAACTGAAACACAGTATCATCAACTCATCCTTAAACAATAACAGAAGATTACCTGCTATGGAAAACAGCACTCCAGAACCAGGAGTTCATTGATAAGAGGCCATAGATATGCCACAAAGTGGCATATTCATAGTATGCCTTCTTATCTTGCTTTAGAGGCAGTTTATAGTACAGCAGAATGAAAAAGGATAGCCAACCATGGAAATGCATTGCAAGGTTCAGTGCAGAGAAAGCAACAGACACAGGCTCCTGTGCATAAAGAATAAGTCAAGATGCATAATCTAGAAAACTATGATAAGATCTAAATAAAATTCAAAAACAAAACAAAACAAAATAAAATAAAATAAAATAACACTAAGGATAAATTTACTGAAAAACAAACCTGAATTCCATACACACGCTTAAAGGGCCATTTACCATGGTACTTGACAGGACCATAACCTAGTGCTTCTCTTTCCTTTTCTCTATCTAGCATACAATGGTAACGACAATCACTTTCACAATCCCATTGTTTCCACTGTAAATAAAGAGGTTCTTGCATGTACCATGGACCATCAATTGAGACACCATCTGAAGAAAATTTGCAGTGTGGAAAACATCTTTGTCCCACACATCCTGTTTTTTCACATTGTTGAACACATGACCTAAATTCCAGAACAGAAAAAAGATACATCAACTATCCACCCAAGTCCAGTGCTAGGAAATTTCAACCAGGTTAGACAAAAGAAAAATTAATTAATACCACAGCAGATGGAAAGACGAGAATTCAAGATGATCCAAAAATGACCCGTAATTAGTTAATAAATGCAAGAAATTTAAAACAAAGACGCCGCAAAAACATACCATCTGAAAGTAAACTGTGATTGTTTAAACATATACCCAATGGAAGTGTTAATTAAGAAGAATATGAGAATTAGCCAACAATTACTACTTGAAAAGCACAAAGAGGCACATGGTTGTGGAAACTACTGGGCAAATATGTGGAAAAAATAATTGCTTCACAGCACATTCACCATCGTATATAATTTATTTTCCATGTACATGCTTTCCCTCAAAATGTCCAACAATATGAGAAAAATATAGCACGCATATCTGAAGAGTGAGATATGTCACTAATTAGAGATAGCATCAATTGAAGCACAGACAGAAGACTAAACAAAAGAAGGGCACTGTGCATATCTTGCACGTACTTCTACAAGTCATCATAAATAAAAGAGTAAAGAGAATAATAAATAAATACCATTAAATGAATTCAGGTATCATTTTGACTAAAATCCTCAGCTTGTAAGAAAATAATGAGGTTTCACTGATTTTCTTTAGGATGAACTAGGAGCATTGAAAAAAAAAGAAACAAAAAACCGGGCAATAATGAATGCCTTTGCACAAGAACCAATGCAAGACCTTGAATTTATTTTTCAGCTATGAAACTCAATGATTGATTGTAATTTGTAAAGCCAATAAAGCTATAACACTGACTTCATAATAAAATTACTCAAAAAAGTTACCTGTAAACTGGATCAGCATCACCAATGCTGGCATCTAAAACTTGAACAAGACATGAAAGCACCAGAAAGAAACTGATCCAATTTCGATCTACCATCTGATTAGAATGACAAAAAAAATTGAAATCTAGAAAATTTGCTGTGATAAAAAGCAATATTCAAGTTAAGAAGCTTAATATAGCAGACTTTTTCAAATATCTTGCATCCTTTATAATTCTCTTTTTCTGAAAAAAAGAAGAAAAAAAGGGGTTGAATGTTCTCATATGGTATCTTTTGTTCTTTTCATTTATCACCTACTCTAAAGATTTCGTGCATCTTATTAATCATTGAAAATGCTCTAGGATCCCCCCCCCCCCCTCCCCACCCCCAAACATACATTTCCCCTGATCTCAAACAGAAATTCATTTAAAGAACCAACTTGTTTCTGCCTCGTCACCTTACATTTAATCCATATTATAGTTCCCTACGATTCAAGATACAGACCACAATGAAAGTGTCCCCGTGGCATACGTCCCCTTGGTAAAAATTCCCAGTTTCTTCAGTGAATTTATTCTAACAGATGGACTTGTTCACTCAAGTGACACAAAAGCCGCAGCTTCTACATTCAATTTCCAAAACATCCGAATTTCCACTTCTTAAATAGGGCAAAAATTAAAATTTAAAGTTTTTTTTTTTAAAAAAATATAAAGATTTCCCATTACTTAATCTCCCGTTGATTTATGTTGAGAAGGAAAGTGTAAGCATGTATGTAGTCGGACTAAGCTCCATATTCGAACAAGTAAAGCGAAGTTTCTTATACAATAGATCATCATGCAATTTGAGAATCCTGCAAGGATTCACATGGCACTTCTTATTTGAAGTAAGAAGAGCTAAGATTTTCAAATTGACGACTTACAAGACAAAAAAAAAACAAAAGAAAAGATTGCATGAGCTAAAGAAAAAAATCAAAAGAGTAAGAAAATGGGTGTCATACCTTTTCCGTTGGTGATGAACCAGTAGTGGCGAATCCTTTTCTTCCTATTCTACTCTGAATGAGATGATTCAAATGGAAAATACAAATTGAATCTTGAAACGTGGGAGCAGAGCATTATAAGAATGGAGAGTGATTTTTTTTTTTTCTTTGTTTAATTTTTTGTCAGGAAGAGAGAGAATTCCAGCGCAGAAGTATGGATTATTTTTGGGCTAGGAGGCCCAGGTCCAACTGTCAAAACTTTAGCTAATACAACCACTTCTCAGATCTCGAAAAACGGCTGGCCCAATAGTATAATCTTTCAGATGACAAGGAAAGCCCAGACAGCAAACTGTCATGTGCGTGTAAAGACGAGCACATTTGGGATTTTCCAACGACATGTCGGCCGAGATTCACAAGAGGACAACACGGCCTCTTCATCATTGTAGGCTGATTAATTTAGATAATCAGTACCTCTTCAAATTTGAACCTCAAATATTGTATTATTACACGTGGCATGTAATTTATAAATCTAAAATAAGATAAGCCAAAGGGCTGCTTTCATTTAATTTATTGATTTATTATTGGCATTTTCTTAATAGATGCATGAATGATTATATATTTGATCAGCAACAAAAATTCCTCTTCTGGTTTTTTTTTTCCTTTTTTTAAAGTCAACTTAAGACGAGCAAATTCAATTGGATGATGTAAGCCAACATTTGACTGTAAAATTAAAAACAAACAAGTATAAAATAATTACAAAAAACATATTGATTAAGTTTGAAGGTAGCACCTTTACTTGACTAGGTAAAACTGAATCATGATACGATGAGGCAACAACAGCTACCTTTGACACCGCCCTAGATACTGTGGACAGGTGGATTAGGCTAAAGATTTGTTTGACCAACTTTCCCCAGCCATTGGAATTACATTCTAAGTCATTTGGCATTTCTTTTTCAAATAGCAAGGAGGTTTAATCCTCCTCGGACCCTAAGTGTAAAAGTTTTGATCCTTTCAGCAAAGTGTGTTTTCTGAAAATCGAATTTGTATTCTCATTCTTACAAAGATTAAGATCGCTTATCAGTTTCGAATGTAGGCTTTATTTAGAAAGGAGAGAAAAAAATAATAAAGAAAGAAAAATAATGAAACGTATTTCACATTAAATATATTTATATATGAACAAGATTACAAGAAGTTAAATGAATTAATTTAAATGAATACTAATATTGTTGAAAATTCTCTGTCCTGGTGACAGAATCATTTTTGGATCAAACAAAGCTTTCCTCTGCTCAAAAGTTGCCCATTTGGAGCCAAAATGTGTAATCCACTCTTCTTTAGTATCATAATTAGGAAGATACTGCTTGATCTTAATACCAGCTTTATCACAGAAATCCAAAATTGCTTTGTTTTGATTCTCGTAAACCTGCCAATCATTAACTCCACTTGTATACAAAATTGCTACAGTATAGAAAATATCTTCATCTGGTATAGCAGCAGACATCCTATCATCCCACCTGCAATTTAATTAAAAAAATCAATCAGTACCCATTAATTATTGATCGTCTATCTATCTTGTAGTGTTGTGTCTATATATATATAAATTTGAATTAATTTTCAAATGAAATACTATATTGTTGAATAATTCTCTGTCCTGGTGACAGAATGCATTTTGGATTCAAACAAAGCTTTTCCTCTGCTCAAAAGTTGCTCGCATTTGGAGCCCAAAATTGTGTAATCCACTTTCTTATATCATAATTAGGAAAGATATACTGCTTTGATCTTAATACCAGCTTTATTCACAGAAATCCAAAATTGCTTGTTGTTTTGATTCTCGTAAACCTGCCATATCATGTAAACTCCACTTGGTATACAAAATTGCTACAGTATAGAAAATATCTTTCATCTGGTATACAAAGCAGACATCCTATCATCCCAAGCCTGCAATTTAATTAAAAAAATCCAATCTAGTAACCCCATTATTAATTGATCGTTCTATTTCTATTTGTAGTGGTTGTGTCCTATATATATATATATATTATTAATATATATATATATATATATATATGTTAAGAGTGCTTACTTGTCACGGAGCAAGGGGTAGAAAAGGACAGGTCCAGTGGTGATATTTTGTTTAAGAATAATGTCTCTAAAGACACCAGAATTGAAGTCTGAGACACCAGACTTTGGTATAAAGAGATTTAGCCATGGATGTGATTCATTCTTCTGCACTGTAATTTGAACTCTAGTTAGAAACTCTATATAGGAAACATCTATTCCATAGCTATATTGAGGAACAGTCTTAAGTCCTTCCATAAACCGCTTCAATTCCTGTAAGAAAAATATAATTAATGTCTAATTACATGACTCTTAAATTAGCAGATGGTATTAAAGGTGATTAGTTTTAACAAACCTTTTCTATAGATCCTTTGCTGGTGTTGTCATAGCTGAGTGCTAGTTCTAGACTGTAAATGATGCCATATCTTTTGATTAGGGAAGTAATGTTAGAAATATCAGCTGGTGGGAAGAAGAAGGTTCTCCAAGTATTAGGAGTCCCATTGTCTAATAAAATTCCACCTTCCAGGTAAGTGATATTATTCCCTTGTTTCTTTCCATGGAGTGAAATAAAATATTCTTGGGCTTCTGTAAAATCTGTGAAATTGCTGTAAAGTATTTGTACCCATGCAACCTGAAAAGAGAAGAAATATATTTATATATTACCACCACCATAAATATTTTTAGTTAATCAGGCTCCTTAAAAACTTTTATAATTGTAAGATACTAATACTAGCGTAAGGGTTATCTCCTGCTATGTAATTGATAATATTATATCGATAAATTTGACTTTTCAATAAAAAAATAAAAAAATCATATGTTTTGGGGAAGCTCAGGCTGTGGAATGGGTAGAGGGCATACGTCATGATTTTGCGCGTTGCGGAATGAGATGATAGGGTTTTACGGCCGACCATTTAATTTCAGCACTTTTCTAATTTTGACTTCTTAGATATTTTATTTTTAGTTTGACTTTTTTACTAATTAAAAATTTTGCCGGTAAGCAACTTATGCACTCTAACTAATAACTGAAAGATGTTTTAGAAATTATTTATTGAATAGGTGGTTAAGAAAACAATAGTTGTCTCTTTATTTATGTTTCTGTTTTGTATTACTTTATTTTATTAGTATAACCTTCTATTAATAATTTTAAATCAAGATTTTTAACAGAATTACACTTTAATTAAAAGGTCCTTTCAAAAAAAAAAAAAAAGTATTAATCCTCAATGTTTTGACTTTTTTTTCTATTAGTAATTGTTTAGCCTATTAATTAAGACGATAGAGCCCGCCCGCTTGAATTTCTCCCTGAAGAATCCTCAAAAAAATTAATTGGTTAATGCAATTCATGTCTCTTGCAAAATAAGGTTACATATCCTTAATTACTAATATTATATTTTCAAATTGTAGGTCAACCCATCAGTCTAATGGAGAATAAAAAATAAAAAAAAGGTAAACAGGATAATATTGCTTTGTACTTACCCTATTGAGAGCGGGGCCTAAAGCAATCCTTGCTCTGGTTATAATTCCAAATTGACCTAAACCGCCCAAAACAGCATAAAACAGCTCTGAATTGTTATTTGCGGAGCAGGTAATGAGCTCTGCTTTACCTGTAACAAGCAAATTTAATTTAATCACTCTCAAACAGGTAATTACTCTTATTAAGAGCCAGCAAGAAAATCGAACTTGACATTTTATGATTTTCGAGCCACCAAAACGTAGGCTTCGAGAACCATAAACCATAAGTAGCAAAATAAAAAGAAGAAGAAGAAGAAAAGGAGGAGGAGGAGGTAACAAATAACAATGACCCATTCTGGCTGTGAAAATATGAATGAAACTGAAATGAGGAATGGAGAAAATAGCAATACCAGTAACAACATCCATTTCGTAAACGTTGGTAATCTGTGGACCATAACGAAAAGCTTGACCACTGATTCCAGCATTAGAAAGAGTCCCACCAACGCTTAGGTACAAAAAGTCAGTCCAAGAAACAGGCGCAACTCCTTCTTTTACTGTTGCATTTAACACATCAATCCATAGTTGCTCTCCTCCAACATCAGCAAACAATCCCTGTTTATTAATACTAATCCCCTTCCCAATATCCCTTAAACCTTTCATATCCACTACCACTCCGTTGTAAGCCATGTCCTGTCCACGGGTACAATGGCCATTCCCTCTAGCTGAAATTCCATAAGGAACGGAACATCTAAACGAAGCGTTTGCAAGACTCCATATGTCTTGTACGGACGTTGGGTAAAGAACAGCAGCCGGTTTGTCATGAACTATATTTCCATAATCAGTAGAGACTGATTCTATGGCGGCAGGATCCACCTGAAGCCTATTTGATAGCTCAGGTGGCGTAGGACATGTATTAATAATTAAGGTTTCTGATATCCTTAAATTTGGAAATAAATTGGTTATCATGAATACGACAACAAGAAAATTTCTTGGAGATGGAGAATTCATAGCCATTGTCATGATTTGTGAAGATCGATGCAGAGTAAATAGAGATTATATGGGTTTTGTTTGTTGTTAAGAGTGGAGAGAAAAGGAAGGGGTGATGGTGTATATATATGTAGAAGGAATTTGTAAGCTTGCATGAAATTAAAGTAATTAATTATAAATGAGGATGATAGGTTACTGGTTTTGCAAGCAACAAATCTTTAGGGTTGGCTTATTATTGTTTTTGTATTCATCATATAGAAAGAGTCGGTTTTACAGTCATTTTTTATTTTTTGGGTGGTCATCTTGGTGATGAAGATACCTAATTACCTGGAGCTCAACTGGTTTTCTTTTTGGCTGTTTGTTCTTGTGGGTCAATTAATATATAAATCTGATTGATTTGATGTTGTGATCTTGTAATAAAGTTTTTTTTTTTTTTAACTTAAATAAAATATTAGTTAAGTTTTGTATCGATTTATGATGAGAAAAACTTACAAACACCGTGTATCAATTAATTTCACTTATTTATCTATTTAGGGTTTAATACATTAATTAATAACACCTCAACTTAACGGTCATCATAAACATTAAATAAATTAATTTAAGTAGTAGTTGAAAATTCTCTGTCCTGGTGACATAATATTTTTTGGATCAAACAAAGCTTTCCTCTGCTTGAAAGTTGCCCATTTGGAGCCAAAATGTGTAATCCACTCATTTTTAGTTGCATAATTGGGAAGATACTGCTTGACCTCAATACCATATTTATCACAGAACTCCATTATTGCTTTGTTTTGATCCTCGTAAACCTGCCAATCATTAGCCCCACTTGTATACAAAATTCCAGCAGCATAGAAAATATCTTCATCTGGTATGACTGCAGACATTCTATCATCCCATCTGCAAGTTAATTAAAAAAAATTGAATCATTAACCATTCATCCCAATATAATACATTTGCACAGAAACTGATATGAAAACGCGTGAAAATCTAGAAACACGGAAACAATAGTTAAAAACTACACTTAAAATATAATTTTATATGAAAAAATAATATTTTATACATAAAAACAGATACGCAGAAATGTTTTCAGAACGTGAAAAAATTCACGATTAGAAATTTCGATGTATCATATAATATAATTAATTAATCACAAAATATTCTTTTGTTCATGATGTATCAGAAAGTGCTATTTGGTTACTATCAGTAACCAAATATTGGAGTGCTTACTTGTCACGGAGCATGGGGTAGAAAAGGACAGGTCCTCTGGTGATATTTTGTTTAAGAACAATGTCTCTAAAGACACCAGAATTAAAGTCTGAGATACCAGATTTTGGTATGAAGATATTTAGCCATGGATGTGATTCATTTTTCTGCACTGTAATTTGAACTCTAGTTAAAAAGTCTACATAGGAGACATTTTTAGCATAGCTATACTCAGGGACATTGTTAAGCCCTTCCATAAGCCGCTGCAAATGCTGCAAGAAAAATATAAAATGATGTAATTAATGTCTAATTAACTACGTGACTATTAAATTAGGATATGGCATCAAAGTGATTAGTTTTAACGAACCTTATCTGCAGATGATCCTATGGTGGTGGCTACTTCTACACTGTAAATGATGCCATAGTTCTTAATCAGGGAAGTAATTTTAGGGATATCAGCTGGTGGGAAAAAGAAATTTCTCCAATTATTAGGAGTCCCATTGTCAAACAAAATTCCACCTTCCAAGTAACTGATTTCATTAATCCGTTGTTCATTTTCACTGAGTTGTGAAATATAATATTCTTCGGCTTCTATAAAATCTGAGAAATTGCTGTAAAGTATTTGTGTCCACCTAACCTGAAAACACATTTATAAGTCCAAACAATATAAGGCAAGTTGTTACAGTAAACTTCAGAACCAAAAGGCTTTGTACTTACCCTATTGATATGGGTGTCTAAAGCAATTCTTGCTCTGGTTATAATTCCAAATTGGCCAAGACCACCCAAAACAGCGTAGAACAGCTCTGAATTGTTATATCTGGAGCAGGTCAAGAGCTCTCCTTTTCCTAAAAGGAGCAAATTTAATCATTCTCAAACAACTAATTAGTCTTATTAAGAGCCAATCAAAGTAGACCATAAACTGGATATTTTATGATTCTCAGCCACCAAAATGCATAGCAAAATAATAATAATGATAACAATACCAGTAACAACATCCATTTCATAAACGTTGGAAATCTGAGGACCATAACGAAAGGCTTGACCACTGATCCCTGCATTAGAAAGAGTGCCACCAACACTTAGCTTCAAATAGTCCGTCCATGAAACAGCCGAAACTCCTTCTTTTACAGTTGCATTTAACACATCAATCCATAGTTGCTCTCCTCCAACATCAGCAAACCGCCTCTCTTTATCAATACTAATCCCCTTCCCACTATCCCTTAAACCTTTCATGTCCACTACCACTCCGTTGTAAGCCATGTCCTGTCCATGTGTAGAATGGCCATTGCCTCTGACAGAAATTCCAAAAGGAACGCAACACATAAAGGAAGCTTTTACAAGACTCGAAATGTCTTGTACGGACGTTGGGTAAAGAACAGCTGCCGGTTTGTTGTGAACTATGTTTCCATAATCAGTAGAGACTGATTCTATGGAAGTAGCATCCACATGAAGCTTATCTGATAATTCATGTGGGATTGGACATCTATTTATTAAAGTTTCTGATTTTCCTAGATCGGGAAACAAATTGGCCATCATGAATAAGATAACAAGAAAATTTCTTGGGAATGGAGAATTCATGGCCATTGTCATGGCTAGTGAAGAAGATCGATGCAGTGCAAAGAGAGATAAAGGTTTTGTTTGTTGATAGAGTGGAGAGGGAAGGAAGGGGGTGCTGGTGTATATATACAAGGAAGGATAACACTTACCTATGCATGTACAGATAATTTAATGAAAACATGCCATATATATACGAGGATATTGTTGAATGCTTACCATTCACTGGAAAAAAAAATTTAAAAAAAAAAGCGTTAAATGGTAATTTTTTTTTGTAAAAACACTTAATTATTGACTTAGTGTACGACCAGTTCAATACATTGAATGGAGGTAACTAATTTATTGTAAGAAATTTATAAGTTTATATGAAATTGAATTACTTAAAAAAAAAGGAGGGTTATACGTTTTTTATTTTGCAAACATCAAATTTATGGCCAAATCTGATTCCCTAACTGAACAATGATTTTGAGGCCATTTTTAACTTTAATTTATGGCCATTTTTGGTTAATTGTATTATTTCTGGATTGTTTAAAGATTTTTTGAAAAGAATTTAGATTATCTTTCTATTTTTATTTGAAGTTATATTCTCTTACAACTCTTAGTATATAAAATATCAATTCCATATTCTAAGAAAAAATTATATTAATCCTGTACTGAAAAATGATTTCTAAGAAATTTTTTGAATTATAAAGAGTTTTTTAGGGGCTGGTAAAAAAACAAAGTTTATAAATTTAAAATTAAAATATGAGAAATTATAAATTTTATTTTATTTTCAATTAAAATATACATTACCTAATATGAGATGAAATGACAAGAATTTCTGAAAAATTATTATTACTAGCACCAAACTTTTAAAAATTATTCAAAATTTAAAAAATGCGTGGTGTAAAATTTACTATATGAAACTAACTAAGCATACAAATATTCCATTTCTCCATTCATGAAATAAATTAATTTATTTTATACTATATATAAAGAGTTTTTTAAGGACTGGTGTATTGGTAAAAAACAAAGTTTATAAATTTAAATTAAAGATATTGGAAATTATTAAATTTTATTCTATTTTCAACTTTTAAAATAATAACTATTACCTTAATATGACAGATGAAGCACTTCCAGAATTGACAAGGAACATTTTGAAAAATTATTTATTAATGTCACACCAACACTTCTTTATGAACCATTCATCAAATTTTAAAAAAAATGGCGTTGGTGTTCAAAATTTACTATATGAAACTAAAACTAATGCATACAAAATATTCCCATTTCTCCATTTCAATGATAATCAAATTAATTTATTTCCTTATACTATATATATATCACTTAATATAATAGCTATATATATAATGATAAACTACTTTATAATTATATATATATCACATCATACTTATATTACTACTATATATTATATTCCATTTCTCCAGTTTCATGAAATAAGATTTAATGTTTTATACTACTATATATATAGTATATATTGTATATAGTACTATATACCAAATACTATAGTAACATATTTTGACTATATATATTTATAGTATATTTTGTAAATATTCATGAATGGAGAAAATGGGAATATTTGTAACTTAAATTTATACTGTATATACTATCAGTACAGTATAATAATATACTTAAGTATACATATATATATACTACGGCCTATATACTATGGCAAGGTAGTATATAACTATTATATAAGTACTTGCTATCATATACACCTACTCGTTATATACTACACCTATATAGTTATAAAATAAATAATTTATTTCATGAATGATGAAATGGCAAATATTTGATAATGCTATAGTTAGTTTCACTTATAGTAATTTCTCTTACATCCACGCATTCTTTAAATTTTTGAATAACTTTTCACTTATAGTATATATCTACCATACAACTACTATACTCAATACTAACCGACATATATCATATATCTATTATTATAATATAATCATAACAGCTGCCTAATCCAGACCCTGGTAAATCTTAAGTCAATGCATGACACATGAAACGGCTTCAGAAGAAAGGAAACCAAAAGCCATGCTCATTATACATAGATCAACCATTAGCTATCCAGAACCATCCAATAGTTAATGTTTCATATGATAAAACGCGAGGAATGTCCTAAATTCTATAGGGAACACTATATTATTAAACAGTGGTAGGCCAAGTCACGCAGCTCATATTGATCAATATATAATAGAAAATACCAGGTGGAAGGAAAACGCTCTATACTTTCCACCTGTAGAGAAGCGATCAAATATTGCAGATAAACTCCATCAAAACTGACTCTAAAGCTTATCCCAGTCGACCAATAAGGTTGATACAATTCATTCTTCGATAAATATATATATATAATCAAAACAGGGTAATTAATCAATTTGCATGAACGTTCAGAAGAAAGGAAAAAAGCCATGCTTTATATAGATCACATTAGCTATCAGAACCTCCATAGTTAATGTTTCATGATAAGAGAATGTCTAATTTATAGGACTATATATTATAACATAGGCCAGTCAGCAGAATGATAAGAAATAGAAATACCAGTGGAGAAACTATTATTTACAATAGAGAAGGATCAAAAGCAAACTCCACAACTGATCTAAGCTCATCCCAGTCACCATAAGTGAACAACTCATTCTCATAAGAACTTGAAACGGTCGAAGATGAAGCCATTGATGGAGGCTGATGATAATGTTGCTGTTGATGATGAAAATGAGGTATAGAGCTAACCTGGTCTACATGAAACTGTTTCCTCTCATTAAAAACAGGCTTCTTTTCACTATATTGAATAATATCAGGAGCACCGAAGCTCAGATAATTTTCTCTGCTATTTGAATTCGCACTGCATGTTTTTGAGCTTGTGTCATTGGCTGCTTGACGTTTGTTAGATAATTCTCTCCAGTCTGGTGTATATTTTCTGTGCGAAACATTTCTCTTGAAGATTCTACAAAGTGTCCATACTTCCTGTAATTTCATCAAATTAGCATATGGGTAAATTTTATTTAGATTTATTAATCCGACTCTAACTAATTTGAATTGGATGACATTTCTTACAGCTTCTAGAGTAGAGGTTTTGGCATTGACAAGATTTGTAGTATCATTGGCAGGAAGACGAAATTCATGCATCATCCAATCGGTTTTGGTGCCTTTTCCCGCACTGCCACGGTAGTAGACTAATGTTTTCTTGAGTCCAATACAGTCTCGGCCTTCTCCTCCATGTGAGTAGACAGGCTTGTCGATGCCGGTTGCTTTCCAGAATCCAGACCCAGTTACCCTATTTGGTCTTATGCTGTTCCTATATTTCCTCCCTCTTTTGCAAAAGAAGTAGCCTTCTTTGTCTCCAACACTGCTAGGCTCTATATCATTTCATTAATAAATAACATCAAGTTAGAGGGATTAATTTAATTTTTCAGGAAGCAACTAAAAGTTAAAGATTGCACTTGTTAATTACACTTTCATTAATTTAATTGCATTTATTTTATTTTATATGTAACTTCAAAAGCTTTGTGAATTAATACAAAATCGCAGACTGTTGCATTAATTTACCAAAAAAGAAACAACTGTTTCATTTGTGTACGTAGCAGACATCAAGTTCAAAGAACCCTAACTGGGTTAAGAAAATACTAATTACAGTTAGTTAGTTTAATTCGCACCAAAACAAACTATATATATGTACGTACGTCATTTAATTGAACAATTAATCTCTTCAAATATTATTTAAGTCATCTGTTAGGATATGAATATAATTGTATCTTGGGATAAGTGTTATCCTATGTAAGTGCTATAACTCTATTCTTATTATATTTCTTCTGTATGAACACAGAAACACTCACTTTCGTATATGCATATATAGAGAAGCAAGGAGAAAGAGCAAATTAAAATTTAAAAAAAAAAAAAAAAAAGAAAAAGAAAGAAAAACTATACTATATGGTTAACGTAACGTCATTTAATTGAAGCAATTAATCTCTTCAAAATACTTATTTAGAGTCATCTGTTAGCGGAAATAAGGATGAATATTAAATTGTAGTCCCTTTGGGGAAATAAGTGTTATCCTATGGTAAGTGCTATAAACCTCCTATTCATTGATTATATTTCTTCTGGTATGAAACAGAAAGCACTCCCAACTTTCCGGTAATAATTGGCGATATATAGGAAGAAGCAAGGAGGAAAGAGACCAAAGTTAAAATGCTTAAAAAAAAAAAAAAAAAAGAAAAAAAGAGACCAACAAGAAAACGACAGCATACTGTAGGGAAGATCCCATGGATCGAAAGTTTGGTAAAGATATCACTTGTGTTGATGAATGGCTCAGTAAACTGGAGGTAGATTGGTTGCTTGTCAGACCGTTTCATTCGAAGGACCTAAAACCCACGCAAGGTCTCTTTCCCGGTCCCCATATTGGAATGACATCGAATCCTGCGAAAGTGTACTTCGTAAGCCTTCCTTCATCCCTTCCATTATCTTGACGATCACTTGTTATTGGTTATTAATGTATTCCATGGAACTGGCTCCGATAATGTTGTTCCTCCTGAAAATATTGTCTCAGTGCAGTTTTAAAAAAAAAAAAAAAAAAGAAAAAGGAAGACAAACAAGAAACGAAAGCATACTTGGAAGATCCCATGGATCGAATTTGTAGATATCAACTTGTTTGATGAGCTCAATACTGAGTGGTTTCTTGTCAACCTTTCTTCGAAGATAAAACCCAACGAGTTCTTCGTCAGTTGGATGGAATCGAAATCCTGGAAGTGCAACTTCTTCTTCATCTTCCATATCTTGACGATCACTGTTATTGTTATTATTATTCATGATCTGGTCTGATAATTTTTCCTCTGAAAATATTTCTCAGTGCAGTTAACAAGATGAAAAGAAAAGAAAAATGATATATAACAAGTCATGAGAGGCGGTGGATGAGGTCCAAGTCATGTGTTTGACTCTGTGGTATTAAGGGACCAGAGAGATATTTAGAATTAGGAGAAAGAGTCATTCTCATTAATTTTGTTTACAGGTAGCCATCGGAGACTTTATCATATACAGAAATGAGTATTTATTCTATGCAGCGCATGCATTTTTACTTTCGTTTTGTGTATTTAAACGTAACAATGCCAATAATGTTTATATCTTGAATATTTATCACCTCATCTCCAAGTTAAAATGACATTTTATGACCCTAGCTAGCTAGTACCTATCTACCTGACCTTTCTTCTACACTTCATTTCCTCCTTTTCCCTTTCTATCAATTTTCTCTCTAGTTACTGCTACGTACGTTTTGAATAAAATGATATTTTTATTAAATTATATTCGTGCTATTCAACGGCACGTTATTTACAGTAATATTTAGAAGTTGACAGAGTTTTTTATCAAATATTATTTTTCCTAATATTTAAGTTCTGCGCAACAATAATTCAAATCAATTAATTACCATTTTTGCAAAGAAAAAAATATAATTAGTGAAATCCTTTAATTAATTTATACTCTTTAATTAGTACCCACGTGATCAATTAACCACTGTTTAGCTAAAAGGGAAAGAAAATTGGAGTATCAATTAAAGCCTAATCAAAACCATGAATATGATAATTGATCATGACCCCAGAAGGAGACTCTATCGTACAAGAGATTACTAACAAATAAATTTATTTAATTACGTGGCAATTATACTTAAGTAAAAATTGTATTTTCTTCTTAAGAGATGTTAATAGACACACACACACACATATATATATATATAGAACACTTACTTGTATAATTCAAAGTAAAATTGCATTCTAGAATTGGAGAGTGTACAATATTTGACCAATATTATATAAATATTAATACTTAAAAATTGGTGAGTGAAGAAGATGTGGCAACTATTGTTTAAAAATTACCAGATTTGACTTGCAACAAAAAGGAGAGAGTGATGTTTTTGCATGTACATATGTCTTTGAATTGCCATTGATGATTATATATATATATATATATATAGCTCAATGATGAAGATTGAAGGGTGGGGATTTTATGTAATTTTGACCATCTAAATGCTGTTTTAATCTTATTCTTCGATTGCTTAGATGTGAACTGCGAACAACAATTGGATTCCTGACTTTAGGACCAAATTGGTCAAACTTTTACGTCTAGTAAGAAAAATAGAAAATTATCTAAAAAGGTTTAATTAGCTATCATTTAGCTCAAGCATTATTATTATTATTATTGTTGTTGTCGCTGGTAGTATATCTTAGACTAAGATTAGGACTAATTTTATTGTTTTAGTTTATGTAATCTTTTATACTATGATTTTCTTATGAATTTAAAAATAATTTTCGAAAATAATATATACGTGAAGTTCTTTTCCAAATTATTGAAATCAATTAGCAATAACAGTATTAAATTACAAAATAATGCAGTTAGGTTATAATGACGTACTAATTACATAGGCAATTTTATCTCTTTCTGCTTGTTTCTTCTTTTGTACATATGGGGAACTGAGGTTCTTGACATATCAATGTCGCTTTGGGAAAATGTCTTAATGATAATTACAGCCTAAGAACAACTCTTTATTTCGTAAATCTAATCATCTATATAAATACATATACTAAGAACAAGTACATGTCTTTTTTGGTAGCATTCAATTCAAGATTGCAGATTTCATTCAACTCTTTCTGCCTGTTTCTTTTGTAAATGTGGGGAACTAAGATTCTTGGATATCAATGTCGTTTTGGGAAAATGTCCTAATGTTAATTACAGTTTAATCAAAATATATTATGTTTTGTAATTAGTAGGAATGACAACCGATGAGTTTTCGAACGTCTGTATTTACCCTCCACAATTAAAAAAAAAAAAGAATTCATAAGTTGATTATGGACATCTGTATTTACTTATTAATTAAAAAAAATTAAGGAAGTTGATTATGTTGCTTTTCTAGAAGAATTCAGAAATCATTAACACGAAGGTGGAAATGGTTTCAACAGTGTATTCATAAGTTGAAGAAGTGAAATGTTCAAAGAAAAGAAAAGGTAACCATTTTGGTTGAAAATTAAACATTACAACTTATGATTTAATTAATGCTGAATTGACTGGACCATGCTACCAAGTCATGAATCATTAATCGGCCAAAAGTCAAACTACGATTCAGCATTAGTCAATAAACAATCCTTGGAGGGTACAGATTAAGACAAACTCAATTAAAAATTCCTTGTTCTATTTCCATAAAGATCTTCTTTTTTTTTTTTTTTTTCAAAAAATCCTTTAATTCTCTCCAATCCTTTACATTAATCGGAAACTTGATACAGTTGTTCCATTTTATTGATAGTTAGAAATAAACTATTTTTTTTTTTTTTTTTTTTTCACAACCTTTAATTCTCTCCAATCCTTTACATAATCGGAAACTGATACAGTTGTTCCATTTTATTTGATAAGTTTAGAATAAACTATCTAAGCATGATATTATGTTAGTTAAGCAAAAAAAAAATTATTAAGAAGGGTCGAACTATTTGGAATTTTTCAAGTTTTCTAAAAATCTCGAATCAGTAAAGTTTAATTGACGATAATAAAATAACTATTTCCTTAATTTACTAAATCAGTGAATACGTTTATAGTCGAGACTATTCGAATTCGAGAGAGTTTTGATTGCATTGATTGTTCCAAGAAAGCTACCAAGTTCCACTAGCTTGTGCTGACAAAATATGTGTCACAGTTTGTCTCTTAAATTAAAAGACTTACCGGCTGAAGGTATACAAGGGTTCCAAAAAGGCTTCTAGTCAAACCATTCACGAAGAAAAGGTTTAAAAAAGGCAAAAGAAAGAAGGGACAAAGTCAAAGTCCTTAGTCAACAAACCTGAAATTTTTGTACAGTGAAGATTTCAAACCACGGAATTGATTGGTTGCATCTCAACCAGCCAATACAGTACAGCCCTTTGTGTGTACCTTTGCCCTGTACCTTGTCACTGAATAATTCCAGCTAGGCCCCACTTCATTAATCTTGCATTTTGTGTATTGAAAATAAAATTTTGACCGTTGGATTATTATTTCAATGTCAAATTAATTGCTATCGGTGTATTCCTACTTCCATTAAATAAATGTGAAAAATCACTATTGTTCCTTTTCTTCTCTTTGTTGATTATTATTCTGTTTCCAAGAGAATAATCTGTGTTCAAATTAAAAAAAATTTTTTTGATAAATTTGAAGTATGAATCTCATTAGTGTATGAATGGAATTAACAAAAAACAAAAGGGTTGAATATTCAGCGAAAGCGAAGCCATAGGCGTTCTTGATGGATGGATAAAGCTTATGGTTTTAATCTCAAATCCACGTTTTTCCATGCTTTTGCTCTCTGATTTTCTGATGAAACGACTAAATAACAGAGGAAATGGTATTGAAAGTGTCTGATGTTAATGATTAGGGTTATGTACTATTTTCTTGAAAGGAAGCTTCCATCGTTCTTCCATGCAGCATCGACTTTTACCTTACCTTATAATGTGCAGTTTGAGCCAAGTCTCTCGTATCTCTCATATATCAAATCTATCTAAATATATATATTTTTAATTCATTGGAGATCTAACGAGTCGAAATTGATAAAAATAATTGTAGTCTTAAATTTGAAATTTCTTAATTTTTGTATGAGAGAGAAGATCAATTAAATCATTGCCTTCTTAGCAAACCATCTAAATGTTTGTTGAACTGGTCTTTTTAGTCTTTCATCATTCACAATCAGTTTAGTATCTATTGACGATTTAGTATCTTATTGTTTCAAGAGAATGTGAATCAAATATCTAAAATTTCCATAAGAAAAAAAAAATTCAATTTTAATGTTGAATCTTTTAATCCATCTCATTTAATGTTCTGATTAAAAAAAAAAACAAACAAAATGTACGAAAACAACGTTCAACAAAATTATACACAATTTAGAATAGTAAACTACGAATTCAAAATTTCTTGGGCCTTGTAAAGAAGGAGCTACGACATTCAACTCTATGTATGCATACGGGCCTAACGGCCTGAGGAAATTACCGTATTAGCAAACGATAGAACTCGTCGTATGTCGGAAACGACGACGTTCAAAAGTACAACTTGGATCTGAATCCTGAAGCCTAGTTTTAGTCTTTCACTTGTTCGAACACAATAAATACGATATTCTTCAAAGATATACATAAAAACTCACCTCCCTAACTACAAGCATTATATGTGACTTCAAGAAATAGTGTCGAGCCTCCTTGATCTCCTTCTCTGCAATAGCCGTTAACATAGATGCTACAAATAGCTTGCAAGTATGCTATATGTGAGATTAGGATGTTTGGAAGGTATGAATTACAAATCGGGGTTTTAGGACGGAAAGAATTGGAAATTGGGGATTTGTAGGGAAGGTGAGCTCCAACTCAACGTTGGATACAGAGTTCAAAGGATGTGTTTAATTAACAGTAAACCAACTTGCCGTTGCTGTTATGTCGTTCGACGACAGCCTATAAAGTGAAATAGCGTGTCGCAGGAAGGGATTATTTGGTTAAAATAAAAGAAGGGGTAATTACTATTTAGCGTCTCAGAAGGTTTAGTCAAATAAACTACTAAGGACTTTAGTTTTCAAATTTTAATCCCTCAATTATCATTCCCTTATACTGTTTGGTCCAAACGTTAATTTGTCTGGTAAATAGCTATCAAATGTCTAAATTACCCTTAAGACTAAATCATGTGATAGTCACATGGGTTACTAACGTTCGAATGGCTCTAGGATATAAATTTTTTTTCTTGAACTATTAATAATTAATAATTAAGTTAATAGGATATATGATTTTTGGAAGCATCTATTTTGAAGACCTGAAGCCATGTATAACACTAACGTAAAGCATTAAAAATAAACCAATAAAGCAAGAAGTTTATTTATTTATTCCAGATTTCGAAATTTGCAAGTTTGGCTCCTTTTCACATTTCGCCCTGTACATTGTGTATGCTGTATGTCCCTGCATTTGGGAGGCTAGGCTTGTTTATGTATCATAGATGTCCAGAATTTTTATTTTTTTATCCTTTTGTCAGATTTTCTAACTATGGTGTTCCTCGTATTACATGTATCACTATTCTGGATCTGGACATACTTCTTGCCCCACTCGAAGCCATGAGTCCATCCGCAGCTCAGTCTCATCACTCTTCTCATATCTCAACAATATTCCAAACAGAATCTTCCCCTGTTTTTATCAAGAAAATTTACAGTTGCTAGGAATTTAAATGAAACAGCAAGCTAAGTTTTGAGTGTGGCAGTATAGCCATGAACGAAGAAAGGCATGAGAGAAAAGCATATTGGCTGTTTTGAGTGTGGCAGTAATGGCTAACCTTCACTCTCCTGTATGCAGCTAAAGTTGCCAAAGGTTCATTTGACCTCAGCACTCGTCCACCTTGATGCACCAAATTGATCATTTGGCAACGATTGCATCCACCCAATGACTGGTAATGGGAACAACATTGTTAAATGGAGAGAGAGAGAGAGAGAGAGAGAGAGAGAGAGAGAGAGAGAGAGAGATAAATGGAGAGGAGAGAGAGAGAGAGAGAGAGGAGAGAGAGAGAGAGAGAGAGAGATTAATGTTGGAGTGATGGAATAATTAGTCATCTGTCCTTATTTGGGTCTTTCAGTTCCATGCATTTTAGAAGAACATTCTTGTTAAACTTGTGTTCATCATGTCCATGATTCACTATAATGTAAAGCCAATATATGATGGATGGATTATGCAAGAATGATCTAGGAAAACAGAGAGAGAGAGAGAGAGAGAGAGAGAGAGAGAGAGAGAGAGAGAGAGATTAATGTGAGTGATGGATAATAGTCATCTGTCCTTATTTGGTTCTTTCAGTTCCATGCATTTTAGAGACATTCTTGTTAACTTTGTGTTCATCATGTCCATGATTCACTATAATGTAAGCCAATATATGTGGATTATGCAAGAATGATCTAGAAAACAGATGATACAGTAAAATATAAGCAGTTCTATAGATTTCATGCTATCATGGGTGAAGCTGTTGTTAATGTAAGAACATAGATGAGTAATAATCTACTTATATCCAATATCAAATCCATTAGTCTCCAGTCAGAACTTACTGTAAAATGCTTGTTCCCAATTTCGAGACTTCGCCATGCATCTTCAGCATAAGGTTCACCCCCAGATATGACAAGGTTGGGCCGAAATCTCATTGGAGTTATTTGAATGGATGGTCCACCAGTTCCTTTTTGCTCATCTGAAATCATTAAGAAGGTATTCACATGTACAATTCCAGTAAATAAGAAGATAAATTAACAAAAATTAAACTACCACATATTTCACACGATAAATTGTGAGCAAAAAAACGAAAGATCACTCATTCAACAATACAATTGGAACATTAAAGCACAACCCAGGTCATCAATTCATGCATATTTTTATGGTTTTTTAATGTTATTATTTACAAGCATTATAATCTCGAGTAGAAGCACAGTGGAGGAGATACCATCACTAGTGAAAGTCGGGGTGGGGGTGGAAGCAAGCCTTAATCCAAATCTAATTCGGGATCCCTATATGTATGCTTTTCTAATTTCTTCACCCCACCCGGTTTAAGGGCTACCTTTTAAGTATATAAATTTCCAAAAATGACATGGTTCATTTACTTGTGGGAAATGCTATAATTCATGCTAAGAAAGTGAAAGTACTAGCTGTTCTGTGACTTCGAAGGACTAGAATAGAACATACTCAGGCTTAATCTGTTTTTGAGGTCAGATACGCTTTCCTCTGATATTAACAAAAACTGAGCTTCATTGGCAAAACTCGATCTGTTATCAACATCTCTGCACATGTTGAAACCTCTATTCTTGTTCCTGCAGACATGGTCTTTAGGCCCAGTATATCGTAATAAAGTGCAGGGACGACCTACAGCATTGCTAAACCATAGATTGACATCATTTTCATAGTGATGTACTTCAAACCTGCCAATCAGCAAATAACCATCAGACAGGCAAATAATCAAAACAATATGTTAGTTATTATAAATGACAAAGAGGGGACAGAAAAAGAAAAAAATATTTTTTAAGAGAAAAAAATTATACGAAGATTGAAATCAAGAAGGAATGGAGGATTTTAATAAAGTAAGAGGAAATAGGTTAAAAACAATTAAAGAGCTTTCTTATGCCTCTGCATATCTTCTAAATAAAATCCTCTAAACGAATTGCAAACAGGAGTTGATTAACCTTGAACAAGTTAGGTAAACCTCCTGCCTAGTTTGGTAATGAGCTAATAAAATATGTTACTCTGCATTTATTACCAAACCTCTTGGAATGCAACTGAATTTCTTCTTTTGCACCAGTATAAGAATCTATATTTAGGTTGATCTGCAACTTCACCATACATCGAGGGGACTCGACAAACATTATGCCTTGATTTAGGTTAATAGAAGTTCCAATAAAGCACATTTCAGGAACCTGGAAGAGAAATTCTGACAAATTAATGCTCCATCATGTGAAAGAAAAATGAAAAATGAAGTTGCTATAGTTTCTTCATATAGTTCAGAATTTTGATTTCCAGGTATAGTAAATTGAACAGTTACGCAAAGGTAAACATATTTCATTCAGTAGATAACTCATCTACTTTCCTAAATTAAACCAGCACAAGTTTTAAACAATTCTCTCTGTTGTATAGACTAGTAGGCAGTGGACCTAATGAATTAACAATTGTCTGCACTTTGAACTGCTCGCCTCAAAATTCTAGTGCATCAGGAGTTCAGTTGAATTAAAGACAAAAGAATTGTTAGCTAGCTAAAGAACAAGGTGTCTGTTGGCCATACTGCTCCAATGCATATAAATCTGGAGCAAGTTACTAGCTAGTTCATCTATCTTCCTGTCCAGTAGAACAAAAGCAGCCAGCACTTCAAAGGAAAAAACAACGCAATAACTAAGACATACAACCGCAAATAAAGGTCAATTTCAGGCTTCACACAAATGATTATTCCCTGTGCATAATTTATTCACCTTCTTCTGTGTAAGAATTTCACCAGTCAGACTCCGAAGAAGCCATTCACGGTCATGTTGCAAACCTGATAATTTGGCAATAGAACAAATTATAATTCAAATTTAGCATCAAAAGTATAGTGCACATGGTTAATACTCAGTATTAGTTGAACAAGGAAGATACTAATAGCATTTATGTTAAAAATAAATGAACATATATGTGCACATGTTGTTCAATTCAATCCAAATAAGCTACCAGTGCTGCTCAGAGGCCAACTTTCAACACTGAATCCTCCACATGACTTTATTGGGTAAATTGTAATAGACTTAAGATGATAACCCACAGGTGAGTGTCTTCTTTCATGCCATGAAATTTTAGTGAAAAGTCAGATGTTAGGTGCCCCATACTGAAGCTGACAAAAATAATAGTTACTAATATTTTGACTTTGGAGGGGAAACCATGTCACAGCTTTGAATTTAAGTATAATAGCACCACTGAAAATGCTCAAAAAACTCCCCAAGTTAAAACATACTATGAAAATCCTATAGCCAAGTAAAACAAATTGACTCCAATACATGAGCAATTTTTATGGAGACTCTTAAACCACGAAGGTGAAATCAAGAAAATACAAGTGACACCCATTCATGCTATTAACTATACAACTTGGGCAGAAGGTACTACTTTTCCACTCTATAAAAGCATTGTAAATAGTGAAATAGTTTATATTCGATGGGACAATGCAATGGCATATATTGACATTCATTCAAGTATATCATACAACTAGAAAGCTCAGTGGCTTCCTATTGTCGACAATTGAAGACAGGCAATATTTATCACACGGCATGATAATGCAGTTTTATTTACATGTCATTTTATTGGTGACAGTATAGAGGAATGTAAACAACAAACCTTCACTTGAGAAGAGGATGGACCTTGTTGTCAACAAATTCCCATTTCCAGACTTATTTGGCATTGATACAAATGACCTTGTGATAAAATCAATAAATTTCTGCATATCAAATTAGAGAATGAATCATAGGCAGATTTCTTTCAAAAATTCATTGTGTTCCTAATAAATGTAAAACAACCACCACTTTACTAGAAATTTAGATGAATGGCCAGGCCAGTCCTTAATAGTTGAAAGTTCTAACTGTTGAAGTTGGAGAGCTCAAGTTCATATACAACCATATTGAAATCCCATATATTTCCAATGGGATCCTAGGCAAGTCCCATATACACTCATGAACATCTATTTACCTTGGCGTCTTCATAGGTTGACATGTAACCAAATGATATTCTGACGGCTCCAGTTGGTTTTCCATGTATTATGTCATTATCATCCCAGCAAACATGCCCAGCCTGAATTCATACATATGAGTAAGGACATATTATGTGCCTGAAAAAGTAACCAAAAACTTGCAAAACCATCACGCGATCCATCTTTTTGCCCCCCCACTAACCAATGACAAAGAAATTACCTCCAAGTTCGAAAGAAGATCCAAGTGAGACAATCCCAGATACTTTGCACATGCTCCAGGATTGCAAAAGCATCCTGTCTACATAAAAATAGTAGGACAAATAGTAAAACCAATACCATCAGCATTGAGATTAGTTGAGCTACGGATTTTCAACTTTCTCCAAGATGGAAACAAAGTATTTTCAAAGTTTACCCGTAAATGGATTCCAGATAGGGAAGCCAACTTTTCCACCTCACGGTATCCAAACCAAGAACCATCAGGTCTTTTCAAATTGAATGATAGTATGGGACCAAATTCATGAGAAAGTAACTGAAAGTGGAAAGTGTAATCTATATGAGAAACTTCCAAAAAGTCCAGCAAAAAAACGGTAGAAATTAAAGGCACATTCAAAAAAAGGCTGACATGAATTTACATGCACATAAAAATTAAAAAATAGGAAAACTCACATGCAGAAGGAACTCCAAAGTGAAGGATTCCATCATTCACTCGGTCAGAGTTTCAACATATGCAAAGTAACCTAAATTAACCTTTATCCTAGAACGAAAGCTCAATTGATTTCAGTTTGCAGATGTGCTCTTTATCCTTTATCCTATTAATTAAATATCACTCCTAATGAGAGACCAGAACACTGGAAATGTCAAAATTATGTCAGCATTAATTAAACAAGCTAACCTTTGAAGAATGACTCTTGTAAATTGTGCAGACATCAGCCCCATTTTCATGCCTTAAAGCCAAAAGTATCTTCTCCAAATACATTGCAAGTGACAACGTATGCCTGAAAGGACACAAAGGAAACGAGGATGAGGGGGGAAAAGGTACAAAATGAAATCTCAATTAGACTATAAAGTAGACAAAAGCACATCAAAGAAGATATATATCACACATAAATGAGCAGCCAAAAATTTTATTTCACCACCTACTGGATGTTCTATTAATTTGAAAGGACTTTACTCCGCTGCTAGTTGACAAAAAATATTAACAGAGGGGTGCATCTCCATCAATTTTTCCCATTTTTTTTTCTTTTCCTACTTCTTCATCCCTGTTTGTATGTCTATATGTCGAGGTGATTGCCAGAATCTTGGTTCCATTTAATGACATATAATGTAAAACAAGGGACTATCTGCAAAATCATTATGACCTATTCCACCTACCGGAATATCCCAGATGCAGTTAGAGAATTGAGTATTTTGAACCCATGGCGTAAAGATGCTATGCTCAAAAATGAAATAGTGCCATCCTCAAAAAGCTCCTCAACACTTTCTCTTCTTTTAACAAAGTCCAGGTCAGCAGATGATGCAGCAACAGTGCCTGGAATTCTTTTAAATTAACCCACGCAAAAATGATATGACACAATGACTTCGATTAAGACCTCCATGCGCTAACCTCCACTAAAGTAAGTCTTCTTTAATATTTTAGCAGCATCTGTGGTATCAAAATAAAGAAAAAGAAAATATTAGGGAGAACCACTTTGTGTCTTAGGATTTGATTAGCCTAATAGCAATAAATATTTGAAGCTCCTATACAAAGATCATTTATTGTATTAGAAGACAGGGGAAAGGATGAAGGGGAAGCAAACTGAGCATTATCATGCAATAAATATGCTCAATTCCTTCAGATGATAGCAATGATTTTGCACCCTTGCCAAGCAGGTTAAACAAATGATGAGATTATCTGGATTCTTGAAGCATGAATTACGAAATGAACTTCAATTGCAATTCAAAGAAAAATTCTTCACATAATCAATCACTTACCATTTTGAACAATGAGAGCACCAAGTCCAGTTGGATAGCCAAATAACTTGACAAAATAACAAGACAAACCGTAAATGTCACATGAAAGTAATCCTAATCATTAAATGAATGTAAAAGCATTTGTACCTTGTAAAATGAGATTACAACAAAATCAGCAGGGTACTTCGACAAATCTGGTGGTTGTGTTGCACATCCTTTTGCAGCATCAATCAAGACCATGCATCTCCCCCTATTTACAACTAAAGTTTTGAGATTATGGAATTGTATACTTCACTCTTAACCATTGACAGCCTACATCTATTAGAGGCCATTAGGACAAGACTCTCTCTTTAATTGATTTGATGAGGATAAAAATAAAGCACATCCTAGCTCTAGATGTATCTCAAATGGCCCACCCTATCCCTCGTTGTTCATTGTCCAAAGCTAAGTGCTGCACTAGAAGCAAGATTGAGTTGAAATCATTAAATATTTAATTAGGCTATCAACAAAACCACCAAATTTTACTCTTGTCCACACTAATCACCAGAAAATTACAAAATTATTTCATTCCCTTTTATTCTAAATTTACTCAACTATTTAGTATCCCATAAGCATGTATATCACCAAGACAATCAGAAAGGACAGCAAATTAAAATTTCTGAGGAAGCAAATGGTGTACTCAAATTTGTGTTGGAGAGTCCGATGTTGTTGACTAGAAATCAATATAGTGGCACCCGGATCAATTTGGGAGTGCCAATGAAAATAAAAAAATGGCAGTATCATGCCAGCAGTTTAACTAATCTGGAATACAGTCACAGCCAAAAAGGGAGAGGAGACTGTAAGAAAGAAGCCCATGTGTGACATCAAAAGGACCAAAAAGTTAACAACACACTCGATGAAAAAATGAATTGCATACTTGCAAAATTGAGAACCTCCCAAAATTCTTTCTGGATTTTCCTTCATAAGCTTCACCAAGTCAAGGCTGAATCTGAAACCTGAGAAATTGCACTCAGAAGGAAAGGCAAACAAGTTATAAGCAGTACCTGCAAAAAAACAAAGTTACACCAAAGGAAAGTAAGTCAGATTTTACTTAAACCTACATAATCATATAATATTATGTAAATGCCATTGCATAACATTATCAGTTGATCTTCTCACTTATCTCTTGCAAAAGCATCAAAAATATATTATTCTACAGAGGACAACAATCAATGCACATCTAACTGATTACTTCTCCCTTGTCTCTTGCAAAAGGATAAAAAATATATTATCCTACAGAGAGGACAGCTTTCAATGCAAATCTAACTTATTCTTTCCTTGGAAGGAAATACATATACAGAGTATTTTCAAAAATTGGACGTGATATACTTTAATTACAAATAGAACAGGATGCACAAAATTCTCAAAACATTCATATAAAGAAACTAAATGGCATAAAATTGTAAATCCAGCTCAGTTTAAGAAATATTACAGGAAAATAGATGAGGTGCTTTGAATAAATGTAGTTTTCTTGTAAGCTTTATAAGGTTTGATGTTCCATTATTTGTTAATCCAAAAATTACCTGTAAGCTCTCCTTCAAGAAGTTCAGGTTCACTTCTTCGTTGAATTGGGTGAGGTGATACCTTCACCGTGGACATGTGGCTTTTGGGTGCTCCATCATGACGCACAGGACTTTCAATGTCTACTGCAAAGGCTGCAGCTCCTTGACTGAGAGCATATCTAATAATTAATGATCAAGTGCAGACAAAAATATGAATTTTTTATATTTGAAATGAAAGAGAAACTTATGCTAGGACCATTCAGCATAAAGGAATAATGTCTTCATTGTTATGATAATTAGGGTCAAAGCGTAAATATCACAACTAATGCCATCTTGCAATGATCTAAGGCTACATATCCATAAAGTTGCCACCAGTAAAATGGTAGAACTGACGGGCACTGTAGGAAAACAAATGTCAAAAAAGAGATATAATCTGAAATTCAAAGTGGCAATCAGGGAGCAGGATACTCTCGGATCCCAAGCACACTGTTATGATTTTCCATGGTGTACATAAAACTACTCCTGCAGCTCCATGGAAAGGCCTCTCCAACGAGCTTCAGAGCTGCTGTTGCACCAGAAGTGAATATGCATTTGTAGTCTTTTGGAGACGCATTGAAATATTCAAGTACCTATAAACACAATAATTTAATGGTAATAGATTGACGAATATAGATAGGGAACCCAAAAAAATATTCCTCATAAGCTTTGATAGAGCACAAATATTAACTATCTATAAATTTCTCATCTACGTTGGTATGGATAAACGTGAATATAGCTAAGTAAAAAGCAAAAGGGTGTAAGATCCATTTGGGATTGTTTTGGAAAAAAAAAAAAAATTGCAGTCGAAGTTCAAGAACGAGTTAAGGATCTTCTCTAGCAGACATTGAATTCCAATTCATGGAATGACTAAAACTGTAAAAGTTCATTGGTACAAAACAAGTGACCGATCTTCGACACGAGAAATGGGAATAAATACCTGTTGGCGTGCTTCCCTGACTATATCAGAAGCAGCCGAACTAGCTTCGCTTTGGCTATCTGAATTAGAATTTTAAATATTAGACACGATTAATTGATAAATAATGCATCATTTATCTATACAGTAAGCATTCAAAACAAGCATACGGGGATTTCCATAAACCCTAGAATTAAGATCTTCGAGAATTGCTTCCAGCTGCAATTCCGAGTGCAGAGTTGCTCCAGCATGGTCCAAGTATGTAATACCTAAATTTCCAAATCCAAAACGGTAGATGAACATTTGAATAAACAAGCAAAGAGCAAAAAGAGCAGAATATCAGACTTAAAATCTTCAATTTACTACAAACAATATCTGACCATTTTGGTCTAATCGCTTGAACTCAGTAGCTCGAATTTCATCGATACTCTTGGGACCATTCGGGTAACCGTAATCGTGGCCAAACTCCCTTAGGAACTCTTCTTTGTCCGCATCCATATTTCTTCTTCTTCACCGATGCGTATATACCTAGTGCTTACAGCTGAAGAAAGTTTGGAATGCGAAATGAATTTGTCAATTGAAAGAATCTACATTCCGCAACCCAAAAACAATGTAAGGATGCCGTCATACACGACCCATATTTTCCACTGAAATATTTTCCCGGCAAAATTTTTTCAGTAGATTTAGCTGTTTCAGTTTTTTGCCCTTTTCGTACACGGACCCATATTTTGTCAGTTTTAATGAGCTGGATTGTTTTGATTGGTCAGTCTCAGTGAGCACATTCAATTACTAGGATTTATTAGTAATTTTGAGCATATTTTTAATGATGAGTTTTAGTTGAATTTACGGAGAAGACACTTTTTTTCCAGTTAATTTTTGTATTAAATGGTTGTTAAATATCAAAAAAAAAAAAAAATTAACAATAACTTCTATATAGGGACTAAATAGCATAAAATTATGAAAATTGAAGACTTTGCTAGTGTATTTCATCAAATTATAGACACTAGAGTACTTTTAACATTTTAGAGTAAAAAAAATTTAACGGTTGTTTCTTATAGTATAATGGAATTATGATGCATTGACGTGTAATTTTAAAAAAACTGAAGTTTTTACTAGTGTATATGAGCAAAATTCATGGGCTATATAATAATTACCCATAAAATAATCAGTACATTAAATCAATAATTAATTATCATTTTAAAAAATTACCGCAATTATATTTACACAGTGAATAGACATTAATCATATTGTTTGAACTAATTAAACTTATGGAGTAGCCTTCATTATCTCAAGACTTGTTCTTCATTTAACATTTTATTCTTTTTCCCTCAAAACAAATAAATTATTATCTCTAGTATTCAACTTCATAAATAATTTATTAATTTCAAGTTGAACCAATCTCTAGACTATCAATGATTCAATTTTGTATTTCAAATTAATTGAAAATTAAGGAATTTAATCTTTCAAAAAGAAAAAAAAAAAAATTTCAATACCGTAATTAACAAAAACAAAAGGAAATGATAGAAGCCTGAATTTCATATATAGAGTACGACTTTACACCAATGTTTCATTCATAATCCAGGTATTAAATAACATAAAATCACAGATTATGACATTAAAATTTTGAAAAATATTTATTTTCTACCAAAAGTAGAAGTAGAACAAATTAAGCGTTGACAAAGTAAAAGAAAACTAATTGATTCGAGCAAAATCAAGAGACTTTTTTCCTTCATGAGCATTACCGAAGAAATTATTCATATAATCTCCAAACACAACCTCTCTGTAAAGAGCTACGCCGTCGCGCTCCACCAATTCAGCAAACGGTGCAATCTTTTCTGTTGGTTTTGGGATGGTAAAAATTGGTACCGACACTCTTGATTGGAGGCTTGTTGTTCGCACTCTATGTTCTGCGCTTTTGTACCTTCCATTGCTCAGAATCTGACCAATATAATAATAATAATAATGTCAAAGAGCGGTAGATAATATGACTTTTTTAATTCTGATTCCCCGTGTCTAATATTGCTCACACTGCGTCAAATTCACGGGAGCGCTTGTAAGGGTCTAATATTCAATCAACTTTTTACTTAAAATATCTAAATCTTTTCCACCCAGATTAATCCCATTGATAATCCATCATCTCATTTAAATAGTCAATTAATTAAACTATGGTAATGGTGAAAATAGAAAATTAGAAAAAAATAAAATAAAAATCAGATATTACTATGCTTCTTTTGTTGTGGGGTTCCGCCAACATGTGGAATCCACAGACATTTGAAAAGAAAAAAAAAAAAGAGATTCAAACGTCTGGGATCTACACACATTTGAATGAAGAAAAAAATAAAAACATGTTTTGTGTTGGTGGCAGTCAAAGAGGACGGTGCCAAACCAAAGAAAGAAAGAAAAGAAAAAAAAAAGTGGACGCGTGATTAACGCGTAAGAAAAAAAAAAGTGGACGCGTGATTAACGCGTCCACTGCGCTCCCTTCTCCTATAAAAAGGAAAAGGATTTTTATTTCAAAATGTACAAAAATAAAAACATAAAAACAAAGAAAAATTTTAGGAAAAGGGTTCCTAAAATTGGGAAAGAGAGAAAATAGTGAATATTGTAATTTTTGGGGTGTTTTTATTAAACACTAGAGTGCCACTATTTTTTGTAATCTCTTTTGTACCTACTATTTTTAGTAGAAGAATTATTCAGATTTTTTGTCCCGTGGACGTAGCCCATAACAGTTGAAGGGTGAACCACATAATTCTCGGTGTTCTTATTTTTTTCTAGCATTTACGGTAATTATTTAATTTTTCGGTTAAATTATTTTTAATTATTTTACCGTGATTTATAATCTTCTGGTGGAGTTCGGATCGTCAATATTGCAATATTTAATTATTGGAGTATAATGTGGTAATAGGTAATCTTTATTCTTACTTTTTTACATCGAATATTTTTTTCAGCGGGCCGCCACTCGGGATATAGTTAAATTCAACAGTCTTTCCTTAAAAAGGCATGTTCCTTCAATATTTAATTATTGGAGGTATATGTGGTAATAGTAATTTTATTTTACTTTTACCATCGATATTTTTTCACGGGCCCCACTCGGGATAAGTTAAAATTCCAACATCTTTCCTTAAAAAGGCATGTCCTCCTTCTCCCAAAAAAAAAAAAAAAACAAAAAAGGAATGCTCCTTCCCTTTACACCTCATGTATGGTGTAACAAGAGGTGGAGCTCCTGAGGCTTGAAGTTGGGTTCCGTCATTCCGAAAAATTTAAAAAAAAAATTTATTAATGAAAAATTACATTTTAATCTTTAAAAATATAAAAAATTATTTGTTTCCTTTAAAAATTTTAAAAAATTTTTATTTAGCTCTCTTAAAATAATTGTCCTAACTCTGTCCTGAATGTAATATTAATATGGAATCCGTATATTTAATGCACATTTAAGTTCTTAGCATCATTACAGAAACAAGTTAGATCTCAATTATGAAAAATAATTAGTCAACATATTAATTAAAAAATGCATAATATATATATTACAAAATTTGGAACTCTAACCTGTAATGTGTCACCGACATTGATGACCAAAGCACCGGTAACCGGTGGGATCTCTATCCATTCTCCTTTATCCTTCCCATCTACGTTATCTTCCAATTTCACGTATAGACCTCCAATTTCATCCTGCAATAACACAGTTAGAGTACCCATGTCGGAGTGGCGACCCACCCCAACAGTTAGCTCTGGATTTGGACACGTTGGATAGAAATTCATGTTCACCATTTTCATCCCAATCAATGCATCTATTTTTGAATCATCCAATTTCACTCCCAGCTTTTCAATTAGAACTTCAAGTAATTTTCTAACCATCTTGATCGATGTTCTTAGATATTCGAGTGCAACTTCCCTGTAAAAGTACAAATATTTCTTTAGTTAGTAATTGTACAACTAAGTCAAAGTGGGACAATCATATAACAAGACTACTGTTTGTTTTTATAAAATAACTTGTAAGAAAATATTTTTTCACAATTTTTCCGTTGTTTGAAGCGCTCAGAAAAATAAATCAATGGAAAATATTTTCCTAGTCAAACGAAAATTAAGTCATTTTTTAGAGAAAATAATTTCTTATTTTCGAGAGAGTAAAATATTTTATGGATATTGACAAACCTTATAAATTCATATTTTTAATTTATTAATCATCATAATTACTATCACCAGTCACCATTTATCACCAACCACCACCACCAACCATCACCACTGGCCACCGACAGCCATCGCCATAGGTAACTTTCATAATTTATATATATATATTCTTTTTATTCTTTTCATAGTTAACAATAAAATTTTTAAATTATAAAATTTCTATTATTATTAATATTTTTTATGGTCTTATGAGATACAAACTTTAATATTTTTAACTAATTTTCAATATTATAACAAAAAAACGGAAAATAAGTCATTTGAAAAATATTTTCAAGATATTTTTCAGCAAGTTATTTTACGGAAACAAAGGATCGTGAATGTATTTGAAAGTTGAACAAAGAATTATTGAATTTCCTTCATTAATTAACGATAACAACAGATTGGGACGATGATAATCCATATCCATGTAATGATGTAAAACAGAAAGAGTAGTGTAAATTTTTAGGTAGGAGAGTGCTTACTTGCATTCTTTAGGCCAAACTTGAAGGGCCTCATCGTCATTAGTATAGATCATACTAATATAATCTTTCCACTCTAATGCCTTCTCTTTCTCTGGAACAAAACTGGTGCCATACTTAACCAACGGGCTAGGGCTAACGCCCTTGCGATAGGCAGCCTTCTTTTCAGGTGTTTGGCTAAAGAAACTATGAGCTGCAACCTTCAAGGACTCGAGCAGCTCCAAGGGCACGCCATGGTTAATCACTTGGAAGAACCCTAGAGTCTCAGCGGCTCTAGAAATTTCTTCAACCACATGGTTATGGTCAGGACCATCTAGTTTTGACAAATCAATTGGTGAGTTATCATTAAGGGTTGCGTTTCGTTTGTCTATTCTTTCTTCTTGGGGTTGAACATATTGTTGTGGTACTTTTGTTAGGCCTAAATCCACCATCCCCTTAACTCCATTTCCGTCTCGGACTACAAAATTGAAAAGTGAGTCTCTATCAGAAAAGCTCGGAGCCATTATTGTATAAGAAAAAAGGAGATGAAGTAATAGTGGGATGGTAGTATGCAACCAAGGGAACCAATATATATAATACTAATGAAGTGATCCTAATCTCAAGTTGGGTTTACTCCCATCTTGCCTGTGATGCTGATAGGTTGATTTTGTTTAGTTAACGAATTATTGACTAAACCCTAAATTTTAATTTTTTTTAATGCATAAGCTATCGGTAAATACATATATATGTACGACTTGATAATAATATTAAAATAAAAAATCCTCCTTTAATTATAATTTATCAAAAAATATATAGAATCATCTACCTTAAAACCTAATAGTACAATTTTGAATATATTTATTTGAGACTATAAAATCAAGGATTAATTACTTTCTATTTGTAAAAGCTTAAACTTGATTAAACAGTCATTCAAATTATTTTTTTCAAAAACATAAAAAAGGGTGCTATTTAAAAAAATACTCTTCAGTGTGAATCACATTTATTTCTGTAGGTAGCCAATTAAAAAGAAAGATTTTAAAAAAAAAAATATTACCATTTTTTTCAGTAAATACGATAAAAATTTTATCATTTGAATTAAAATATTATTTATAATTAATTTAATATATAAGTGAATCAATATATTGGGATGTGGCGACGTGTTTTACTATTTCAGCAGTAAAAGATCGAAAGATAAGAAGTGGTCCGGTATAACTACTACTTTGTCCATTGTGCTAGCAGTCGAGTTTGACTGACCTTAACCCACTTTGTAGGCTATTTTTTTAATGTGTAATAAAGAAAATCACGTGCAATGGCCATGCCCTAATTTTCTAAACCCTGCAAAATAGCCAAGACTCATGCTAACAATTACTTTAAGAATGCTCATACCCTTCACTTTCAAAGAGAAATTTTATATTAATCTTGTTATAATTAATACAACTTGCTTGTTATATACAGATAAGTCTTTCTTAAAATTTGTAACTCAAATTGGTAAAAAATAATTGCATAGGGTTAATTTGTCAACCTCATACGTAGTTATACAATTAAGTCAATATTAGTATTGCATTGATAGGGACATTGAATAAAAATATATGAAAATCTATCTTCTTCAGATGACCCACAAGTTTAACATATTCAAAAAAGAAGCTAATCCAGTGTAATGCCTTTGCATGTCGGTAATATTATATAATTTACAAAATTGATAAGAAAACAAATTAGCAATAAAGTTAATTTTTACTTTTGTTTATCTGATAAATTTTAGCTTGGTGTGGTAGGTGGGTTACATTTCTTTTTTTGTTAATTTATTACAAATAAAATATTAATAACATTTGTTTTATTAAAGTTAAAATGTTAAAGGAAAGAAACATCGTATACAAGAAAACACTGTAATAATTTAGGCCCCAATTGTTTATTTTTAGTTTTTTTATTTATTAGAAACATGAAGCAATTTTCAGTTTTTGAATATTTATCTTTTGAAAATTATTTTTTTTCATGATAGTGAAAAATTCTTCTAATTATCAAATCTCTCCCTTATTAAGCCATTAAAGATTTTTAGTTAATAATAAAAATCTTAAAAGTTCAAAGTTTCAGACAGAATAATTAAAAATATTTTACAATTTAATTTTAAAATTTCAAAGTTTTAGTAACTATTGATTATTATGTTGGGTAAAAAAATAATATCCAAATATTATAATAAATAAATAATACTAAATGACATTAGATTTATATAAATAGAGAAAATAATAGTATTACCAATTTAATTTTAATTTCAAAGTTTTTAGTCAACTATCTGATATTATCGTTTGGGTAAAAAAAATAATATCGCAAATATTATAATAGAATAAATAATACTAAATGACAATTAGATTAAATGACATTAGATTTATATAAATAGAGAAAATAATAGTAAATATAAAAATAATAATAAATGGAGAAAAGATAGAGTAAATTATATGTTTATATATTTTGGATAAATAAATAACATTAGATTTATATATAGAGAGAAAAAATAATAATAATAATAACAGTACCAGCAATTTTATGAGGATAAATGTTATATAATAAATGAAAAAAATGAGCAATGTAGAATTAAAATAGAAAACACAATTCCCTAAACTACTATTTGTGGTTTCATAAAATTTTTTTTTGTTTTAAAAATAGTTTTCTCTAAAGTAAAGAAAAAAATTAAACAAGTTTTGTTTATTTTTAAAAAAAAAAAAAAAAAAAAAAAAAAAAAAAAAAAAATGAAAACAAGAAACTTAATCGGGAACCGTTTTGCTTTAGGAATTAAGGGGTTCAATTAATTAAAGTATAAAAAAAAAAAAAAAAAAAAAAAAGAAAAACAAGAAACTTAATCGAACCGTTGCTTAGGAATTAAGGTTCAATTAATTAAGTATTAACAGAGCCAACTCAGTTGAGAATATTCTATATTTATACACGTAATATGTTCACTTCTGTCACAGCCAGAAGGTTATTCTATTATTGCTGCTACTAGTCACATAGCAAGATAAGTTTTGTGAAGATGAAGCTAATATATTCGTGCAAAATCAAGAGATTTCTTTCCCTCGTGTGCATTTCCAAAGAAATTGTTATAGTACTCTTCAAACACTATCTCTCTGTAACGAGCCACCCCATCTTTCTCCACTACTTCAGCCCATGGTCCAATCTTCTCTGTTCCTTTCGGGATCGTAAAAATTGGTATTGAAACTCTCGATTGACTGCTTGTAGTTCGCACTCTATGTTCTGCACTTTTGTACCTTCCATTGCTCACTATCTGTTAATTAAAAAATAATAAGAAGAAAAAAATGAGAGAGTTACTTTGAAAGGTGCTACAAAGGGAAATTGTATTTTAATTTCAAAAGTCCAAATATTTACCTGAAGTGTATCACCAACATTGATGACTAAAGCACCAGGAATTGGTGGGATTTCCATCCACTCTCCCTTTACGTCGCCGTCCATATTTTCTTCCACTTTGACATAGAGACCACCAATTCCATCCTGCAACAACACGGTGAGAGTACCCAAGTCTGAATGCCTACCCACGCCTACTGTGAGCTCAGGATTTGGGCATGTTGGGTAGAAATTCATGTTCACCGTCTTCAACCCAGTTAGTGCATCTATTTTGGCATCAATATCTGCACTTACTCCTAGCTTCTCCATCAAAACTTGTAGTAGTTTTCTTACCATCGTCATTGATGTTCTCAGATACTCGAGAGCGGCTTCCCTGAAAAATGTGTAAATATATGTATTATTCACTTCGAACTTGAGACTGTAAGTTTAAAGAGAAATCAGAAAATAGAGAGTTCTTACTTGCATTCTTTAGGCCAAAACTGAAGAGCTTCAGCGTCATTAGTATAGATCATACTAATATAGTCTTTCCATTCCAATGCCTTCTCCTTCTCAGGCACAAAACTAGTCCCATACTTAACCAGTGGGGTTGGGGTCACGCCCTTACGATAAATAGCCTTCCTTTCAGGTGGTTGGCCAAAGAAACTGTGAGCTGAATCTTTCAATGCCTCAAGCAAATCTAAAGGCACGCCATGGTTCACCACCTGAAAGAACCCTACAGTCTCAGCTGCTCTAGCAATTTCCTCTGCCACTCGATCACGATCAGGACCATCTAATTTAGACATGTCAATTGGTGGGTTATTATTTGAGGTTGCATTTAACTTGTCGATTCTTTCTTGTTGAGGTTGCACGTACTGTTGCGGTACCTTTGATAGGCCTGAATCCACCATGCCCTTCACGCCATTGCCCTCTCGGACTACAAAATTGAACAATGAGTTTGAATCAGAAAAGCTATGAGATGGAGCCATAGATATTGGATTATTAGCTTGAATTGAGCAATTGATGGTAGTGCAAAGCTTGGGTTTATGCCAATATATAGACTAGTTGTGAAGTGGACTAACAACAACCCTACGTCAAGAAAAGAAAGAATGCAATAATACTAATGTATGGAACTGAAAACTAGCGATCTGTGTTGACTTACTGTTATTTTTATTTTTGCCCCCAAGATAAGCAAACGGTCGTTTTTACTTGATAAATATAAAGAAAATTATGAAAAAAAAATGCCACGTTTGAACCATTCATTCCTTCAATAACCCATGATTCATGCTACTTCAACTTGAAAGGGAACGAAATTATTATTATATATTATATGATTTACTTGTTATATAGTGTCTCCAAAAATTGACAGTCGTCTCTATTTGGGTTTTCGTTTTCAAAATTCATATTACAACAATAAGTATTACACATAATTGATCAAACCAAATTTGATAATGATTTGTGAAGCAGCTTGTAAGTAATTGTAAAAACAAAAGACAATTAAGCATTGCAAATTATTTCTTTTAGTCCGTTGAGCTAACACGAATGCCTGCATGAGCCGGTCGAACCACTAAGGGGTGAATTGCTATTTGTTCCATATATGAAATAGAATCATCGACTTCACTTAAAAGATTGTAAAACCATTGAGTGTAAAACTGTTATTAGTAGTTAATTTTTTTATTTTGTTAATTTTTAAAAGTTAATTATATCTTTAAATAATCTTACTTGTACGATTCATTGAAGTGGATATTCGAAGGAAAAAAAAAAAAATCCAGCTTACATGACAGTGAAACAACATATATAAATATAATGTATTATTTTCAGGATCCATACAAAAAATGCCATGTCTCACCCTGTTTTGGTAGGTGGAACATTTACAAGTAAATGCAAGAGGACGAAAATTAAGACAATGTAAAAACACAAGGTGATGTGTTGCGGTTGGTAGGAAACCAAATTTGAGCAAGAATCATGGTTTCAAATCCAGGAGATGAAACTAGAACTACTTTTTATTTTATTTTAAAATTTTATTTTTCTTATTAATTTTTTTAAAAAATAATGGAAATAACTTTTTCATTTACAATAACATATTTAATTATAACTAAGAGTGTTATTGCTTAAAAAAATCGAAATTAGGATAAAATTAATAAAAATATCAAAAATAAAGTGAAATTACAAAAAAAAAAAAAATGCTAAGTTTAAGGTATTCCAATACACATTATTTGGCTAAAATCAAATGTAGGCTCTATTCAGCCGCAGTGTTTTAAATAGTGTTTTGAGGATTGAAACACAATCTTAATTAATTATAGGGTTGGGTAGTACAATATCTACCCTAGGTTTATAGTTTGAGACAGTATTTTATAAAACATTATAACTTTTAGCGTTTTATATATCATCACTTGTCTTTATCTTATTCCTCTCTTTCATATCTTTTTTGTCATTTTATATATATTAAACAGCTAATTAAAAAGTTATTTGAACAGAACATTTTTATTCTAAACGCTAATATTTAATAGCTAACCACTAATAAAACAGCTGACAATTATTAAAATAGCTAACAACTGCTAAAACAGCTAAATTTACCGGATAGGCTCGTAGCCACGTAGGAAACTATTTAATTTATTTTTCAAAAAGGAGGGATGAACCGTTAATTAGATAAAACTTCAAGGACTGAATCATGAGTTACCTTTTTCCACTTTTACTTTTGTTATAAAAAAATTATATTTTGTTGTTCCATTAGTCATCAAGTAGGCATTGCATTGAAGTCCTCCAACAAGAAAACAAGACCGGACCCCAAGGGTCAAAAAAAAAAAAAAAAAAAAAGTAGGCATGCATTGAAGTTCAAATCCAACAAGAAAACAAGACCGGACCCCATTAGGGTCAAAAAAAAAAAAAAAAAAGTAAAGTTTTAAAATTATTTTATTTTTTTTTTTTTTATGCCACGGAAGCGTAAGAAATTCAAAAACTTGAATCTATTATCGCGGTCATATAAAAAAAAAAAAAAAAAAAGTTAAGTATTTTTTTTTTTTATGCCACGGAAGGTAAGATTCAAACTTGAATCTATTATCGGGTCATTTATGCACTTACCATTTAACTGTATTTTAATGTAAAAAACAGTAACTAATTTTAGACTCATTCTTTCCCAAAAAATAACGGGGTTCTCCATTTATGAAGAAATTAAATGCAAATTTAATAGAAGTTGATAGTAAAGTTCTATTCTTCCTCATCCTTTCGCAAGCATGAGGCAAGCCAGCTTCTCATTTAGACTTGAAAATTGAAATTCATTCATTTCGATTAATCACAAAAGAAAAAAGTTTCAAAAATTATTTTTTTTTCTTTGGTGAAATAAGAAAAATTAGCTAACACTAACTAACAAAAATAAATAACACCGGCTGATTTCAAAATTAAACTATCATTTGGACTTATTCTCATCCTCCTTTTTTTCAAAAAATAAATATTTAAAGATAAAGTTTCACATCAAATTATTACATTTCCTGTTAAAAATGACAATTAAAATTTTTTTTTTTTTAATCTGAAAATTTTTTTCCTGTTCCTTGTTCCTCACTATATCTTCTTAAACACGCTATACCATTGGCTAATATAAATGATTTAAGAAATCTAAACACCAATACGAGGCATGCAAGCGTACAATGCAATCAATAATTGAAACATAGATCTTATACGTTTCGATTTGTTATACGATACGATCATCCCAAAAAAGCAAACTCACTAAATTTTATATAACTATCGTTGTTTTTTTTTCATTTTTTCTTATTAAATTTAAATTAAAAATTAATTTTGTTTAGATTTGATTTGAAAAGTCATTTTACTAATTAAAATAATACATTTTTAATTTGATGGTGGCTTGTTTGGTGAGTATTTTTTTTATGTGATCAAACGATGGTGGTTGGTACAGAGTTTGAATGTTATGAAGGCAAATGGGCATAGAAATTTGCTACCTATGGAGGAATTTTCTTCGCGTGTGCATAATCTTGTGGGACCACTCACCATTTTCTTGTTAGTCTTCTTTCTTCTTCTCTTTATTTTCTTCCATTTCCAAATTATTAGCAAGACTTGTTATTAAATGGAATGATTTTAGAACCCTAAAATCATATAATTTTCTCAAGCACTTAAATATGAAATCCACCAACATACAAACAACAGCATGTGTTGCGACTAAGAAAAATCCCTTCCATTATGACCCTAATATTCCTAAAAAGAAAGGGATATATCGTTGGACCTTTAGTTACTGAAACTACATTTGAAAAATCATTTCAAACAAATCTTTCGGCGGTGATGTTAAGTACGTTGAATAATCCATGCAAGATCTTAAAAAAATCTGTGATTGTGTCATCGATGGGAGGAAAATTAGATAATTAATTAAAATTTCATTTCTGGAATAAAACAAATTTACCATTATTTTATATATTTATTAATGTTGAATTTCTCAATAAGATGCACCTATATAGACATATTAGATTACTTAATCAATCAATTAACCTATTGATAAAGTAATTAAAGAACAAGATTTATTAAGTATATTTCTTTTTCAACCACCTACATAATTGATGATCCCATATATATATTTTGTAATTTAATAAAGCCAACCCATTTTGACAAGTAACTTTCAGAGAGAAATTGGAATTGTCAATTTTCACCACTATCATTCTCATGCTAATACTTGAAAAAATAATATATGAGAATCAAATTTTTATTTTAATTCACTATCAAATAATAATAATAATAATAATAATAATAATAATAATAATAATATCTTTTTATTCTGTCTTAGTTCAATTTTTTATTTTGAGTGTGAAAGAAGGAAATTATTCCAAATAATTACATACAAGACCAAACAACTCCAATAAAATCAACATCTAATGAGTTTCTGAGTCCTGTGTGAAAATTTTGTCACTAATATAATAATGAGTTTTCATTTAATAATATTATTATTTGCTTGAGAATTGTGAGGTAGAACTCAGATAAATTAGAATTAATAAAAATAAAAAAATTCAAATTTTGCGACTGAAAATTCCCTTCTTCAAATAATATAATAACTAAAAAATATTAGCCCACAAAAATCCACAATGGGGAGGACAAAGTCGTGTCTAAATTTTAAGCCCATGACGGACTACAAGGCTTACAAAAAAAGGTTGGCCCATTTAATAATTGGTCTTACTAGCAACCTAATGAAAATAGGTTTCATATTCTTATGTGGTTAATTATTGATCTGCTATTACAATAGGGCCGATCCAGCAAAGCCCATATGAGGCAACCCATGCCAACAAGGCCCACAACCACCTCATTTCATGCACAAACATAATTTTTTTTTTCCCCACTTTTAACTGTTTTTGGTTAATCCAAGCCACAGTACTTTCATTTCCAAGCTCTTTATATGGATGAAAAATTAAAAAAAAAAAAAAAAAAAAACACAGTACTTTCATTTCCAAAGCTCTTTATTTATGATGAAAAATTAAAAAAAAAAAAAAAAACAAGAAAAGCTAGTGACAAAAAATTAAAAAAAAAAAAAAAAAAGAAAAGCTAGTGACAATTAATGATAATTAAAAGAAAAAAAAAAAAGAAAAAGACAATTACACTTCCAAAAGTATCCCTCGATTATACATATATTTTTTTGCCATTTTTTACAATTTCTTCTCTTTTTGATAATTAATTTAATATCTTTTAGAAAGAGATATGAAAGCTCACCATTTGTCTTCATTTCCTTTTCTATTGATGAAAACGTATAACCTTTTTTTACAAGTGAAGTTAAATCAATTTATATGTATGGATGTCCACATGCACGTGGAATTTCATAACAATAATCAAGATTATTAGGTCATGAATTGAAGGGTACCTTCAAGCTTTCGCCAATAATGTCAATAAGCTTAATTTAATTAGACAAGCTCAACCCGAAGTGGGGTTTTGATGAACTGATTAATTAATATGATTTGATAATTAATTTGTAAATTTGTTTTTCTGGAAAAATACTGTCCGTATATAATTAATTTTTTTAATCATAAAGCAATTCTTTGATCGTGATCTTCAATAACTTTTAAGTAGTGGAACTTTTAATTTAAAAGCACTCACTTTCAATGATGTTACATGTCCTTGAAAATAATGTGATTTCACAATTTTTTCAAAATATTTCTATTAATCAAAGATTTTCCAAGATTATTTCCATTAATCACAGTATTATATATATTAATTAATACTATAAAGAAAAGGTATACAGAGATTAAGGAATCAATCAATCCATTGGTTATTTTACTAATGCAACTGATTTGATTTGGCAATTTCAACCCATCTTGTTGAGTAATAAATTTTAAAAACTGGGGAGTAGCGCGTGCAGAGGCTAAGCACTTGACTTATTTATTTACTGAAATTGACTAATTTTTCGTTTCTTTATTTATTTTTTTTTAATTAAGAACGGATCAATTTTAGATACTGTACTAAATTTACTTTTTTTATTTATCCATAATTGAAAGGAAAATAAATATATCGAGATAAAAATTAAAAAAATATATTTATAATTTAATCTCGAAAATTAATATTAATTAATAATATGAGACAGATATGCTTATAAATTTGAGTCAACTTTGAAATTTTTATGTTAACGCATTAGCTATGGACAAAATATACATGATAAATAAAGACCGTATACCCAGAAATTAACGCAGTGAAACCCTAAAAAGACAGAAGAAGAAGAAGAAGGAGGAGGAGAAGAAGAAGAAGAAGAAGAAGAAGAAGAAGAAGAAGGTGGAAATAAAGGGAAGCACTTTGCTCGCTGGCTAGGATAATGCAACTACACATTAAAAAAAAAAAAGAAGAAGAAGAAGAAGAAGAAGGTGGAAATAAAGGGAAGCACTTTGCTCGCTGGCTAGGATAATGCAACTACACATTAAAAAAAAAAAAAAATTTGGTGATCTGTGCTGAAGGAAAAACAAAAAGCTTACATTGTAATACAATAATGTAATTATTTATATTGGGGAAATTGTAATGTATGATTGGGGGCTACTAAGAAGATTCCCTGTTGTTTAAGATTCTATAACAGAAGAATCTTAAAGTATTAACTGTATATAGAAACAAAAATTTTGTTTAATTACTTAACTTTTCGTTTTCTTAATTTGATTTACAAAAAAATGTAAATTTTTAATAATAATTTATATTTAAAGTAATTAATTTGAAATTTTTTTTTCAGAGAGTTTAAAATATAATTTTTAAAATTACTATTATGTTGTATATATAGCCGTTTGCTTTGGCTCTGAAAATTTAAATTTCCACAGGAAAAAAAAAAAAAGTCAAGAGGCCAAAATTATTAAAACGTTGTTAGTGATGTATGTAGAAGATGATTGACGGTGACAAGATGATAACGCGTGACACAACTACATATCGGATTTGATACGTCCATTTCCATCCTGCTAATTTTTTATTATTTATTTTTTTTCTGGAAAATAATATGTAAGAAGAAAAAGGCAAATTATTATTGACTTAAATTGTACTTAATTTGAACATATATATACTGTAAAGGATTCGTTTTATTTGCACCGAAATGAAAATTAAATTGTCAAAATATAATATTTAATACAATTAAATAAAAAAGCAATTTTATTAATATCTTCAAATTAATTATAGATTATGCTTTGATATTAATATTATTTTACTACCTTTAAAATATTGAATTGAATTCATCTAAACGAGAAATTAACTCTCTCAATCTTAATATTGATAAAGTAGGTACTGACGACATTAATATTTCCTCACCCAGTAATATTACTATTAATTATTTTATATTTTTCATTTCATCTAAACACGATTAATTCAACATTTTTTATAGAAAAAAATTTCTTAAGGACGTGTTTTTCTTTTTTAAAATTAGATGCACATGTAATGGAAAAGAATAAGGGCAAAATATATCAAATAGAGGTAGACCTAAGGATCTTATCAATAAGGATGTTTTGTCCACCAAAATCTAATGGCTCTTCTTTAGTGGGACCCTTTTAAGATTTGCTGTCACGTAGTATCTCTATATAACACCTATCTGATCTCTCCTCCAGCCCCCTCCTCCCGTCTTTCTCTTCTCCAAAATTCTTTTAATTGTCCTTTTATTCATTTTCTACTTTCAATTCACAACTAAAAATTTCCTTTTTTCTTTTTTCTTTTTTTATTTTTTAAGCGAAACTAAATATTCAGTTTATATAAATATTCATAAAATTAAGTTGTGATTTATATACGAAGAATGAAGGAGAGTGGTAGAAAACAAGGTGCACTGTCGCCATGCGCGGCGTGCAAGCTTCTCCGGCGAAGATGTTCTCAGGACTGTGTTTTTGCTCCTTATTTTCCAGCCGATGAGCCGCAGAAGTTCGCCAGTGTGCATAAGGTATTTGGAGCCAGCAATGTGAACAAAATGTTACAGGTTAATGACTTATCCACCTTTAATCCTTTCTCTTTCAAAATATGATTTGATAATAACATATAATAACTGCAATTATTTTATTTCTCCATATGTGTTATTATACGTGCAAGTTTCTTTTTTTTTTTTTTAAACTATTTTTTTAGTATTGATGGAGGAATTTTTATTATTTTATATACATCTTTCTTTTAGCAATCTCACGTAAATTTAACATTAAAGTCTCAATTTTTATTTTATATATGTGCACATATATATATTTTTATTTTATGTATAGGTCATCTTTAAATAAAGAAAGGGTAGAAAAAATTAATCAAAGAATAATGGGAAAAAATTATAAAAAAAAAGATCCTCTGGACAGTCATGTCATAGGGCAACCTTGGCCTGCCATTTATACAGAATTTTGCATGGTATTATTAGAATTTCTTATCAAAAGTTGTGTTTTAATTCCTCTGAACTTTGTTGCCTTTTAATAAAATAAAAAATTGAAAGAAAAAAAAAAAGTTGCTTTCTCCATATTATAGGATCGTAAAAATCTACCATTTCAATACATGCACAAAATTGCTCTGTAAAACCCTAGAATGATATTCCATAACTAATTGAAAATCGTTTCCAATTTCCAATCCCAATTAAATTATAAGTCTACATACAGATCTTAGAGCTTTCATATTACAGTTTCTCTAATCTTAAAACATGGGTTTTGAAATTATATTTGAACTTAGAATTAATTATTAAGGGGTGGTGTTAACTGTTAAGTATACATAGAAAATGAAAAAAAAAGGTCAAAAAAGCACGCAAAGAAATCAAGATAAGATAAAAAGGAAAACGAGCATCAAAAACCGAGAATAACCAAAGGTTTTTGGAACCGTAAAAAACCTCCAATTCCAATACCCATGACGTACAAAATTGCTCTAGGAAAACCCTAGAATGGTTTTCATAAACTAAAATTTGATAGAAATAGATTGAAGTTTGAATTTTCAGATGACGTGGTTTGTTGAAATGATATCCAACTCATTTTTTAGGGTTTCTTGCATGCTTTTCTGGAGTTGGATTGCTCAAAACCTAATTTTGAGATGATTTAGGATTATAAATCATCTATATATTTGTTTTGGATGTAAAATGTTAACATCAATATCTGAGAAAATACAAACCACAAAGAGAAAACAAAAAGTAAAAAGAGAAAAGCCAATCTTCATATATGTTTTTCACTTTTATTTTCGGTTGTAGTGGTTAGTTTTTCAGTTAGTACAGAGACCCACAAGAGAAAGAAAGTAAGATTCTAAGTCTATATTCTATTCAAAAGTAACTGTTTTTTTACTTTTTTACCATTTTTTATTCCTCAATTTGGCAGCCTAAAGAGAATAAAAGTATCACAGTCTACAGCTTTACTTGTTGGTTGCGTATGAGAAATGTAGAGGACAAAGTTAAAAAAAAGGGTCACACACATAATTAAAGTGATTAAGAGCCTAAACTCTATTTACTTTATGACCCCTCCCACTTGTGGCTTTTGGTCTTACAATTCTTTTAATTTAATTTAAAAAAATATATATATATATTTATTTAGAAATTAAAGAAAGGTTTTATTATTAATCAACTATTCTTTGTGCTTTAAACATGAAGTTACGTTGAAAGAGATATATCACAAATACCTCCAAAAGAGAAGTAATTGATTCCGTTTAAGCAAATAAAGTTTGATGCTTTCTCGTGCTGTTTAAGTTTATTTATTTTTTAATTATTATTATTATTATTTGTAATTACTACGTCATCGTGACATATTTAATTTTGCTGGTTTTTGTGAATTAGTAAGTATTTTCCTTAATTTAATTGGAGTAAACATGGAAATAATACATAAAATATATTTATAACTAACTAAGTTTATTTCACCGAACACTTTTTTTTTCCTAACCTAGTTGAATATCCGAACAATGAAAACTTAATATTCTTATAGAAAATTCCTATGTGAAAGTTCATAAGCTATTTTGTAGTCCACGATAGATTAAGATTTCAAATTATCATATATATAATCAAATTTATCTATTAACCAAGAAAAAAATTCACTGAAAAAATGGATAAATTTTGTTTCTTATTGCTCTGTTTTTTTTTTCAACTAGATTTTTCCTTTTCCAAATAAAGGATCCAAACAACTGTTACTTATAATTAGTTGTTTAGGCATGTGAGAGTATAGAACATCAGAGTTCAGCACGCCAGACCAAAACATAATTAAATGCATGCTAGAGTATAATAATGATACGATGACATGATTGGGTTAAAAATAAAAGTATTTAAATTCCTTTTCTTAAGGTTCATTTCATTTTGATATATTATTGTAAGATTCATTGAATTGGCCAAATAATGACAATATTGCCATTGTTTTGTCAATGTCATTATTATTATTATTTTTCCAAATGAAAATGAATATTCCCAAACTAAATGTTTTTTTTTGTTGGTAGAAATTCCCAAACTAACTTTGTCATAATGTCATTGTTAATTTGATGGGTGATTTTATTGTCAACTTGTTTTTCCCTTAAATGGAATTTAACCTAACTAATGTCTTAAGTCCTTTTTGACCAAGCATAAAACAAGAATATTCTTTATTTCTCTTACTTTAATGTTAATTAAACCAATAATTCATTAACCGAAATATATATTATTTTGAAAATTTTCAGGAGTTGCCAGAGCATCAGCGAAGTGATGCAGTGAGTTCGATGGTGTACGAGGCAAATGCTAGGGTACGTGACCCAGTTTATGGGTGTGTAGGGGCTATATCATCCTTGCAACAACAGATAGATTCTCTTCAAACCCAGTTGGCCATTGCACAAGCTGAGGTTGTACACATGAGAATGAGCCAATATGGTTCATCTTCAACTCCAAGCAGCCTGGACATGGTGGTTGATCAAGCCAATGTAGGAGAGTCGCTTTGGTCATGCTAGCTACACTTTATTAATTATTACTATATACTAGTTATTGATGGGCTTGCTTTATTAATGTCTCCCTCTTTTTATACATTTTTGCTTCTTTTTTACTTTTTAGTCTTTTATAGTGCGTCTCTCTACTTGACCAAGAGATGATGATTATTATTAATTAACCATATTGTATATATTTCTAAACATATATAATTATGAGGTATGATATATGTTGTACACCGAATTGTTGACTCTCCTTTTCTTTTTCTGCATAACTACTCCTAAATTTCAAATACTATTCATTGTCAAATGAAATGTTCCGTTATTCGTTTATTCTAATGATGCGATTGAATAATAAAGAGACTTCTCCTTTGAAATGAATTTTTTTTTTATTCCTTAATTAAGGTTACGTGAACGAAGAAGCTGCATGTAATTCATATTTTATTTTTAATCAAAAATTCATAAATTCTGGAATCTGTTATTCTGGTCTTCAATTGAGAGAATAACAGGTTATTCAATTCAAACTGCGATTATTGTGCGGTACAATTAAGAAAACAAACAGTAAGGATTAAGAAAACGCAGTTTCTCGCTCTCGTGGAGCCCAGCCCATAAAACAAACAGATTGGACTTGAGTAACGCTTGGGCTCACCCTACTAGCTAGCCCATTATTATTGTTCAGCCCACAATTTTGGTATACGATATATGATATTCGGCCCAATAATTTTAATTTAAAAAACACCCAAGGAAAAGGCTGGCAATTTGGGCTAAGTCTCCACCTAAATTAGCATATCTAGAGAGAAGGCCATCAGGGGAGTGGATAAAAAAGACATTATTAAATATGTTAATCCCACGTTGGAAAAATATAAAAAGACTAAATGTAATCAGTAAATTACTAAGAAAAGGTTGTGCAAATATTTTCTTGAAGAATATATAAAGTTATTTTCGTGTAATATAATATGATTTTCCACATTTCTTTTCAATTTTAATGGAACAAGAAACAATCATGACGATCATGGAAAATATATGGTTTTTTTTTTTTTTTTTTGGAAAAGTATAAATTGCATTGTTGTGTGGCTCTCTTTTCGTAAAAGAAGTACTACAGTACGATCGATCTTATTGTTCAATATATGCATATAAAATCTTGTAGAGAGAAACTGTGTTGTTTACATATTCATCAATGCTATAATTGCGACATGGATATCAAGAATACTATTTAGTGGTTGATGTTTGAACTTAATTACTAATTCAATCCTCTTAACTTTTTAGTAAATTCATTAATTTTTCTGAATAAAATTAAATAAATGAATAATATGTTTTATTTAATAAAATAAAATAAAATAGTATTTACTGAATAATTTAATAAAATAAAATTAAACCTTATCAATGAATCAATGAACTAATATGTTTTATTTTTATTTTTTTATTTTTTTTTAAAGAAAGAAGTTTGATTTGTGACATTCATGGGACCTGATGAACAGGCAATTAATAATATTGGTACCTTTGTGGGAAGAAAATGTGGCAAGGTAAGCCCACCGACAAATCTGATTATCGAATATTATATGATCTTTTATTTATTTTTTTGGACTCAACAGCTGAAAATTATCATTGTCATGAACTATCTATATCTATTCAACTCCACTGAAACACCATTTATTAGCTCTCGCAACTCCTCAAAGGACACTCACTATCAAGTTCTCATTTTTCTTTTTCATGCATAGATTCTAATTTTCTGTTCAAATTGTTGTTAATTCTAATGTTGGTTTGGATCCATGAAATGTAAAATTTATAGAATTTAAATTCCATGGATTCTGAAAGATATATAATTTTATAGTATATCTTTTAATTGGAAAATAAAATTCATAAATTTAAAAAATTTTTTGAAATAAAATTTAAAAAACGATTAGACGAGATATCTCACCTTTAAAATAGGACTTCCCTCTCTTCCAAAACGATAGAATTAAATCAATGATGAAATTTATGAATTAAAAGAAAGAATTTGATAAATACGTTTTAAATTTCATTCATCAAAAACAACTTTTTTTTTTTTTTTTTCTCGTCTTCCAAACGATAGAATTAAATCAAATGATGAAATTTATGAATTAAAAGAAAGAATTTGATAAATACGTTTTAAATTTCACTTCATCAAAAACAAACCTTTTTTTTTTTTTTTTTTTATAAAAAAAATACTTAACATATTAAATTATATATATATATATTAATATAAATTATATATATATATAATATATTGTACTTTCTTCCCCTTGGAAGGCTTCAATTTCCATCCTCTTTGTCTTCCAAAGTTGATTCAAGATTCTCCTCATTTGAAGGAGACAAATTTTGATGGAGGGGGCTACCCAATGTTTCCCAATCACACAAATTTCAAACGATTCTTGTATTTCCATTTTTGTCACATATGTATTGTATAATGCTAAGTTCGTTCAATTTCGACAATTGTTTTCATATATATACTTATGACAAGTCTATTTGTGTCCATAGCTAAACTTCCCAAAATCACCAACTACAATGAAAGCTAAACCATAAAAGTGGGGTCAAATGGAAGTACTTAAGTGGGTTCTTACGATTGTAAGAATGGTTGCTTGTGACACCAATTTGCATATCTCTACCTCATTTGAGTGAACAACATATTAATGCTCTCTTGTCTTTGTTTGACTTGGGATGTCTATATCTATAGTTCAACCGCTATAAGAATTATGTTGCACCAAACAAAATAAATAAATAAATAAATAAAAGTGGAAATATTGAAACTAATAATAGCCTCCACTTGACTGACTATATATATATATATAGAGAGAGAGAGATAAGAGAGAGAGGAGAGAGAGAGAGAGAGTTTGGCTTTCAAATTAGAGAAGATGGGGTTTTTAAGGTCAAACCAAACCTTTTTTTTTTTTTAAAATAAATAAATAAAAGTGGAAATATTGAAACTAATAATAGCCTCCACTTGACTGACTATATATATATATATAGAGAGAGAGAGAGAGAGAGAGAGAGAGTCTTGGCTTTCAAATTAGAGAAGATGGGGTTTTAGGTCAACCAACTTTTTTTTTTTTTTTAAAGATATAATTCATTAATTTTTTTTAGTATTGGGAAAAGATTCGAACATGGATATATTAAATATTAAATATTAAATATTAGTTATAATATAATTCATTAGTTATAATATTAAATATTACAAATACTAGTATAAATGGGACATGAAACTTTATTATCAAAACTAATAAAGTTTGCTGATCTTTTAACAAATTAAAAGAATTTTATATATTTTTTGAATAGTAAAACTAAAAATAAAAGAGATAATATTATCATTCTGCTTAAAGATGATACGGTTAAACAACTCTATGATTAAATAGAACATTATCGTTCATGTAATACCAAAACATTTTTATCTTTTTTTTTTTTAGTATATGGAAATATTTTAGAATAATGAGGCAGTTAGATCACCATAAATTAATACATATATTTTTTTTTTCATGTTTTTCGTGAAGAAAATTGTTATATTGATTGGATGTCGAAATATGCATCTTCAATGTCTATTCAATTTTATCTTTATGAGACTCCTTCAGTTGAAATTTGTTCTTGATTTGATTATAATTTGGCGGTTTATAGCTTTTTTGCGTTCTATTAATTATTTTTAGTTAACTTGTCTTTTTCTTATTATTAAAAAAAAAAAAAAATCCTTTTTCATAAATTACATTTTTTTTTTGGTACGCAAATTTTTGACATGAGAGTCGAATAAAAACAGGTGCTTTATTTATTATTTTGTCCAGATTTAGTCATATCTTGGAGTTACAATCAAATATATAGCATTCTCAATAATATGGAATACTGGACAATGACAATATAAAATAGATGGATGTTTCACTTTCTTAAGTCCCCTCCACCTCCATTCTAGAAATAATTAAGGAAAAAGTCAATATAAAAATTAAAATGAATATATATGTATAAGCTACCACTACTTCATAATAACTTGCAGAAAGATTCTAAATTTGTGGCTTTCATGAATCCTTAGCAATGATTTGATACCACCATCTAGAATAATGGTTATGATGAATAATTTCTTTTTATAGCTTATTTTAGATCATCATGATGTATATTCACATCCCAAAATAATTTTACTGAATTAGTTAACAATTTGGGCAGTTTAGAAACCCCAAGATGCCAATTCAATGTGATCATGTACAACGTTAATTACAACAATTGTTCCAAAGCTTTCATGCCATTGCTGAAGCAACAAATATTTAAAGTGAATTGATGAGATCATAATCATATGATGTTTAGATGAATCTTTTTCTCTTTTGAACTTCGATTTGGTGCTAAAGTTCAAAAATGAAAACAACCCAAAAGATTATGATAAACCCATCTCTATCGTCTAGCTTCGGTTTGGTTAGACTGTTACATAATCCACAAAATAAATTAATATAGCTTTGCGAGTTGTGAAATATCCCAAAACCCTCGTTTTCTTTGATTAACCAGCTTCTGTGCATAAACCCACAATTATGTCACCCAGCTATATACGGTACATACATTAAACTAGCCACTGCTTCTTGCAACCAATCATCATCATCATCACTATTCTTCATCTGCAAATCCACAAAAAATACTCATTAATTCTGTATATAAGCATGCATCCATTTTATCTAGTTCATTAACAGCTTCAAAATTATGAAATAATTTAAAATTTTTTCTAGTAATCATAACTTTGTATACTGTTAGTAGATTTTCATTCAATGGTATTAGAATCAATTCCAAAACTTTGAAACTACGAGAGTTTAAATAGCTACCCAGAGTCGATTAGTAAAACAAATTATAAATTGGAATATATATATGTATATGCTAAAAAACTTTTAAGAGTAATTAATGAAATTCATTTAATGATACCTGGAGGGCATCATTGAAATATGATTCTTTTTCTTGGAGAGGATTGTCATTCTTTTTGCTACCAGTTTCATCTTCACCAATTAATTCATTGTTTCTAGCAAATCTTCCACGGACACGAACTCTGCGGTCAGCTAGGGTTTTGCGACAAGCATACTGTATAGAGTGACCCACAGAGGTAAATGCAATATTCTAATAAAAAGGCTTAAATGTGAGAAATGGAGGAAAAAAGAATACCTTAATGGTCTTATTAAAGTTCCTTTGATTTCTTTTCTTTAAGTACCTAAGAATTCTATCTTTCCTTTCTTCAACTGTGTAACGTCCAACTTTTATATTGCTGTGTTCAATGGCTGGCATTTGATTGCATTGAATTCCCTGTAACAAAATTTACAAATTACATAAAATATGAATTGATCGTCAAATTAAAATAGAATATATTAAATGCATGTATACATACCCAAGTTTCTCGAGAATCAGGGCAGATGGACTTAAAATTTTGCAGAAACTCACAACAATCATCTCCAAACTCAAAAGGACCAGAATTATACTGAAAACCGCCACCAAGATTTTGAATTTTAGCAATGCTGCTAAAACCCATTTTGTAGTGATCAATCAATGAAGGAACAGCTACGTCGGAAACGCCGAGTTGGTCGGCGAAGGAGGTGGTCACAGCTGGAAGCCGCGAGAAAACATCAGTAGACTCCGGAGGAAAACCCTCAAGGGCGCCATTATCATTAATATTATCATAAAATATTGGAAGGTTGTTGCGGTGATTATGTTCACGTCCCATCATTGCACAAGCAGTAGAGATTGCACCACCAGCAAATGCATTATTCCCGTAGTTTTCTTGAGCCATAACCGAATTAATATCGGAGAATTCCTGAGGCGAAAATTGATAGTCAGTGTAGAAATGAGGGACGAAGGCCATTGAAGGGAGAAAGAAAGTAGTTCTATGGATTTCAATTCTGTTTCTTTCCTCTCTGTTTTTTTCCTTGTCTGTCACTCAACCTTTGAGGCTAAGACAGACATGTATATATATACATATAGGGATGTAATAGTGGAACTGGCTTTTGGACAAGTTGTTCTGCCCGGAACTATTCGGGCAACAGAAAGAGTTATTGATGAGGACATAATTAGTAAGTGAGACAGTTAAATGGGCTAACTGAACCTGCACTGTGTACTTTCTTATTAAGCTGTAAACGCGTTATCTTTCTATGGTTTTTTTGTAACAAACCATTTCTCATATTTTTCTTTAACCATATAATTTTACTTTTTTTGTTTTTACTATTCTTGACTATTATTCTATTTACATATCATTTTTCACCCTTTCTCCTGTGGCACTTTTCACTTACATATTTTATTTTATTATTAGTGTATTACTTATTTTCCATCTATTTGATTCACGAGTGGTTTCGTAAACTCGGTTTATGCATGTCAATTCCATCAATAAAATCAAGATTTATTATTTTCTTAATTAGTAATGCAAAAATCATCAATGAACTATTGGATTAGCGAAAGTAGATTCAGGACTGAGTCCGAGCATCGATTTGTCTGGTAACGCATGAGATATAATCTTTAAGCATTTTAGATGTTTAAAAAGAAAAGAAAAAGGAAATAGTAGTCTATTTAGGATTTATACAAGTTGAAGTAATATTTGGAAAAATACAAGTGTGTATAAAAGGATAAAGCATGAGAAGTTATGCACCTGAGGAGGAAAGAAAAAGCTGAAGTGACCCTGATAAAGAGTAATAGAGGGACTCATGTGATTACTATTCTCATATCGATTAAAGCTGTACACCATAAGGTACTCTAATAAAGATGTAACCTATACTGATAGCTCAAGAATCTAACACATGGGTTTGTAAGATTTGCATCGACAATGCAAGTACGAACATATATCCCTCAAAATTAGGTGGTTTTTATTTGTTACCCTTCTTCTTATAGCCCTACATCAATTCTATCATGCATAGAGATTGAAAGGCCTTATATTATATACCCTGTCTGTCTTTGTCCTATGGTTATATGATATCTTCTACCCTTTATTTGATTGTTGAAGGGACTGGATCACTAGCTCTTGCCTCTTGTATTCAAAGGGGTCGAATTCCTTGGAATTAGGTCAAATTTAGCTGCTGGGACATGATTCCTTGTTTTGCATGAGAATTGATGGAACTTGTTCTTCATGGATTTTCCATGTGCTTAATTACTACTGTAAAGTTTTTTTTTTTTGTTCTAATTAATGTTTTACTTTTCACTATTTACTTCTAATTTATCCCAATTTTTGGATATTATTGCATGTAAATAATAATAATTAAGGAATAAAGCACTCTAAAAACCAGATCAGTGTGTGAAAATAAAAAAGATTCATTATAGGTTTAGTGATTGGGTGGTTTTTCTCCGATTAAGCTACTTCTTCCTAGAAGGATAAATAAAAAAACAATTAATTAATCCATATTCTCAAATATATCCATTAAAAATTCCTAATACAGATGTGGTTGAATTTCTTTTTGTTACTGAACATGAGAATCAAAAAAAAAAAAAAAAAAAAAAACAATATATCCTTTGAAAAATTCCTAATACAGATGTGGTTGGAATTTCTTTTTTGTTAACTGAACATTGAGAGCAAAAAAAAAAAAAAAAAAAAAAAAAAACATGAATTCTCTGTTAATCCCCAAAACTATATGTACACAGCAGCACCGGAACTAGAAGTGTTGTGCCCTAAATATTTATATTTTCCTTTTGTTTTTTTTGTGATATATGTATGAAGGAAGCTTTCGAATAAGAGTATCTGGTTCAAAAAGGTTTCTTTGAAAGAGGTATCTAATTAAACATCTTGCACAATCTTTGTTATCTTGAAAAAAGTTCCTGGATTTCCCATATATATCTTTTTACCAATATATAATTCAATTAGTATCAAGAAACAATTTTTTTTTTTTTAATTTTTTTTTTTTTTTTTTTGGAAATGTAAAACTATCAAGAAACATTAATTAATAATGAGAAAAAAGAAAAATAGTAAGAGCAAACAAAGGGCATTAATTTGTAATGGGTGGGGTTGCTTAAAGTACGAAGGTTTCACCTTTAACGAAGCTATTTGCCACAAAAAGCAAAATTCAGATAGAATGAGAGAGATATGAGGATTGAGGATTATCGTAAGACAGTACGTAGTATCAGGTGCCTCTCTCTCTCTCTCTCTCTCTCTCGGGGTTCCCTTTCTCTTCAATATCCCATCACCCCTACCACTGACTTACCCTGCAAGCTATTAGTATTAGGATTAATTATTCACACTCCCCACTTGTTTCGACGATGGTCCTCCTTAATTATCTAATTATTATCTTAATTCTTTTTTTTATTTTTCAACTTGTTGTGGATAGAAAATCCATAGATAATGCTTGTTCTTGATTAATTGTTTCAAATGATACGCCCACAACGCAATCAATTTTTGTTTGCAAAGTAGGTATTTTGATAATGGACTTTATTCTTTTTTAATTTCTGGTTCTTTCCTTTTCTTTTTTCTTTTTTCAATTTTGTTTGCATTATATTAAATGATCATCTGGGCTGAATTTTGAACCTTGAATTTGAATCATTATCCTTTTGACCTTGGATTGTTGAATGATTACTAAATCATTGTTGAATGATTACTAAATCAATTCTATAACGTAGAAGCAATTTTATCTTTCATCCAATAAGTTAAACATATAGTTTATTGAATCAGTTCTAAAAGAAAACGTTTCACTAAGACAAGATTCGACTTGTAAATTCACATAAGCAACTTATTGGTTTAGCTTAGGTAAGCTAGCTTATCTCTTATTATCTGAATAAAAAAAAAAAAAAAATTGAAAGTCTAATAAGCTGTAATTAAACTGAAACAAATAGCCTCTAAGACTACCAAATGTAAAAAGATCGGCTCTATATATCTTCAGAACAGATTCCAGAGTCAGTGAAGATTATAAGCAATGGAAAATTGCCTTAAAAAAAGTTTACTATATAGATGGAGAACATTACTAAGTGATTAGCATTGGTATTTGTTTTATTATCAATTTTCAGGTATCAGTAATGAAGTTCCAAGTTTCTTGTGTTTGGAAGAAAAGAAAAGAAAAGAAAAGCGGCGGAAAATCCCTTTGAGAACCTTAATTTCCATTACTTAATCTAAAAGAACAAGAGGACAAAGAAAAAGAAAATGGGAAATGTAGAAAAAGGAAGTTACCAACCTTAATGATCTGATCTGACACAATTCCATCAGATCACTTTTTATCTTCTGGCAGATGGTCCAACAAACTCATGTTGGTGCATGTTGCCTGGAAGAAGTGAATCTAAAGCTGATTTTTAGAGCATATAAAAGATCACTACGACGCTTTTCCTATTCCTTTCATAATTATTTATTTCAATTATTCTAGAAGTATTCTTGTTCTATAGAGGACACTGCTTTTGTTTTTCTCTTAGCAAGTTGGGACCTTTGTTCAAAGATATGTTATACTTTTCTTCTACATGTTCGCTTCCCTTTCATGTAATGCTCCCTTCTCAATCAGATCACTTCTCTTTTACAATATCTGGTAAAAGATTGACTAGCGCACAAAGATTTTGAGCAACAAAGCACCCTTGATTTTGCATCTTTCAAAATAAAAACAATTGAGGCTTCAGTGTTTTATCTCCGTCTTATTCTGATTAATTCGATTGACCGATTATTCATTTGGTTTCAGAAATTATCAAGTAGAACTTTTGTTTTTTGGGGAAAATAGTTTCACAAATTAATATTCTTTGTTAGTGTAGTGGTTAAGGTAAAGTTAGTTAAGTGCGAGCAATAGAATTTTACCAATGGGAACTCTCAGCAGAACAAACAGTATAAAACCTGAACACTTCAATGCATTTCAGAAAATAGAGGTAAAACTTGAAAGTATCTTGTTGAACAATTTATTAAGAAAATTTTCTCCACTTGCTTTGCATGTGAAAACACCAAAATCTTAATGGCAAACAGTATTGAAAACCCGGGCAGGCAATGCAAAAAATAAACCAGATATTTACATGACATACCTGCATGTATGAAAGAAATGAAGCCTACAGTTCTAATTGTTCGAACATAAACCACAAATACATGTGTTGATCGCCATCGATAAATTGGAAATTTATTGCAAGGCATCCTCTCATAAAGGCTGGATAATGTCGGATTAGTTTGATCCACAATCTGTCAAGCAATGGACAGTAGTAAATTGAATTAGAACTTGGAATCCATCACAAGTCTCCATTAAATATATGAACTTCATTCTACAAAAAAGGATAAATAAATAAATATATAAATATAAAAGACTGATCCCATAGGCGGGAGCATCAAGCCAATATCTGCAGACCGAAATTAAGCCCAGAATATGGTTATAATCTACATCTAGTTTTGACACAGTAAAGTTCATGGATCACTATGGGTTCAATAGACTATCATTCAAAAGTGTGACAGAGTGATTGACTTAATAGAGGATAAGAGCAAGCCATACCCGTTAATGGTTTCCATCTAAACCAGAGAGTTTAGGGTCTATCGTATGTTGCGGTTAAGCAATCCTTGGAATGATAAATAAAGATCTTTGTTATCTGTCCCAAATATCTCTTCTGCTTTCCTTAAAGTTTCCTGAAAGATTAAGAAAAATGACTCAACAGATAAACAAGAGTACAAGCTTCACCAAATACTAATTTGAAGATGCAGAACATTGTAAGGATTCAGCACTTACTTCTCGAGTTTGCTTTTGAGCATTTAGTTCCTTGATGTTGGCCAGAAATGCACTGAACTGTTCATACGATAGGCGACTCCTAATTAAACATTCCCAAATAAGTCAACGGGATGGTCAAAATCACTAGCTAAAAAATAATAATTGAATACTTTCAGACAAGAATATTAGAACTCACCTGGCCTGACGAAAGAACTCCTTTCCATCAATTCGTGGAGTTCGTGCTAAAGAATTTTCCAAAACAAAACATAATGATGTTAGATGGGATGGGATGGGAAAATAACGTGTGAAAATCACATAAAATTCCAAAAACTCGACCTAACTATAACAGACTGAATTATCAGAACAAACAATGACCAAAATACCAATACTGAATTTTAATATTCACACAACTCTGAAATCATTATTTGATAATAATTTTAATAAACCTGGCATTGGTCGCCCACGGGGAGGAGAGTTTGCAGCTGATGATTGCTGGCTTGATGAGTACCACGAGGAAAGTACAGTCCGTCCATCATAATGAGGATTTGTTGGAGATATTGTTCCAGATGTTTTCTGAGGAGATCCAGCAGCAGAAAAACCTCTTGGGGATACAGCTGAAGAAATGATTTTTGGAGTTCCAGTTGGAGTTAACCGTGGTGTGATATATGGAGTAATAGAAAATATTTGCCCAGCGCGTCTTGAAGCTGTTCGACCAAAACCAGTTTATAGTGTAATAAACAATAGCCCATATAATTACAAGAAACCATCTATATGTCATAAAATACAACAAAAGTATCAACTTTGTTAATATCTCCATATGTAAAATACCCATGTTGTAGAAATAGATGCATTCAAAAATGCAAAAGGTTGACTGCAAATTTGCCACGGGTTTAAAACTGAAAAACTACACAAAAAGACCTGGCAATACCACTACCCAAATTTGATCCAAGTGTTCCAATCTACACAGATAGACTTGGCAAACATTACCAGTTTAAGATCTCAAATTAGTCCAAAATCAAGCCCTTTAAAGCAGTATGCTCAAATTCAGGTCCTAGTTCAGAAGGAAAAATAATTCTCATAAGAGATGAGATCAAGTCATGTCAACCAATCTTATAGGAAGAAATCTGGTTATTTGACCGAGTTTTGTGGTGTGCTTTGAATGAACGTATAAGAGTTGAAAGGAAAGGAAAAGAAATTTTGGATGGTAAAAAATTATCATTGAACTGGTAGAAAAAAGAAGTATAAAAAAAAAAAAAATACTTGCCTTTGTATGAAGATAAAACTCATTTGCAGCTCAAACTTAGATATTTTCAAGGCCAAAACTTTAAGCAGGACCTTTTTTCTGAAGGATGAAACTACCATGCATCAAACGTGCAAATATAATAATTAGCATTTGAACTTTAACAAGAACGGGTTTTTGACATGTGATTAAATTTTACATTGGCAAAGAAGCACAAAATGAACAAAGAAAATATAGTAGTTTTACAAACAAACAAAATACCAGATTCGAGCAATATTACCAGAATTCAAATGTTAGAATCTTTTGTACCAAGACTTGCAATCATGATAATATAAAAAGAAGAGACTAGTCAAATACCATCATCAATTGTGTTTCCCGTATCGGTAGAGCCACTATAAGAATGGGTTAAATAGCCATTCACCCCCTCATCTGGAGCAAGAAGTCAGAAATAAAATCAAAATGACAACCATTACAGAAGAAAGAAAATAAACTTTATGAATGAAGAAAAGAAAGTATGCATAATTCCAAAGCCTTGTGATTATGAGGCAAAGACAATCACCATTGGAATAAAGCCCCTATTTCATAGCAAAAATTGATGAATCAGAAGCTTCATCAAGTACCTTTATCAAGATAGGCTTTGGGAACAGACTGATCACAAGTCCCAATATCTACAGTTTCAGCCTGCTGTCACGGATGAAAAGAGAAATTAATTGATGTCTCTAAATAGAAAAAATAAATGGCACAGATATAAAGCAAATTGTTACATGAAGAATAGAATCTAAATACTTGAATTATAAAATAGATACAAATACTAATTGTTAAATGTGGCATCTTACTGATGAATTATCATCGTTTAATGACTGCATCAGTTGTCTCTTAAAGGTCTCCAACTGTAAAAACTCAAACATATTAATCCTTGATCCCAAAAGATATAATGGAACTATAATATAAGCTTCCGTACAGTTTAGCCACATAACATAAAGATGCAACTAAACAAAGATATCCTGGGAATTTAAGAGGAAAGCTGAAGGATCTTCCCAAGACCACCATGGGGCAATTGCATCTTTTCAAACTATTCATTACATAATGAAATCTCACCTTTGTCAAATCACGGCTGAGTTTCTTCACACTCATTGCCAGTGAATCCCGTTCCTTTGAGAGTTTTGTCTTCGTTCAATGTAAAAACACAGCAAAGTAACAATCAAATTTAGTGGTTCAGGTTCAACATGGATGTGACAATTAAAGATTTTTTTGATTTTTAAGAGAAAAACAGAGAAAAATAAATACATTCCACCTATGATAATACTATAATACGATAATAACCTACTAAAAATTGATTTAACAGAGTTCAGTTTCACAGTTGAGTTCTCCTTTTGTTTGAAAATCTCCATTGGAATTAGCAATTTTCCCCTTATTGCTTTACTGCCATACCAGCAAAACAAACTGTGATATCTCAGATTTTTCAGGATTGATTCTTTTCCTTTGTTCAATTAATGTTACAGATTTCCTGTAAGAACCGTTTTAGTGCAATTGTAGTGCCCTAAGTCTGATGCAAAGATACTTTACAACAGAGTACTTGAAGGGATTGAAAATTATCCTCCCTTACCCCCAATTCTTGAGTAACCAATGCCACCACAAAACTATACTGAATATTCGAATTAACTTCGCCGCAATAATCGAATGACCTAAGAACTGCCTAATTCTTTTCGAAACCTAAAACATCGCATAAGTTTTCTTTTACCATTCCCAAATTTCTCAAACATCAAACATCACTGAAAATATACACAAGCATGTACTAAAAAAAATGTTTCAAGTTCATTGAGTTTTCCGTTTTCTTCGCTTACATTTTCATCGAGAGTAATCTTCAGCCTAGACTCCGCCTCCTGGTATGCGCGTTGTACGTGAGATACTTTCTCCTCAAGCTCGTAAATAGCTCGATCTTTCTCATAAACTTTTTGCCTCATACGACCCATTTCGGCCTCCAGCTTCGACACGCGCGAGGCAATCGCCATGGACGTGATCTTACGAGCCAGATCTAGCTGATCGTACGGGTCCGTCGGTATCACAGCCAATATCTCATCCGGCAAGTGAAACTCCGGCGCTCCGCTGCTGTCACTTCCATGCTGCGACATACCTATTCCGCTCCACTGTCTCTCTCTCTAACAACCAAAGAAAAAAAATGTTAATTTGAGAATTTATTTATATTTCCCTCTATTCTGCGGGTTTGAAATTTAGAGTGAAGTGAATAAGGATACAGACTGGCTGTGGAAATGGTTGGAACTTCGGACAAAACGAACAATAATTGGTAATAAATTGAAGTTTGTTTCTGGTAATGGTATCTGTACTATAAGGAATGTGCTTTGCTTTGCTGTTTAATTTTTAAAAATAAAATAAAATAAAATAAATTTTGCGGGTCCTTAAGTTTAAAATTTGGAAGGTTTGCGTTGGCGCGTTCGAATTTGAGACTACGATTTTGGGCCGGTCAGTGCCATTTGATGGACCAAAGCGCTGATGGGCTAAACTAACTCACCTCCACTCCACAAACGGATTTTTCCTCAAGAAAATATTGGGCCTAACCATATTCTCATGGATGGGCCTATATCCAGACTTTGTTGTATGGGTCGGTCCGTTAGTTATATTGGCAATAGCAGTCCTTTGCCCGAATTCCTATCAAATTAGCCGACGAGGAAGAATAATCTCGTTTCCCTTCGATTTGATTTTCTCGGTAATCAGACAGAACAAATAGAGAGAAAATGTCAGTGCTCATAACTACGAGCTTAGGAGACATAGTGGTGGATTTATTTACGGAAAAGTGCCCCTTGACCTGCAAGAACTTCTTGAAGCTTTGCAAGTAAGCGTCTCTCATCCTAATTAGTTTATAATCTATGTGTATGCGAATTTATCGTCGAGTAATTTGATAAACTCAATTGCCTAACTTGTCGATTTAGGATCAAGTATTATAATGGCTGCCTATTTCACACGGTTCAGAAGGATTTTACTGCACAGACTGGTGATCCTACTGGTACTGGAGCTGGTGGCGATTCAGTTTACAAGTAAGAGAAACATGCGTATACTTAAATGCCACTGGATTGTGTGAAATTTGTTTCCTCATGGTTTTCTGTTTGTATTTCTCGCATATTAGTTTTTAGATATATTTTGTTTAATTTGAAGCAAGAATATTGTTCGGTCTTTTATTTCGTATGTGATATCATATATGCTGCTTTCCCTTCAGGTTTCTATATGGTGACCAGGCTCGATTTTTCAGTGATGAACTCCATCTTGATTTGAAACATTCTAAGACAGGAACAGTTGCAATGGCCAGTGCCGGAGAGAATTTGAATGCTTCCCAGGTTTAAGATTTTCTTATTTCCATAGTGCTATTTCTGTCTCTTGCATGTATTTACATGAAATTTGTCACTTATTTTTTTCTTTTTTTCCTCCTATTCATGTAATTGTTCTGATTTTCAGTTTTATTTCACATTGCGTGATAGTCTGGACTATCTTGATGGGAAGCACACTGTAAGTATCTAAATTTGATTAACTTGTCTTTTATCCTCGCCTCTATCTTTCCTTTTATCCTTCTCCATGGCTTTGATTATGTGTAGTAGGTAAATCAAGGTGGCCAGCTACAATTAGGAGGAAATGTAATTGAGCAAAAAACAATTAGTATTTTTTAACTTGGAAGATTTAGGGAACTTTCTAGTTTCCATCTCTTCTGTGATAATGTTTTGAAATGGACTGGAGAAAATGCTTTTCATTACAGGTCTTTGGAGAGGTGGCAGAAGGCCTCGAAACCTTGGCTAGGATAAATGAAGCTTATGTGGATGAAAATAACAGGCCATACAAAAATATCCGGTCTGCCATTCTTCTACTATGGATGTGTTATCACTCCTAATGATGTGTTCAGGTCAATGACATACATATTATTTTTGAACAGAATCAAACACACCTATATACTTGATGATCCATTTGACGATCCTTCTCAGCTTGCGGATTTGATTCCTGACTCTTCTCCAGAAGGAAAACCAAAGGATGAGGTAATAGCTGATTCATATTACATATGTATCTTTTCTAAATTCTTTATTTTAACCCTCTGGGTTTTTGATTGTACGGCAATCTATGTATATTATTACTAGGTTGATGATGAGGTGCGGCTTGAAGATGACTGGGTGCCTATGGATGAGCAACTGGGTCCGGCAGAGCTCGAGGAGGTTCTTCGAGCAAAAGAAGCTCATTCTCGTGCAGTTGTACTTGAGAGTGTAAGCATCTAACAAATATTTTTGTCCCTGTTTTCATTATTCTAGATGTGATCTTCTGTCTACGATTCTGTGTTAAGTTATTTTAATTCCCTTGTTTTTCAGGTTGGGGATATTCCTGATGCTGAGATTAAACCTCCTGATAATGTCCTTTTTGTGTGTAAGCTGAATCCAGTTACTGAAGTGAGTCTTTGTTTCTCTATTTCTGTGATGGAGATACTGCAGTCTGTCAGCTTACAGACTTGTAATTGTCCCCTTTTTTCATTGCAGGATGAGGACTTGCATACAATCTTTTCACGATTTGGAACTGTTACATCGTGAGTAATTGAACTTCCTCTAGAACTATTTTATTTGAAATTATGTAATGGCTATATTTAGTTCTCATTGTGAATGAATGGTAGCAGGGCTGAAATAATCCGTGATTACAAGACTGGAGATAGTTTGTGCTATGCATTTATAGGTAAGTGCAATGTTTACTCTTTTTCTGTACTTCTCAATTAATGATATTACAGTTCCAACAAATTTGAGCGGCCTCCATAATCCAGAAATTGGCTTTTAACTTTGATGTTATAGGGTTTTCTGGCTGAAAGAATGAAGTACATGTAGGCTGAAAATAATAGTTGTATTTAATCTTTATCTGAAATACATCTCTCTTACATCACTATCTAAGAATTTTAAAATCATAAATTGAGAGCAAGGTTCTAGGAGTCTTGGAAAAATTTTCACAGCTTGTTAGGTTTTTGGAGAATATGAACGTATAACTACTGGGGAAAATTTTTACTTGATGATAAAAGATTTGTTATTACTTTGTGATCGTTATACTTTGTTCTACATCACAACCCAGCATGATTTGTTATTGTTACTATGTAGTATATGCATTACTTATTGTCAACCACACAATCCCCAGTCCACTTGTCTCTTTGGCATGCACAACGATGTTTTTATCTTCATGCTTGATGGTCAAATCATAGATGTTATGTAATTTCTGTATTGGCATCTTTTTCAACTTCTTTGTTTATTAACAAATTTAATATGCTGTCCTTTTGCCAATCCAGAGTTTGAGGACAAAGAGGCATGTGAACAGGCTTATTTTAAGGTATGTTGAAAGGGTGAGGGTAACCTTTTGTTTTAAAACATGGGATTGTCCTTTCTTCCTTTGGATCTGATTTTCTTGGTGTAACGTGTTCCACGTATCTACTTATGTGTCTTTGGTTCTATAGTTTGACAAAAGAATCTGTTATGACAACTTCACTAGACATGATAATTTAGGGTGCAGTTTAGTAAGCACATACTATTTTAATTTCCTCTAGTATTTTTATTTTCAACATTACATGAGATAGAAGCTCCATTTTTCTCATCTTGTTTTCACAGAACCTGAGTGTTTTACTTTCCACTCTCTAAGCACAACGAACTTATTAGTATCTCGGAGGCACGAATGGTAGATAGAGACATTCTCCTCATTCACATATGCGTGCACAAGGATTGAGAATAATGGAAGTGCAAAATTAACTGAAATTTAGGACAATATAGCTGTCGTAAAGCAGGCATCTGTTTTACTTAAATTTATTATAGTCTTGCTCGTTGAATAACGTCAAGTTTGGCCATCTAGCTATTTGCTTTTATTATAAACATTAGTTTGCAAACCTTGGTTCATTTTATTTTATGGCAGATGGATAATGCTTTGATTGATGATAGAAGGATACATGTGGATTTTAGTCAAAGTGTTGCTAAACTATGGTCTCAATACAGGGGCAAAGGCAGTCGAACCAATAAAGGTAAAATTGGCTGTCTGTGTATGGTTAACTGGTATTGGCTTGCAACCTTTGTTGTAGTCAGGCACCCATGTCCACTGAAATAGTCATTCACCTGATTTTCTTTCCCATATGGTTTGCCTTACCAAGCCAGAAGACCACATATGCACGCACAAACAAACACATACTATCTCTGTTACACAGACTGAGATTTTTCTCTTTTTGCTCCTTGGGGAAAGTTTGGTTTTTGGACCTGTGAATAGGGTGTAATCTCAGATTTACCAGTCAAGCTAACCCTACCTGTTGATGTAGGAGGAGGTTGTTTTAATTGCGGTGCTCCTGACCACATAGCCAAGGATTGCACCGGAGATCCCGGCACCAAGCAACTCAAACCTCCAAAATACATTCTAAAGGATGATAACCAGCAGCATGGTGGAAATAATAAGTCAAGGTTGGTAATCTTGCATTTCTGTGCTTGTGTCGTGTGTGTTTGTGTATGTCAATGAGTGTTTGACAGCAAAACAAACTTTTGCAGATATGAAATGGTCTTTGATGGAGAAACTCCAGAAAGTCCTAAACGAGAAAAGAAGGATGGACGCCATGATGGAGAGAGACAGAGGATTCACAGAAGAAGTCCAGAAGACCTGAAACACAGGGATGAAAAAAAGAAAGATTCAGGTGACAGGCGCAGGCAGAGTGACAGAAGTAAGGGATACAGGGACGATGATAGACATCGTGAAAGGAAAACCAGTCGCAGTCGGTATCCTGAGGAGCAAATCGATAGAAGAAAGGAACGAGATGATGAAAGAGGACATGATCGAGATTACAAAAAGAGAAGTTCTGATGTTGAAGGCCGTAGAGATGGGAGGGACAATGAAGGTTATAGAAAGAGAACAGCAAATGAGGATAGTCGTAAGGAGGGATTTGGGGATGATAACAATTTTAAAAGGAGGTATATGGATAGTAATGACAGACGAGACAGAAGGGATGAACCCAGTCACAGAAATTATGATGACTCCAGAGGCAGGAGGGAAGGGCGAGAACATAGGAGCCAAGGCATAGAAGGTGTTGATGATCATGAACATGATCGTGATAGAAGGCATCGAAGTGACAGAAGAAGATGAAATCTTGCCTTAAACATGGTTCTGAAATCTTAAACTTGGTTCGTCATCAATTCCTCTAATTACTCGTCACTCATTGACTCCTTGAATCTATCATATCTTTGTAGGTAAGCCCTCAAGTAAGCCTGAAATCTTTGGGAGAAGTGATTTCACTTGAAAATTGAAAAAAAATCTGTGGAGAGTATTCCTCTGGAAAAAAAATTTCCAATTTTTCTTTTTCCCTCTGGTGAGTATCCTGATGATTTTCCTATATTTCAACCCACAATATCTTTTGCTCGATTGCTTTAATTCTCAGAGTCTAACTGCGTCTAAAATAGGAAAATTAAATACCATCAGGGGGCAGAATCGGAAGATGTAATCTGTTAGAAATATTTTGTTGTAAGCTTTGCTGTGAAGAATTCTGTGGAGTTTTCAGTTTTCTTTGTCCTTTATAATTTCGATTGGAGGTGACTGATTTCGCTAACGATCAGACCAAATGTTAGAGAGGTTTTGAAGAAAATTCTTTTAAACACGAATAAAAAAATGGAGAGCTCTTCATACATTATTAGAAATTTGTGCGGCTCAATTGTGACCTGAATGCCTACCCAATTGGGGAAAATTTTTTAAGTGTCAGGAAACTAAAAACAGCAGACATCAATGTATATATGATTGAAAAATTCCAACGACACAGTTTTTTAATGGATCATCACCTCTACAAAATTATAATTTATTATACATGAATAACGACCTCCAAACGTTCTAAAAGAGACTAGTGATGGCAGGAACGTTGCAGTGTAAGACAATTTCGAACTCCGATCAATGCATTTCCATTCTTACAAATTATATGGAAGTTCAGTCCAAATAATCAACTCAAAAAACAGGCCCTCCATTGTTTATACCCCTGTATTTGTTATACTCTCACCACATGATTGATGACAGCTGATAGCCACTGTGACCTTCGAAACAATTATAATCATCCAAAGAGAACTTACCACTATGCTCCAAGGAACAATGCCACCCCCTCAGACGTGATTTTCTGGTACATGCCTTTTATGATCTCTATCCACATACCCAAGTCGGCTCATCCTGCTACGGTCATCTAAGTAGTCATGATTATTCCGATGCTTGCCCTCAGGCACTTTATCCGGTGATGACTTTCGCTTGCGATTGCTTGATTTGGGGGAGTGGAAACCCTGATCAATATCATCAGGAACTTCACCCTCTTCCATATTGTTGAAATCTGACTTGTGTTTTGATAACTGCCCCTTCATTCCCGGAAGTTCTCCATCCCCGGAATCCTCTTGATGTTTCTCAAGATGTGAGTTCTCTTGTTCTTGCCTGTCCGAGGGTTTAGACCAGCTTTGCCTCCTGTCCCGCTTATTCTTTTCACTCTCAGCAGCTAGTTCAATACCAGCCTCCAGCTCCCTCTCAATGAGATCATCCTCATCCAAGAAGTCTGTTTTCCGAGTCACATCACCTCTGGACTTCTTTCGTTTCTCCAGTGCTGCCTTCACTTTGTCTCTGTCAATTTTTTTAATAGCGTCTTGGGGGGACTGGCCTATTGTACCTTCTCTATTTTCTAGGTTTCGACCAAAATGTTTGTCTTTTAATTCCCCTGCTTCACTTATTTCACCCCTTGCAATATTCCTTTCCTGGTCTTCCTTCCCATGTGATGCAGGTCTCAATGTGTTTTGAGCTTCCCCCATATTCTCATGGCGAGGCACTGTATCCATTTCATAGTCTACATAATCTGTGGATTCACCACCAGCATTGTGATCAGAGGCACTTATCATCTCTCCGCTTAAATGCTCATTACCTTGATTATGGGTGGCTTTTGGTGCCCCACTACGATTATCTGCAAGTGATATTGACTTTGAGGTTCCAGGTCTTGAAGTGATATCTCTATTAGTTGTTGCAAGTTCTTCCTTGCCAGACGAAGCTTTTGACGTGGCCTGATGAGTCGCCCCACCTACAGTGCTTCCTTCAGCTTCATTGTTAGTTGAAGGTCGGTTCTGCTCATACAGTTCCAGCATCTGATTGCTCACCTCTGCAAGAAGTAAGTTCAGGTCATGCCAAAACCACCAAATTCAAAAGGCACTATAAAAAAGGCTTGCATGATCATTACCGCTATCCACTTAAATTGCAATGAATTATGAGAGAGGGAGGGAGGAAAGGAAAATTCTTTGAAGAAAAACATGCACATGTATTTGCAAGAAATGAGAACACCAACCCTCCAATTGCCGCGGGGTGACATCAAACTCTTGCCACCAGACTTTCTCGCCATCTGATGGAAGCTTTACTTTGAGGAACTTCGCAGCAAGGAAAATGGCACCTGCCGCAATGTGGTGGGGCTTAAATTGCAAGCAAAGAGATGTGCGCAGTCTGCATGCCGCATCTCCCCAATCAAGAAGAGAGAATAAAAAAAGTGTATATGGACTAAAATAAGCAATTTATCATACCCATCATTCACAAAATTCCACGCAACCTGAGCTAGGGCATTTTGAGCAACCTTAAATTTTTTTATTGCATCAACAAGAGGTTTATATGGATGCTGCACATTTAGATCAAAACCCAGAGTTGCAAGTACAACTCTCTCACCCAGTAAAATTAATTCTTTCTGCTGTTCATATACCTCCTGCATGACAAATATTGATACATAAATGACAAACAGAATAAAACCAAATAATAATAATACAAAAAGCAGTTTATATGGGAAAAAATGAACCTCAAAAAGAATGGAGGCTACAATCCCAGCATAATTCAGTAAGAAATTATATATGCTAAAGGTCTAAAGCAATGTAGAAAGCAAATTGATTACCAGAGTAATCTAGAAGAATAGGTAAACATGCTGTAGCTTTGGGATTTTAGCAAGGTTCACTATGATTTCCTTTGGGATATAGACAACTGATCAAGGGGATGGGGATGAGACTGTGTATGTTGGGTCAAAGTCATGAATACAAGGGGGAAAAAGCAAAAGCAAATTTGTTTTCAGGGGCGAGAAGGAAAAAAATAACACACACAGACAACATAAGTGATGCAAGTCAAGAATGGTGAGAAGTTCCTTGACAGGAACACCAAAGAGGTATATTACCTTTTGCTTGATCCTCTGAACAGCTTCAGGATCCTTTTTATGGATAATTTCATAAGAAACGAGGATTACATCTTTTAGTGGACGAGGAGTCTCCTCCACCTTCCCCGCAAGAAACATACACACTGTAGCAATAGTCTGTAAGATATTTCATGAGGAATTAGATACTGAAATGGTAATTTCTATTTTTAAACCTACATATCAGCCTTTTCTAGATAAACAAATACATATATGCATGCCAAAGGGTGTTTCAGTCCAAGTGAAAGGGGGATATGAAAGCAAAAGAATTGCAGAAAGACATGGAAAATGGACACAACCATATTAGCTATAATTACTGTCAGACTTCACCTCAATTATAGATTAAATAATCATTCACAACCAGTTTCATATTAATAACTAACAAAAGCTCACCCTTCTATCATTCTTTGCATGGGATTGCCGAAGAAAGAATCGGTGACAGAAAATTATTGCTGTAGCAATTGTTAGCTGGGGCCTGCATTTTAAGAAATTCAAGGCTCATCAAGCCAAACCAGCGAAGACAAATTCATTAGCCACACTTGACACTTAACTACATGTAAAGTAGTGAAAATTTACGTTGCAGTAGAAAAGCACTGAAAATAAGATAAACCATCAAGGGGAGGCTAAAGCCACCTACTAACAATGGTACTTGCAAAACTATCTCAAGTTAAAAGCAAGATGTGACAAAAGAGGGGTAAGAAATTACAAAGTATTGAACCTCAGATGGCTAAGTTGGCAAGTCTAAAGGAATTAATAACTAAAATGCCCAGTCTCTCTCTTTTGCAGGAGTAAGCTCAGAATTGAGGCCAGCAGGCCAGTGGATGAACTGGAAGACATTCAATCAAGAAGGTTGGGATTGGGGGAGACAAAAGTAGGTAGTCCTAACGAAGCATTTCCAGCACAATGTTGCAAAGTTCACAGAAATCTCTTCAGAGAAAATCTGCTAAGGATGTAGACAGAGGGTATAAGGACCATTAATCATCAATATTTGTACAGGCTACTCATGAGTGTGGGTAGCTAAACATTTTTTGACTGGTTAGATATTTAAAAGTTACAAAGTCAGTACTTCACTTTTGGCATGGCTGTTGGTGTGAAACACCTGCTTATGTGATTTCCTGAATTTTTTTTCAGCAACAATATTTTACAAGGCAAGTTCAACTCTCTTTAGAACTTTGCCATTCTCTTGTTAGAAAACTTTTCCCACTTCTATAAAATCCCCACATATTTTGCTAATTATTTATTCCAAAAGAGTATTTATCTCAAAAAAAAAAAAGAAAACATAAATAAAATAGATTGAAGCATTGCATAGTATGTGCATAACTTGGTGTGTGCACGCATGTGCTCACATGCATAATATGAAACCATGTATATGATAATTAAATGAAAACAGACAAGTAATTGGATCATGCAAAAGTAATCTGATCTCTAACCACCCTCGTCGTTAAATAAATGAATGAACAGACATTCATATATACCCATGTCAAAGCATTAGAACTTTACAGAAAAAAATGAGGCACAATTCCATATTGAGGACTCACACTTTAAGTCTCATGCCCAAATCTTGTAGAAATGTACAGTAGGATTTGCGTAGATAAGTCTCCTTCTTCAAGTCGATGCCATCTCGTCTGGATGGAGAGTTATCTTCAATTTCCTTTCTAGAGAAGTACCAACGGCCACCTTCCTCTGGTTTTTCCTGAGAATATTTCTGCAGGTTTGTACCATGATGAGGGGCATCACCAGGCAGAGAGTTAGCCATGTATCCTTCCACAACTAATTAGTCCAAAATTTATGTAAAGAATTTGTATACGAGACAAATGTGTTGATTAAATAAGCATGTCCTACAGGAGCTCCCTGCACAGTGCCATCAATGAATCAAAATCAGAAACAACTTAAGCATAATCTCAGACATTGAGGGGGACAGGTGAAGATAGAAAGTAAATGCAATGAAAGAAACTACCAACACACAGGTGAACGAAGTAATTTCAAGCTATGTATGTGGATAATTTATCAACAATGTAGACAGTATTTATAACTCAAATCCATAAATTATACTAAGCCAGTAATTTATCACCCTTCATGGTCCATGCAACTGTTTAATTTAGTCATACAAACAGTTTTGATATGTGTAGGTACCCATATCATAAGTGTCATCTTTCATGGACCCATGACCTAGACTTTTGTATCCCAAGAGCCAGAAGATGGCTGACACCGTTTGGTCGTTGAGATACTGTGTTCATATAATATAATTTAACAACTACAATAAAGCTAACCAAAATCTAACGTTTAACCCTCAAATTCCTAAATATAATACAAGACAAATCTTCAAAGTCCAAAATAGGGATATAAATCATACAAATCCAGCATACAATTTGTTCCAATTATTTTCACCAATGGTAATTGCTCTCAATTGAGATAAACAAAACCCTAAGTATCCTACAGAATTAAGAAGAAGAAGCAGCGGGATTTGCCTTGTGAGAGCCCGAAAGAAGATAAGCAAGAAGAAATCGACAAGCGACTAAAATCAAATACTGCAAGGCATAAACAACGAAGCACAACATGCATATAGTTTGTGCATATACAGAAAGAGAAGATGAGAAAGAAAGAAGACGTACCTTGAAGCTCGAACGAGTGAAGAAGAGAGAGAGCGAAAAAAGAACAATTCCGATTTAGGGTTTATATTTTATACCATCAGCGATGTTGAGGCCCATGCGTTTATTTTATTTTTATTTGCCCTTTTCTCTGGAACTAAAAAAAAAAAAGTTCATTGCACGTTTTTTTACCCATATGTTGAATTAAATTATCTACAATGGTGACCTTAATTTTTTTTTTTTTTTTTTTTTTATTTTTTATTTGCCTTTTCTCTGGCAACTAAAAAAAAAAAAAGTTTCATTGGCACGTTTTTCTTACCCCATATGTTGAATTAAAATTATCTTACAATGTGACCTTAATTTTTTTTTTTTTTTTTTTTCTGAGAATGTTTAAAACTCATAAATTTTTTTAATAATTTAATAACGACATATTCAAAGTTTACATTTTGGAAGGCTAAATTTATATACGTTGAACCTTAATTTTTTTTTTTTTTTTTTTGAGAATGTTAAAATATAAATTTTTAATATTTAATAACGACATATTAAAGTTACATTTTGGAAGGTTAAATTTATATACGTGAAAAATGAAGTTAACAACATTGTTACACTTAATTATAAAAACATTTCATTGATTAATTTTCAAAAAAAAAAAAAAATTACTTTCGTTTACACAATTCATTTTAATCGTTTTATTAATTATTTTTAAATAATGTTTGTATTTTACATTTATTGATACTTAAATTTATATGGTAAAAGTTTTAAAATATTAAGAAAAAAAATATATAAACGAAAATGTATTATCTTAATTATCACACAACTTTTCATAAAATTAATTACACACAAAGTTTGTATTTATTACAAAACAAATGTTTATAATTAACTATAATAACTTAGTATTCCTATAATTTATTTAAAAAAAATTATAAAAGCATTTTTTTTTTTTTTGCGAGAATATTAAAAGATTTTCACGAGAATGTTAAAGAATAAATAAATAAAGATAAAGATAGATATTTGTAGTTGTGTACCATTTTATTTCCACCTAAAATTAATTATAACAACTTAATTGGTTTCAAAATATATAATAAAGATGCATCAAGAGTACAAAACACTATAAAGATGATAAGTTGATTTTGGTAATTATTTATTGAAGATTTCGTTTTTAATATCAAAAGAACAGACTTAGATGATTTATATAGCCCATATTCAATAATTATAAGTTAGTTATTTAATAATTTATAGAGGTAAATTGATTAAACATTTCTTCAATTTTGGGATTTATTTTTTAAAGATTTGGATTTCCATATTATTTTCTTTTAAGCTCAATCTAAATCCAGCAAGTCTAAAAAGTCTAGATATAATTTTGCCAGACTCCCCAAATGAGCCAACGATACTGATTTTTGGAAAAGAATGTCAACCAACTCTAGAAGGACATCATTTTCATAAGAATGAGAATAAGAAGTTTTAAATTTTACAGAAAATATACATATTTGAAGCAAATAAGCCACCTGCCTAGCATTCCTACCTTCAAGCAGACAAAATTTATAAGAAAAAAAAAAAAAAAAAAGACACCCTTTATCTTACCAAGAACTAATAGATAGAGTTCTAGTGTTTTAACTGTCAGCAGAAACAATATAACAATCCAACAACTGAAAGGTGCACTTCAACATTTTATAGATTTACCTTTAAAAAAAAATCCAGATTTCAAGTACAAGAATGTAATAAATACACAAGCAGGTTGTTAATTACAATATTATAAGAACTAACACCTGATCCTTATTCAATTGAGAAGTTGAAGGGTTAGAGAATATCTAAGCTTCCAAATTGCTACTTTAGCCAGTTAGTGTCCTATAAGGCAGGGTTGCAGCCTCCACCATTGGCGACCAAGGAAACACCTGAGACATTCCGTCATCACAGAGACAGAAAGCGTAATTACATCACAGAAAGACAATAGCTCCGAGCCTCCGCTTTTAGCCATCTTATAAATGTACAGTTGTTGGTAGTCTGCTTCTTCACCAAACAGAAACATAAGGTAGCCATATATAGAGAGAATGAGGTTGAGACAAATGAAGCTTGTTCTGTTTTCAAAACTTGAGAGCCATACTCTCCAATTTCCAAGAATCATCAAGATGATCATTGGCTCACCAGTTCCAAAGTTCACATGTGTCAAAGATGGTTTTCTGGACTTCCAGAGTTTTTGGCATGATATTTATCAGGGATCTTCCAACCAAACTTTTCCAAGCCACAAGTACCTTGACTTCTCACTGTGGTATGATAGTGAAAATTGCTGCCATCTATGTCAGTACTCTGTGTATCTCATTTCACTGATCGGACACCAACAGTTCTTACACGGAACCGATACTGAGGCTGCGATTCTTCCTCATCATCATCGTCATTGTCCTCTTCACTTGAATCATCTTCAACTCTGTCCCAGCGAGCATAATCCAAAGTGGAGTGCCCCTTTGGTTTCGGGATTGCTTGCCATGCTTTGGAATGCTGATCGGATGATTCTTTTTTCCTCTGTGCTTGAGCTATAACTTCAGCAGCAAGAGTCTTTCTGGGCTCAACTTTCCGCTGTGCTTGAGCTATAACTTCAGCAGCAATTGTCTTTCTTGGCTCAAGCTTTTGCTCCCTATTTATTTCAGGAGTCCTGTTGATGATTGGTATTTTAGGCACAACAACTTCAGTATTAACAGTAGACCTACACGGCTCAGTCTCTTGAATAGTTCTGACTATTTCAATAGTCGCATCTTCTTCTCCATTTTGTTGATCTTTCTCCTTACATAATTCTGCTTCATCCTTTTCTTCCTCTTCTTCCAACTCAGCTTCAGATTCAGGTATTGGAGCAAGAGACTTCCTTAAGCAAAACAAGATTATTTCTTTAACTGACAGCAGGAGATTATTATTTACAAATTCACAGTCTTGGTCAACGAACATTATTATCAATTAAATTAGCGTCAACAGGAATTTGCACATTAAGAGACTCGATCATTGTTGGGCAATACAAGAAATTCCAGATGCACATCAACATGTAAAGCAAACTTCCAAGGCAAAAAAAAAAAAAAAAGGACTCGATCATTGTTGGGGCACATACAAGAAATTTCTAGATTGCACATCAATCATGTAAAGCAAACTTCCAAGGCAAAAAAAAAAAAAAAAAGGGGTTTTGCCGTGAAGCTAGTTGAAGCTGTTTAAGCAACCCAACATACTAATGACAAAACACAACATTTAGCAGCTTGCAACATAAGTGCCAAAACTTGCAATCCACTTTTGGACCTATCATTTGTCACCCGCACAAAAAAAAAAAAAAAAAAGGGTTTGCCTGAAGCTAGTTGAAGCTGTTAAGCAACCCAAAACATACTAATGACAAAACACAACATTTAGCAGCTGCACATAAGTGCCAACTTGCAATCACTTTTGACCTATCATTTGTCACCGCACACCAGCAAGAAATCTATCCAAAACAGCTACCTTAATTTGATAGCTAGTAATGACCAAGCAAATTTAATTATGTAGTTTAATACGCAAATGACAAGGTGATAACTCTTTCTTGATCTTGGATACCTCTAATATTATGATATAACATTCATTTGAATAAAATTAGCTAAAGATTAGGAGGGTATACCAATTGCGTCCTCAATCGAGCTTCAAGATTTCGATAAACTTCTGATGACGGATTCAACTCCATAAGTCTGTTCACATCAAACAGAGCAGAGTGGTACTCCTTGAGGGTGACGAGTGTTTGCGCCCGCAGCATCAATGCTCCGACGTGATCTTGATCAAGCTCAAGCACCGATGTACATTCCTCAGCTGCCTATCATCAAAGTCAGGAATCAACACAAAGAAAATACAGCTTCTAGAACCAAACAAAGAAAATCAACACAAAAGCAACAGAAATCATTTTTTTTTTCAAATTGAAATGTTGAAATTATTAAAGTACCTAAAAACAAAAAAGAGAGTACCTTTTTGAAATCGTGCAATTTCAAATAACAAGCAGCTCTATTACTATGCAAAGCAATCTTCTGGGGTTTGGTTTTGGCCATAGAAAGCGCCTCTGTGTAAAACCCTAGCGCTTCCTCGTAATTTCCGTCTCTGTACATCTGGTGAGCCGTCTCGATCTTGCTCAACGGAGCAGATGCCATGATTACAGATCAAAAGAAGCCAATCTACTCCGAGCCGTCAGAAGCTCAAAGATAGAAATGGTAGAGCTATGAAATGAAACAGGTGTTTTCAAAAAACAGAATGATTGAGCTCTCTAGGTGTGAGACAGACAAGAAAAGGATCAGACAGAGAACGTGGAGCAATTATAGCATTGTGATTAGCTAAGCATTCCGCACATAAGACGCAGATTTTCTTGCATCTACTTTTTTTCGTCTGAAATCTGACTTTTAAATCTAATTTTTATTGATGTGGCATTGTAATTTTTTTTCTTTTTGCGTGCGTTACGTGTTACTTGTTAGGTTGCTTTTTTCAATTTTTTTTTTTTTTTTTTTAAGTAGGAAAATTTGGTAAATTGAAGGTGGCATCATGCGGGCTTCGAGTGTTACCGGAATTAACTTCTCACAAAAATGGGCCAACTAGGCCCAGATATCCCGCTGATCATGATGCAAAACGGCTACTGTTAGTGACCTAATGGAGACCACGAGGACGTTGGGGGCCACTTCTGTGGGGCCATTGTTAGAATTTTCAATTTTGGATGTATAATTTTTGCAATTACAATTGAGAGAGCATTTCACCTTATAATCCAATTATTAAGAGAGAAGTGGGAGGACACAGAACTACAATATAGCGTTTTGATTATGCAATAGGTACAACACCAACAAATCAATCTTACAAAATGTGAAAGATTTCTACCTGCATCTTACGGGTTAAATTTTCTCCTCCTCCTGTTTTGGACCTGTCTCATCCAGCGCTGGCAATGAATTTTGCAGAAGCTCTGCTGCAAGATCAAGTTCCTGCTCTGTTATGGTCAAAGGTGGCACAAGTCTCACAACATTTCCTTTTCCAGCAGTTAACACCAGAAGGCCAGAATTTCGGCATGCATCCACAAGTGGTGAGGCTGGTAGATCCAATTCAATCCCAATAATCAGTCCTAGTCCTCGAATTTCTTTCACATGTGAGTTTCCACCTAGCTTCTGCTTTAAAATTTCTTTGAAGTGCAGCCCTTTCTTAGACACACTGGTCAAGAAAGCTGGATTCGAGATCTTCTCTAGAACGGTAAGGGCAGCATTACAGACAAGAGGTCCACCAGCAAAAGTACTTCCATGATCACCAAAATTTATAGCCGAAGCAACTCTTTCAGTCACCAATGTGGCTCCAATAGGTAAGCCTCCAGCAAGTGGTTTGGCAAGTGTCATTATATCTGGAAAGACACCATATGCTTCATGGGCCCACAGATATCCAGTTCTGCCTAAACCGCATTGCACCTTCAGAATAAGGAGAATAACTGAGTTTGATGAGAATCCGTTTTGACTAATTTCATGAACATGAATAAAGCATAGCCAAAATTGTACATTAAATAGAGTTTAATACCCAAAGCAGTTAAAAAGCACATTCTTTGTAATAAATTTAGCAGATTAAAATAATATAATGCAGCCAATTTTAATCTTCACCCACTGTATCAGACACAAACACATGTAGTTTACGAGCATATATATTCAACAAAAGTAGACTGTGCCTCCATATACAAGCACATGAAAGCACTAATTTTTTTTTCAAAATCCAACTGTCATTCTGTTCTATACAGATGTTTATTGCAAATTGATACTGAAAAAAGCTGATTACCTCATCAAAGACCAGGAGAGCCCCAGCATCATCACAAGCAACCCGCAAAAACTCTAAAAATTCCTTTGTTGCACTATAGATGCCACCTTCACCCTGGAGAGGTTCAACAAAAACTGCAGCAGTTTTCCCTTTTCGAATTAATTCTCTTGCCGCATCTATATTGCCATACTCTGAAAAAGTGATCCCTGGCATCAGAGGCTCAAAAGGTGATCTATATTGTTTTTTGCTTGTCAGGGCAAGTGCACCCATGGTCCTCCCATGGAAACTATTGGAGAAGGATATGAATTCTGTGGCTGGCTCTGCAACTTTAGAGTTTGAGTGTCTCTGGTACTTCCTAGCAAATTTGATAGCTGCTTCATTTGCTTCAGTTCCAGAATTTGTAAAAAACACACGGTCAGCAAAAGAGCAAGCTACTAGACGCCTAGCAAGGTCCACCTGCAGCAACACTGGAAGTAATTGTCAGCTTAAGAAAAGATTTAGCACTCAATTCACATAAATTCCGCCATCCAAGAATAACATGAATACAGAGAATAAGAACCATTCTCATTCTTCCTTAATGTCTACAGAAAATTCATGCCATAGTTTCTCCAGAATTATGAACAACTTGATTCAGTTCTTAGATATCACATTTCTTAATTCCAGTGCGCAAAGATCACGCCACACAATCACCAGTAACATTTTAGTAGCCATGAACTATAGATAGGAAAATAAATGTTTTTCCTTAATGTGAAAATCAAAACCAATACAAGGTACAGAGAGAAACTATTTTTGTGTCTAGTTACTTCAAACTTGCTTTAAGAAGCCTAAGTTTTCCCCAAAATAATCGCAGTTCAAGATAATAGGATGGGCACTTGAGGCTATACTTAGTTTAATCATCAGTCAAGTATTTAACTTTTTTAATAATTGTTTCCTTTCACATGTATCAGATACTTGTTAACACTTCTTAAATCCAGCTTGCTACAAACTTTAAATCCAATTCAAGATCAAAGAAACCAATTTCTTAAAATTCCCAAACTCCCTCAGCAAACAAACAACCATAAACGCAAGTTGAAAAATTAGAAAAAGGGAAAAAAAAAAAAAGAAAAAGAAAAAGAAAAGAGGGAATCATGGATTATCGAACCTGAGGAATGGAGTAATAGACATTACTGACATGGGTCAACACATTAGCCTGCTCAACAACGGTCTTTACCCAATCAGGATCAGAATGCCCCAACGCATTCACAGCAATCCCTGAAGTTAAGTCTAAATACTCCCGCCCTTCAACATCATATAATTTGCAACCTTTGCCACTAGCCAAAACCACCGGTGCTCTCGCGTAAGTCCCGACCATAACCCTTCCCTCCGCCTCTATCACCTCCTTGCTCTCCCTCAACACCCCGATTTTTCCGGCACTGTCCGGCGCTTTCACGTCCACGTTAAGACATGAGGCGGCGATTGGCTTCCGACCGTTGAATTTTACCACTAGTCGCCTTTCTAGACTCTCTCGATTGAATGAACGGCGGAGATTAAGTGACTGGGAAATTGAAGTGTTCGAATAAATGTGCAACGAAGAACTCATTTCGTTTTTAACTGCAATTCAAAATGCAATCATATATCACTAATTCAATCCAATGAGAAACAAAACAGAAGTGAGCTTTTCCACTATTTAGAACTAGAAGTCGATATTCAGGCTTTTACCTTACCGTACAGACTTTCTGCTTCAGTATCAGTACTTCTCAATTTCTGGTAAGTGATGGCGGCTCTGTTGTTTTCTTCTTCGACAGAGAGAGGAGATGCAAGGGAAACGATAAATGGTCCTCAGTCTTACTAGTGGACGTAACAGCATATCCAATCGAAGCCCAGTCCACTATTGGTACCTGTCCCATAGTAGAAAAGTATAAAGTCCAACGTCTTCTTTCTTTCTTTCTTTCTTTCTTTCTTTATTTTTTTTAAAAGAAAAAAATCAAATGAATATGGCAAAATTTTGAGCCAATTATGGGTGGAAATGAAATTAATTTACTAATTTTAATTAATTGAATTTAGGGCAATGATATTCAAGTTAGAATCCCTAGTTGGAGCTCAATTAATTAAAAAAAATGAACTAATTTAAAATATAGGTGATGAGTAATTTTAATTTTATATTTTTAACTAAATATCGAGAGATAATTAATTATCTATTATTCATTTTAGATAGAAAAATTTTATTTAATTTGCATTAAAATAACTCTCAAGTCACAAAATATATATTTAATTAACACATAAAAACAATTAAGAGGCTGTCATAAAATAAAGAAAATAAAAAGCTTAGATTATATTTCTCTCTCTCTCTCTCTCTCTCTCTCTTGATACACTAACATATTTAACTTAAAAACAATTAGCTAGAGCCTGTCAATGATTCTCATAGCAGCCTCAGAAAGATCTTCATAAACTTTCATTTCATAAGCAATACTTTCTGGAAGATGCCATGTTTGGTTCATCTGAAAATTCGTAATGCATGTAAGTTGAAAACTGAGAGCTGTGAGAACAAAATGCCCAGCCTTATCATAATCCCCACTCTTCAACTTAGAAACCACCATAGATAGATCCACACAAGCTAGATAATACCCTTGGCTGCAAGCTTGAAACACAGACTTTAAATTCTCGTCTCCAACTCGATGAACTAGAACTGACATTTTGGTTGCCAAGTGTTTTGAATGGTTACTTACACAGTTGGTGATAATAGTAGCAATCCCTAGCTCGTTGCTAGCTGAGGCCGTAGGGTTCGATTTTAGACACTCCATACACACTTCTGGAGTTTCTGTGTTGTGACATTCACACTCGATAATATCTTCGTTTGCTGAAATAAGCTTTTCTGTATGAATTAGAGCAACCACGGTAAGTAGAAGACGAAGATGATGAATGGAATTTGCAAAAGAAGCCATTAATTGTTTGGTTTCTGTATTGTATGGTACTATATAATGATTTGAAATTGGGATAATTGTATAATTGGTACATGATTTTTGTTAGTTTTTTCTTTTGGCCATTTCATGTTGACCGGTCCCAAAAGTAACTTGTTAGTATACATGAAACTCGTGAAATATGTAATTAATGAGTCAATTCACATTTATATCCACCAAATCATACCTTATATACGTTGATCACAAATGGATTCTTTGTTGTCAGCGGTTGATATATGGCAGTTACACTTCTCCTTCAATCTCCCTTATATATGGAAACTAAAATCATATTTGCATATTAATTTGCATTAATTATAGGACATTAAAATTACTTATTTATTCTTGTGTTTGGTGAATATATATATATATATATATATGTAACTTGTAGTATACATGAAACTCGTGAATATGTACATTCAATTGAGGTCAAATTCACGTTTATATCCACCAAATCATACCTTATATACGTTGATCACAAATGGATTCTTTTGTTGTCAGCCGGTTGATATATCGGCAGTTACACTTTCTCCTTCAATCTCCTTATATATGGAAACTTAAAATCATATTTGCATATTAATTTTGCATTAAATTATAGGACATTAAAATTATTATTTTATTCTTGTGTTTGGTGGAATTTATTATATATATACTATATTATATTTACTATAGGCAGCTGGGCTCAATGTTTGTTCAAACGTCACTGTAACATATATATATAGCAGCTGGGCTAATGGTTGTTCAACGTCACTGTACTGCTCAAGCAACACCAAACGAAAACGTTAGTTTGTTGAAAGCCTGATGTATATTCTTAATTTTCTCTTAAAAAAATCCAACAAAAGAGTTTTGACTATTTGACCAGTCAGTCATGGTCTAGGTACTGACGTTTGACGATGAAAATTTCACGATAGTAAGTCTAATATTTCTCCCACCTCCCTATCATCGTACAGATGATTCATTTAATGCATTTACATGTATGATTCATATTCAGAAATTTCATGCCCACCAACTGTTTGAATACATTTCAGTAGGTGTATACTTAGGTCTCATCGTCTGTCCTTTTTATCTAGCTGTGTATCAAGGAGAAGAAACATCGGGATTTTATAGGGAAACTCGCTAGCAAGCTGATAAATAGAAAAGTTAACTTGGTTTGACCAAAAGCCTGTGTTTGGTACAGTATTGTACCTTTCTATCGTTCTCCGGTCTCTCTTCCCTTTCCAAAATAGCTATTATCGCCCTATTTAAAATTCAAAAGATTCCTGATTTTAGTAGATATACTCATATTCCTACGTTTAGATATTGGTTAAAATCTTTAATTGTAGAATAATGGTTTTCTTGAAACTGATTGTACCTTAAACCTAGGAAAATGATCAAGAACATTCCCAGGATAAGAAAATAAATATAATTACCCAGTAGAACTATTTTCTTTGATATTTGTTTTAAGAAAGAATTGTCATATTATATTTACAAAATATTTGAAACGAAACAGAGAAGTAAATATGTGTTTAAAATTAATATTTTTGACCGAGAAATGAACTTGAAAATGACCTTCAAAAATTCAAACAAGAAAATTGAGCAACCTATAAATAAGTTGGTTTCTTTATCGCTGTAGTAAAGTTACCAACTCCAAACTCAAATAAAAAGATATGAACACTCGACTTCTTAAACTCCAAGGTTTGTTGAATATTTAGTTATTTACTTTATAATGTAAAGTTTTTCTTGTTCAAGCATTACTTTTGTATAAGAGAAAAATAGAAAGAAGAAAAGAAAAATATTTTGTCAATTTGCCACTTGCTACTTAAAAGAAGGTGACAGCACGAGTCATTGAAACCTAGGGCAGAAATGCAAGCATGGATGGAGATTTTTGGTAATCACCCAGCAAATTTGAACGCAAGAAAGTTAGAACGTGAACTTTCTTTGAAATTTTGACATCCGTTGTTTACTTTACTAGGTCTTTTTCTATAGTTAGTGTTTTCTTTTATTGAATCTTTCTTTAACCGCCTTCTCTTTTTGGTCTATCTCTGTTTTTATATGAAGAATAAAGGAGATCTCATAAAGAATATCTAGAAGATATAGTCCATTAATTCTTTTATATCCCCGTCTGTACCAGTTTCTTTATTTCCAATATTTATGTCTTCTTCAAGAAGATAATAGACATTTGCAGTGAGCATTTAAAGAAGAAACTTTGGACTTTCAACTGAATTTTTAAAGAGGTGTATGATAGGGGAAAGAAAATGGTTCGGGAATCGGTCTCTGCAATCCGGCAATCTCGACGTGTAAGTAATATTTGCTTTATCTTTTCTGTTTAGTTTCTGAGAAAGCTCTTATTGTTTTCGTTTTGAAAAATGTGTAAATTAGAGAGTTCAGTCCAGTGGCGGTTTTATTTTCCTAACATTTTCTTGGCAACCAAACGGGGGATTTTATTTATTTCTTAACGTTCTTTGATGATTTCTTTAATTCTTCTTGACCGGGTTGATGGGACTTTGATAGCGTTACTTAATAGTGTTAATATGATAATGGGCTGCAGCCTGCAGTGTGTAAAAGTATCACTGTTCTACCCTTCTAATATGTTCTCTCTGTTAACTCTGTTTAATTCCCTATTTCCTTTTATGGTGATCTTGGATCAGTATTTCAAAATTTCTTGTTTCTTGAATTATATGCAGCAACTCTACAAAAGAACTCTTTTACTTGCATACCAGAGTTTTGGAGTTGTTTATGGGGATTTATGCACATCCCCTCTGTATGTCTATAAAAGCACGTTTTCTGGAAGTCTACGGCTTTATGAGGAGGACCATGAGATATTTGGGGTACTTTCTCTAGTTTTCTGGACTTTGACTATCATACCTCTTTGCAAGTACATTATATTTGTGTTGGATGCAAATGACAATGGTGAAGGTGCTCACATTTACCATTCCAATATATGTTTTAAACATCTTGTAGATGCAAAACATTAGTGCTCATTCTGTTTCGAAGCTAATCTTATACAGGCGGAACATTTGCATTGTACTCGTTACTCTGTCGACATTCCAAAATTGGGTTTTTAAATAGCTCGCACATGGGGCATGAATGTGTATCTTCTTACGATTTTTCTATGCCTACCAAGGAGTCAAAAACTAGCTTGCTTATAAAGGAATTCTTTGAGAATAATCTTTCTTCTCGCATTGTGTTGCTGTTGATTGTTCTGCTTGGAACTAGCATGGTTATTGGTGATGGAATCTTGACCCCAACAATGTCTGGTACTAGTTCGTAAGATAACTATGATACTTTCATTTCACTAGTAATTTTATAAATATTTAATTCCTGTACCTTTTATGCAATCACTGATTCTTTTGCCATTTTTATTTTACAGTTTTATCTGCTGTCTATGGAATCCAAATTAAGGTTCCAAATTTACATGAGAGTAAGCTACAATCCTCATCCTCCTCTGATTTGAGTTGCTTTTTCTCTCTCTCTCTCTCTTTTTTTTTTTTTTTTTTTTTTTTTTCTTGACCCCAACCAATGGTTTCGCGGTGTTACTAGGTTCGTAAGATACTATGATACTTTATTTCACTAGTAATTATAAATATTTAATTCCCGTACCTCGTTAGCAATCACTATTCCTTGCCGATTACAGTCTTTAATCTGCTGTTCTGGAAATCCAAATTAAGGTTCCAAAATTTACATGAGAGTTTAAGCTTAACCCAATCCTCATCCTTCCTCTGATTTTGAGTTGCTTTTTCTCTCGCTTCTCTCTCTTTTTTTTTTTTTTTTTTTTTTGCCTACTTCAATCTAAATTTGTATAACAAGTCTTAATTGGCCAAGTTCACTGAAAGGATTGGGTACAAGCAGCATTTTTCCCTCTTCAATAAGGCTTAACATGTTTTTTTTTTTTTTTTTTTTTTTTTTTTGCCTTATTTCACATCTTCACATTTGTATACAAGTCTAATTGGCAAGTTCACTGAAAGGATGGGTACAAGCAGCATTTCCCTTTCAATAAGCTTAACATGTTTGTTTATGCCAGATTATACTGTGGCGATCGCCTGTGTGGTTTTGGTGGGGCTTTTTGCACTCCAGCACTATGGAACACATAGAGTTGGGTTTCTATTTGCTCCAATCTTGTTAGCTTGGTTGCTATGCCTCGCCGGGGTTGGCATTTATAATATATTCAATTGGAACCCTGGCGTGATCAATGCTCTATCTCCATACTATATCTATAAATTTTTCCAGAAAGCTGGAAAAACTGGATGGAGTTCACTTGGAGGCATTATTCTGTGTGTTACAGGTCAGTTGCTAGGAAAACTGACAAAATCTGATGTATGTTAAAAGAGCTTCTCTTATGGTAAGGCTGATTTTTGTGTCTAATTCTGCAGGCACAGAAGCTATGTTTGCTGATCTTGGCCATTTCTCACAACTTTCTCTCAGGGTATCTATTTTCCTAGCCTACTTCAATTTCTGATGTTATAAGCTCTTGAATCAATTATGAAGAAATGTAATTGGCGAATTATTGATTCCTTCTTGAAATAGATTGCATTTACAGGAGTTGTCTATCCATGCTTGGTTCTTGCTTATATGGGTGAAGCTGCTTACCTTTCCAAACACAAAGAGGATCTTCAAAGAAGTTTTTACAAGGCCATACCAGGTAAGTCCTAAAAACTTAGTACATAGTAGTTGAATTATCCATTTGGTGCTTTCTCTTACATTTCTTCCTTCTTCTTTACTTCTTTTAGAGGTCATATTTTGGCCAGTATTTCTCATAGCCACTCTTGCAACTATAGCGGGAAGCCAAGCAGTAATTTCAGCAACTTTCTCCATCATTAGCCAGTCTAGAGCCCTGAGTTGCTTCCCAAGAGTAAAGATAATACACACATCAAAAAATATTCATGGGCGGATATACATACCAGAAGTAAACTGGACACTAATGATGTTGTGTCTTGCTGTAGTTATTGGATTCAGAGACACTGCAATGATCGGCAATGCATATGGTAGGTGCTATATCTTTCCCCTTCCTATTTAATATTAATTTGGTGCCTGAATTATGTATTTTTTTTTTTTTTTTAAAAAGATCTTTTTGATTTTATCTACAGGTCTTGCTGTGATTGCAGTAATGTTAGTCACAACCTTGTTGATGTTCTTGATCATTAGTACTGTGTGGAAGCGAAATGTTTTGTGGGCTGTCCTGTTTGTCTTGGTGTTTGGATTTGTAGAATCGTCTTATTTCATTTCATGCCTTGCCAAAGTACACAAAGGAGGCTGGCTTCCTCTGGTGGTCTCTCTAGTAATATTGTCTCTGATGGCAATATGGAACTATGGGACGTCAAAAAAACTGGCATTTGAGTTGGAGAACAAGGTTGGCTTGGACAGCTTGTTGAGCCTTGGATCAAACCTTGGAATTAGAAGAGTTCCTGGAATTTGCCTTGTTTACTCTGATGTTACATCTGGTGTTCCCCCAATGTTCTCTCATTTCGTCACTAACTTTCCTGCATTCCATCAAATTCTCATATTTGTAACTCTTCAGTCTGTGATGATCCCAAAAGTTCCACCTGGCGAACGTTTTCATGTTGCGAGAGTTGGACCCCCAGAGTTCTCCCTATTCCGCTGCATTGTCAGGTAATTAAATTCAGCCCCACTCCTTGTATTGCTATTTTGCGATTAAATTGCTGAACAGGAATTAGAGTTTGTTTGATTTAGTATTCAAGGCAGATGAGATTGTGAGTTTGAAGTAAGCCTTCACTTGGATATAGCTCTGGAAGCTAGTAAACCTAACTTTTGAACCCAACCGCATACACAGTCTCATTGTTCGATTGCCTTGGTCAGGTATGGATACAAGGACATGAGGGACTGCCATGAGTTGGAAACTCAGCTGATTGAAAACTTTTCGGGATTCCTGAAATGGGAAAGGCACAGCAAAGAAATGGCAATAGCAGAACCAGTTGAGAACAATAGCAGGCCAAGCGGAAGAAGAGTGAGCTTTCAATTAACTTGGGAAGCAAATAAAGAGGTTGGAGAACTGATGGAAGCAAAAGAAGCTGGTGTCTCTTACATGATGAGCAATATAAGTGTCAGAGCCAGTGAAGCATCGTCTTTTCTGAAGAAATTTGCCATTGACATTGTGTATGATTTTCTCAGACGCAATAGCAGGTGCCCTGCAACTTCACTTGGGCTTCCACACGCCTCCCTCATTCAAGTGGGTATGGTTTATCGAGTCTAATAGCAACAGTTTATAATTGTATATACATATAAACAGATTTAGGTCCGTTTTTACTCATCCACAGAAGCTTGAACGATAACGGTAATAACTATACGTACATGCACAGCAAGGCAAAAAAAAAGGAGGGTACAGAAAAAAAAAAAAAAAAAAACTCATCCACAGAAGCTGAACCGATAACGATAATGAACAACCTATTACGTACAATGCCAACAGCAATAGGCAAAAAAAGGACGGTCGCGCGAGAAAAAAAAAAAAAAAAAAAAAGGGGAAGAATGAATTAAAAAACACCACGGTGGTTTGCTTTTTGCTAGTAAAAAAAAAAAAAAAAAAAAGGGGAAGAATGAATAAAAACACACGTGTTTGCTTTTGCTAGTTATTATATTTGTCAATAATATTAGAGCTATAGCTATCTTTATATATTTCTAAAATGTGAATTTTATAGAAATAATATTTGTGAATAATAATCTCAATATATATTGATAAAAATTTTATGATAAGCTCATGATAAAGATGCAAATGAAGTTGTGGGTTATTTTGAATTATGAATTTTATTGGAGGGTGAGTATTTGATCAGTTCAATCAATTTTTTAATTAAGTCGAATTAATCAAATTAAATAGAGAATTAAGAAAATCGTCGGGTATGATTTAATTGGTTATCTCACTTATGAAGTGTGAAAAGTCTTAAATTTGAATTTTTCGGATAACATTTCACCAATTTAGTGAGTTCAGAGGAAGGTTACCTCTGATACGAAGCTCTCTATGTAATTTCAGGCCTTTAAATCTCATTAAATCAAGAAAAAAAAAATGAATAATGAATTTAATCATAGCTAATATACTATCGTCTCAGGTTAATTCAAAATTATGTTCCAATTGAACTTTCAACTTATCACCGAATACTACTATTTTATCTTTCGGGTCACAAATCAAAATTCAATTAGCGGGAGAAAATAGATAGACTTAACCAAATTGACACCCCTTTCGAAAAAAAAAAAACTAAATTGACACAACTCTTTAATAACTTATTAATTGACATATATATATATATGTCCAATTAAAAATAGTATGTATTTATTGCAAATTGAGATAGGCATGTTTTAATTTTCAAATTCGAAAATTGATGCTGTCGGGATCATATTCATGTATGTGGTAGATCCTTACTGCCATTATTAATGAAGTCAGCAATGAATAATTGAAATGAAACTTTTTATAATAATATGTGTTCATAATAATTCAGCTTATTATTATTATGTGAGATTTAATTTCAACATTCAACTACCTTCTAATTGATTTTGATCGTTTCTGTTTTCTCACCATTAATTCAAATCTATCCATATGATTCCGACACGTACGTATGTGTGGCTTCTTCTCTTCTCTGTCTTCCACCATTCTTTAATTCCATCGCTTACGTGTCAGCCTTCAAACGTGGTTTTCTTTATTTGTATCCCACGCAGCATATACGTACACGATATATTTACACAAACACACACATTTATCAAAAGTCAATAAAATGTTACACTTTCTTTTTTCTTTATTAGAAATAAAATTAGTCTTATCAGAAAAAAATTGAGAGTTACATAAAATAATTTGTTGAAAAATATTTTAAAAAAATATTTTTCAAATGGATTATTTTCCTTTGTTTGGTTATAATATTAAAAATTAGTTAAAAATATTAAAGTATTTATCTCATAAGATCATAAAAAATATTAATAATAATAAAAATTTTAGTTAAAATATTAAAGTTATTTATCTCATTAGATCATTAAAAGAATATTATATAATAATAAAAAATTTTTTGATAATTTTAAAATTTTTATTTGTTAATAGAAAGAATGTAAAAAAACACATAAATTATGAAAAGCCACCAGTTGGGTCGGTGCCATCGGTAGGTTAAATGGTGACTGTTGGTGGTGACTGTGAATGATTAATTAAAATTAAAAAATATTGGATTTTATTAAGGTTTTTGCTAATGTCCGAAAAAATGTTTTTACTTCCTTCTCAAGAGCCAGAAGTTGTTTTTCCCTTTTAAATAAATTAAAAAATATGGATTTATAAGGTTTGCTAATGTCCGAAAAATGTTTTACTCTCTCAAGAGCCAGAAGTTGTTTTCCTTAAAAAATAACTTAAATTTTTTTATCAGAAAAATATTTTTTGTTAATTTATTTTTCTAAACTACCCAAATAATAAAAAATTATAAAAAATATTTTCCTTCAAATTATTTTACTGAAACAGACGCAACCTTAGTAAGCAACTGTTCATTTAAAAGTTTTTTGTAAGCCAGCATGTAATAGAAAGTCACATGACATTTCACTTTAAAATTTTGAAAATGAAAATCAAAATTATAGCTAGAATTATTAAGAAAAAGATAATTAAGTATTTAGTCTTTAAATTTTGATTAAAATTATTACCACATCCTTTTTTTTTTTTCTCTCGGTAAAATTATTAATAAGTTCTTTTAGTATTATTTTTAACATTAAATAATCCTCGATGATATTTGATTGTTTAATTATTAATCTTACTATTTCATCCATCACATAACGATAAATTATATTTTTTAAAATGGAAGAATTAAATTTTTATGAAAAAAATTAAATAATAAGAATGAATAAGTGATTTTGCTACAATAATAGCAATATATAAAATAGTAATCTGAGGATTAAATGTTTAATTACCGTAATTATAATAGTGTTTATGATTGATAAAGAATAGGGTTGTGAGTTCTGAGACTAATAAATTCGAATGAACATGGACATGACATGGACCAAACCACATTTATAGCGTGAGGAAAAATATCATCCCTTTAAATGCCACCGTTTCCTCAAACAAATTTCCAATGAACCAAAACAAATACCTAAAGGATACATGCTTTTGTTGCCCAACAAAACAGCATCTGAATCTTCTGCAACAGATTCTGCATTCCTCCTCACATTAATCTTCTTATATCAGCTAGAATTTCCATCTCTCTCTCTCTTTCTGATCAGAAAATGTATTATCTGACTTTGGTGGCTTACTACATATTTTTCAATTCTTTCAAAGTTTTGTATACTCTTTGTTTGGTGGTTTTGGCTTTCTTTTATATGTTCGTGCTCTTAGAAGGCACGAGAGATGCACAGAAAATAGCAGCTTGGGTCTGCAAGCAAGAGATCAGAAATTTGGTGTATTTGCAGTTTGAAGATGAGAATAGTAATAATACATATTCGAACCAGTCAAATTACAGAGTTTCACTGTTGTCTAGGGCTATCTGATTTCCATTTCTTCATTTGTATAACGTATTATTTTCTCGTTTCTGTTATAATTAATTTCACGTGCCCTGTAATTTATATAATAATAATTTCTGTGTTTCTCTTTCTTTCTTTTTTTAATTCAATGATTCACAGAGGCGAACGGCACCTCTGCACCTGAAGTCCATATCTATATGGAGTGTAGTTTTGTTGGCGTTGTAAGCATGAAAATGAAAAATTCATTCTTGAGTTGGCAGTTTCAAGCAAAAATAATTTAAGGAACCATAACGAGGAAGATGGAGGACACCAAAGATATACACAGGGAACAAACCGGAAAAGGCCATTACTATTCAATTACAGGCAGGCAAGGATCCAACAACTCCTCCTCTTTCCGTCAACTGATAAATTAAATCCCAATCTAGAAAATATATCAAACCAAACCATTTAAAATTATAAATAGTATCCATGTTATATACCTCTCTTTCCCGTCAAACTGATAATGTAAATCCCCAATCTAGGAAAATATATCAAAAACCAAAACCATTGTAAAATATAAAATAGTATCCATGTTTATATAATATACTATATATATATACTAGCTATATAGTATAGTGTCCATGCGATGACGCATTTGATTAATTTATAAAATTACATAAATGTATAATTCACAATTCATACTAAATGATTATATTACCAAATTACGAAACTATTAATTTTATAAGTATCATATATAAATATTAATAATTACAATCTACAAACTATAATTTATAAATATCATATATAATATTTATAACACACACACATATATAATATTATACTTATAATTCTTAATAAATTATAAATAGTTTAATTGTTTATTAAATAAATTATAAATTTTAACTTTTTGAGAGGTCAAGGGTTTTGATTCACTATCCATAGGAGTAACCCGAACTCTGAAATAAAATCAGTGTTGTGTAGAAGAATGTGAGTATATTCGTGGAAAATTCCTCAAAGAAATTAAATATATTTAAAAGTTAATTATAATATATAAATTATAAATTTATAATTTGTTGGCAGTTTCAAGCATCTTTTAAAAAAAAAAAAAAAAATTGTTTGGACCCTTTTATGGCCAATTTTATTAACGGTTTCAGTGTAAAATTTAAAAATTCTATATTCTTGTATTCCAAAAGCTGCAAATTTAGCTACCTTTCTGCATCCACTGAGGCCACCATTTAAACTAGTAGTTGGGTGCAGAATTTAAAATAGTTCTATTTCATTCCCTTTTTAAGTTGCAAACATTCTATATCAAAAATCGCCGGTGGAATTGACGATTTGAATGGAAAATCGCCGGTGGAATTTAAGAATTTGTGTAGGGATTGGTTTAGAATCAAAAGAAATAAAAAGGAAAGTGAATTCCAGAATAGGAAAAAGAAAAGGTAAAAAGGTTATTTTCGTCTTTTAACTTTTTTTTTTTATCTTTCTTATGATTCTACTTTTTTTCAGTTGACTCACCGTAAAAATACAATTTTTTTTAAGGGAAGGACTAAATGAGTAGACAAAATTAAATCTCAAGGATTACTTATGAGGTTTACTAAAAGACGGGGATGAAGTAGTGAATTAGATAAATTCTGAGGGACTAAATAATACTTTCCCCTTATTTTTTTTCCAGTTGAGACTACAGTACAGTTAGTCTGATCTGATCTTTAGCTAATATAATGAAACATTTCAATCTTCAAAGCATTCAAACGAATTTAAAAATTACACGACCGTTGTAATAACAGACGTTGCAGGACAAAATTGTCATTTCGTCTAGCAAGATTTTAAACTAAACCGCCGAAAATGAACGTTCGCTCGCTCCTTCTCACACAAATGTTTTAAAAACTTACCGAAATTCGACCGTTGCAGAGACTGAGAGAAATCCCAGATTTCCACCGTTTCAAAAACAGAGGCTCCCCTTTTCGTTTCTCTCTCTTCTTTGAAGTGAACCGAAACAAATTTCTCTCTCTTCTTCATTGCTGTCTCTCTCTCTACAAATTCACAATCATGGCAGACCAAGGCACGAACCCTTCAATCATGGAGCCAAAGCCACTACACCCACTCCACCAGATTGCAGAAACACCGACACACAAACTCCTTTTGAAGCAATGGCTAAAAGAAGAGGAGCTAATCCTAAACAGAGTTGCTCTTAAAGAAACCCAAATTGATTCAGTACGTAAAGAAATAACACAGCTTTATATCTTCTTCTTCCTCTTCCATTCCATTTCCTTGCTTCTTCTCTTCAATGCCTCTTCTAGAGACCCACCTGGAAGTGGGTCCTACTGTAAGAGATCATGGATCCCATCATTGTGTTCTCTTTTGTGTTCTTTGGGGATAATCTGGGCAGTTCGATATAAAACAGATGTAGAATGCCATATGGAGAAGTTGTTGGAGAGAGAGAAAGAAGATGGGAAGTTATTGAGCTGTAGAGATCATGGCATCCCATTTCATTGTGTTCTCTTTGTGTTTCTCTTTGGGAGATAATCTCGGGCAGTCTCGATACTTAAACAGATGTACGAATTGCCATCATGGGAGAAGTGTGTTTTGAGACGAGAGTACACTGGGATAATCTGGGCAGTTCGATATAAAACAGATGTAGAATGCCATATGGAGAAGTTGTTGGAGAGAGAGAAAGAAGATGGGAAGTTATTGGCCAAGTGTGTAGAAGAGTTGAAGAAGAAAGGAATAGAATTTGATCTTTTAAAGGAAGTTGATGCGCTTAGAAGAGCTAAGAGTTTGCGCGTGGAGACGAAGGTGGTAAGGAAATGGTCTGCTAGGGATTTTGTTACTCTGTTTTTCTTTACCGTGTCATGTTTAGTTCTGGGATTGACAAGGATCATTTTGTGCAGTTAGGTTGGGTTATGGGGTTTTGGGATTTTGAATATGATGGCAAAAATTCTTTGTTGCTGCTATTTGTCTTGGGTAGCAACCGATTGTGCAGAATATTCTGTTCTGCTATTGTAATTTGGGGAATTTTATAGTGGAGGAATCATGAAATAAATGTGATTTAGAAGTTTGATGGTATTACATTTGATTTGTATTTCATATTTGCCCGTTTATTGCACAAAAGCAGCAATTGCATGAAGAAAAAAATTATGATTTAACAACTATTTCATTAATACTTTTGGTTTCTTTTGGCTGTTTAGGACTGCGAAAGTTTAATTTTGATGCAAAGTAATAACAACAATAATCTGTGAATTTAAGAAATATCAAGGCCAATAATTTTTTCTAAATTTACTGCAATTAAATGGAAATATTTTTTCCTTTATAGAAGAAAATTAGCCATTTTCTTCTGGAGTATGTATTGGTATTAATTTATTAATCCTGGATTTTTTTTTTTTTTTGAGTGGCTAAAAATTAAACAAAAATTTGATATCCATTTAATTGCATCAGTGAAAAACAATATTAAAAAACAATATTAAAATAGCAAAGCTCACTTCTACAATTAGATGCATGAACATTTAGAAAAGAAGGAAATAGAAAAGAAGGTTTCTTTATCTACCCTCTCCAATGATCTCCGAAAGCCTGGGTTTGGCGGCACTTCTATGTGTATGCTCTGCGTCGGTCACCATGCTTGCACTTGTAGATGAACTGTAATAACTGCTGGGTACTGGTAATCAATTCCTCTGCCTCCATTATCAATCCATAAAGTTTGCTTGTGTCAATCAAATTTCGCAAGTCAGTCAATAATTGTAAAAAATCCAGGTTGGTTAAGTTACCAGAGCTCACCTTCAAATTCACCAGTTAGCATAGGCCAACTAACGCGTGACATTGGTGGCCGAAGATTTGGTGAAGTTTGAAAGTGCACATAAGAGCCTACCCTATTAAGCGTTTTTACTTTCCTCCCTCACTGAATTCTGATATCTAGAGTCTACTAGTTCTGAAGCTTTCACGATTGTTTTTCATGCAGGTTGCCAAGCCTAAAGTCAAAAGGTTACAAGGTTCCCATTAATGGCAACATTCAATAGCAATAGATGTATAAATTATTCAAAAGTTTTATAACTCCTGCTCAATAATTGAAAGGAACAATTTTTTAACTTCCTTCAACAATTTACCACTTATCACAAGAAAAGGAAAAAACTCGTTGTCTTCTTCAGGTCACAGAGAAAAGAGGTAACAAGAAAAAACGAAAGGAAAAAGAAAATTACGAATAATTTTTATCCTGATTCTTAGAAAAGAATAGTAGAAAATACTCGGTCTTTTTTTAATTTTATTTTAAGTGAAAAATTGAAACTTTTCACTTTAATTTGCATCCCAACCTTAATCGATTGTTTTCAACTTTTTGCATAATTAAAATATATGAATGCGCACTAATTCTTCTTAATAGCCTAAGATTGGACATATGGTAAAGGCCAATTGAAAACTTCCAATAAAGGAAAAAGAGTTCCTTCCGAAGGAATGTGTCCCTCTTTATATCTACCCATTTTTCGAGAAGATAAGATCTTATCTTCTTATCCAGGCCTTGAAGTCTGTAATTTAGCCTCCACGTTACCGACTTCCCAGAGCCACCCACACCAAATGCAAAGACGTCAGCCTTTTCTGTAAGGTGTCCACGCATGCTATATTAGGTGGCAAGATACCCACTACAGTAGATGACTGATCGTCCTATAAAAATTACTTGCCGCTCAACGCATTTAATTTTTTTTTTCAAGAAATGATTAATTTGAGATTACATTACGTCAGAAAGAATAATCACTGGATCTTACATTGTTCCTAGCGACACGGGTGCTTATAATGGGTCTTCCTTATCATATAGTTGTTGCCAAACGCAAAATCTGAAATTTTTGGGATGAGCTCAGAACGGGATGAGCTCAGAATCAAGCAGAATATTGCTTGCCTTCACATCTCTATGCACAATCCGAAGCCTCGACTCCTCATGAAGATAAGCTAGACCTCTGGCTACTCCCAAGCATATTTCATAACGTGTAGGCCAGTTGAGATATAAACTTGTTTCTCCTGTAACATACAATCCACGTCTAATTAAACTATATTTCCACCAAGGTCTCTGAGACAAGAGTTTGCTTATGTGAATTTATAATAAAATATCGTACCAAATAGCGCTTGATCAAGAATTTATAATAAAATATCGTACCAAATAGCGCTTGATCAAGACTCTTGTTCTCAAGGTACTCATAAACAAGTAGCCTATTATACCCTTCAATGCAGCACCCATACAATTTCACAAGGTTGCGGTGTTGCACGGCAGATATAGTAGCAATCTCTGTTACAAACTGGCTCTTTCCTTGGTGGGATGCCACAGAAAGTTGCTTCACAGCAATCACTCTCCCATCATTAAGTACTCCCTATTTGAGAACAAAATTCAGATAAGGACAAGAAGAAAAAAAAAAAAAGGAAGACACACCCTGAACTTAAAAAAAATGAAAAATACAACTCTTTTAGATTCTCAATCCAATCGGGACAGAAGATGCAAGTTCTGTGTGGAGTGAGTTTAGAAAATAAGCATCTGCATATTTTATATTTCCTGCAAGTTAGACAGCTCAACCATGAAGGAAGGCATCCCAGTGCACAAGGCGTCATGCATTGAGTCAAATGCATGCAGCCATCCCCTAGCATTGTGAGGCTATTCATATAGTTTGAGCCCATGACAAGTAACCATCAAGGCTCAACCTCAGAACGCCCAGCTATACAAGTGACAAAAAAGAACATGTGGTCAGAAGATCTGGAGGACCAAAATTAACATATATCCGATACTTTGTTTACAGTTGACCGAAGGAAGCATGTTCATAGTCTAGTTAATAACTAGCATGTTCATAGTCTAGTTAATAACTGGCCTCAATTTATTCCAAACGATTGCACACAGAAGAAATATTAGATGGAAATGAAAGACTATCAGTTTGAAATATCCTTGAGTCAAATAGTTGCAGACCTTATACACAGGTCCAAATCCTCCCTCTCCAAGCTTATTGGCAGGGCTGAAGTCTTCTGTAGCTGTCTTCAGTTCAGTGTAACTGAAAGTGTATGGCCTAGCACCTATACCTAGGAGCTCTGCAATTTCAACACGAAGATGGGTCATTCGATAAACTACTTGTCTAGTTGTTACTGTAATATATTAAGCAGAAAGACTCCAGTAAATCTCACTGTGGAATAGGGAAAGTCAGTAAATCTTCATTTTGTGTTTGACATAATATGTTACATAAATGTTAATTAATACCAATAAAAAGCTAAAATCATGTCTGGCCAATAGCATCTCTTGATACATACATGAAGACTACACAATTTTCCAGATGGGTAGTACCATATATGGAGTTTGATTTTCATTTACCTTCATCATCATAAGTGCTTTGCCTTTTTCTTCTTTGAATGACAAAGAAAACCAGAGAGACAAGAAGAAAGCTTGCTACTCCAATGCCGAGAGACAAGAAGAAAGCTTGCTACTCCAATGCCAACAACAATTCCCACAATAAGACCAGTCCTATCCTTTTTACTAGTTGGAGGCTTGTTACTAACAGTTGGTATGAAATCTGCATAAAGGCTCAGAACTCAATAACCTGGTATCGGCTTAGCAAAAATCAATAAAATTCTCTAGTTTTAGTACCTGGGGTAGCAATGATTGCTGAAATAGAAGGTCCATATGTACCCGGAGAAGGAATGCAGCAAGTCCCTTTCCCCGCCCAAAATAAATGGATGTCAAGGTAATTTTCAGACACCTGAGCCTTGTAGCTCCTTTCTACAGCTCGTTTAGAGACTCCACCTGCCTCCTTTCTTATGTCAAAATCCTTTAGCACACGATTGCCCTGGATTAAAATAACTTCGGAACTTCAATTAAAGAAAAGTAAAAATATAATGACTCCACAAGAAAACAAGAGTTGGATTTCTCCATAGCATTGATAATCAGCATCACTAAAAGAGTTTTCAATTTAATTGTGAAAGATAAATCCTTCTGGAAGCAATCATGCAGCAATTTTTCATAGCTATTCTCCACATTCATGTTATTTAAAAGAAATCCCCAGAGCAATACTTAGAATTAATATTAAAAAAAAAAAATTAGAAGTCTATTGCAATATTATCTTCCATTTGGAGGACAACATTAGAAGTCTTAAAAAAATTCATATATAATACACAGACCTGGACATAAACATCAAAAACACGCCGCCCAAGACTCCTCCATGTGTTACCATCCTCAATTACTATTTCTGCAAACTGAAGGTTGATAGTGTAATTGCCATTCTCAAGCCCCAAACCATAGTATCTTAGTGACGAAGCAGAAACCCTTGCCGTTTGGAATAACTCAGGGTCCAAAGTATTTGTGGATTGCGATGATGAGGAAGCAGTATACTGAGGATTTTTGGTTCCGGTAAAATATCCAACATTACTGACACCCCATCGGTTTGTACCAGTAACATAAGATGTTGCAGCACCAAGAGTCTCATTTTCCCCCTCATACAAGATTCCATCGGAAGACGTGATCGGTGGACCACCACTCTTTATTGCAAACTGAGAATCTGTGCACCAGAAGAAAATAGGAACCTGTCAGATTTATCCTCTCACTGTTATATTGGGACATCTTTTTAACCCCATGAAAACAAAACTTTCTTTAGTGATAAACTCATGGTTATACTTTCTTTAGCAAAAACCAGGAGATTAAAAAATTTCATGGTATAAACTCATGGTTATACTTTCTTTAGCAAAAACCAGGAGATTAAAAAATTTCATGGTTATACTTTCTGCCAAATTAAGAATGGTAAAAGTTTACAGTTTGAAATGACATTATTCTTAAGTAAATTAACCTTCCCTTCTTCTGTGACCCTCACTACCAAACTTAGTGCACTATTTCAGAAAAGTATGAAAAAGGAGAGCATTTTAATTATACTTACAGATTGGAGGTTCCCTATTGCAAGGAAAGTTACATTGAAGACATTTCAGACCTGATGGCAAACCACTGAAAGCCAAAGATAAATTTGATTAAGTGACTAATAGGAAATTATAACAGACACTAAGTACCAGTTATTTAAGCACAAAGGTGAACATAGAACCAAAAGAATTACCCGCTATTTGAAAGATCTATTGTGAAGTTGTTTGCAACTAAATTACTGCACAAACACCACAAAGAATTAAAGATTTCAGTGGAAGTTCTTTCATCAATAACTCCATAGAGAATGAGTCAGAAATATCACTAAGAAAAGTAAAGAACAGAGGAACTAAGAACTTACACTTGTAAATTTAACAGAGGAACTAAGAAGCTTACACGTTGTAATCTTCGATTATTAACCCAGGAAGGAAGGCTCCCTGATAAATTATTGTATGAAACATCACTGTAATTATAAATTGTCAAAGAAAAAAAAGATAAGTATTTCACCCAATTCATGGAATACCTTAGTCCGGAATTAGTTATGTCAATATTAACTATCTGGACTTGGGACATAGAGAAAAACATTAAGCATTTAATCCAACCAGGAAATAAACAGATAGTATATGATATTGGATAGAATGTTTGAGATGAACATACACATTTCGGAGCGATGAAACTTTTTGTGCAGGAAGGGGACCTTCTAACTTGTTATTTCCAAGAAACCTGAGGAGGAAGGGAGCAGTACATGTTCAAGTTGAAACGCACTTTGAGATGTATCATGACAAAATCAAGCAGAGATGGTATATTACAAGAAAGAGAGCCGGCTCAAATTGAAAAGTGAATCCGGTATCCTTCCAATTATATTGTTGAAGCTCCAATCTCTAAGGAAAAAAATCATTGCAACCATAAAGTTAAAGATAAACAAAATTGCTGAACAAGTTATACATAGTACAGAAAAAGAGAACAGATTGATCATGGTACAGGAGATTCAGAATTTAACCCAGACACCAGACCATTACTCCATCCCAAAGAGGGTAACTTATTTGCAGTTACTTTAGAGTGATCAATTGCCTAATCAGAAAAGCACAACCAATCTGCTAAATTTGATCACTAAACTTTAGCAATTTATAAATTTTGTAACACCCAACTCCAAAAAGTGATACAACCAAATCAACAATCAGCTAATAAACTTTAGCAATTTATAAATTTTGTAACGCCCAACTCCAAAAAGTGATGCAACCAAATCAACAATCAGCTAATGAGTAAAAAGATATTTTAGCCAACCTGAGTTTAACATAAGATATTGCCAACTACATGTACATCTAATGACTCATCAATAGAAATAACTTACAAATGTGTCAAATCCTGGTATTCTCCAATACTGGATGGAATTGAATCAGATATATTATCATTCCTTAGCACCCTGAATAACATATACTGAATTGTCATTTTAACTTTTAAAAGTTAGTTCAGTGGGGAGAAAAAATAATGATTTATATGACACCAAGACATTGAATAAGAAGATAGTATTATATTCTCTTACAAGACAGTTAGAGATTTCATATCCTTAAGAAATGCCAGTGAAGAGCTTCCATTTGATAAATCACTTATTCTCCTACATTTAGAATTTACCTTAGGTTGTTAATATCATATGTGTGTAACATTTAAATACAAGCATGCAAAGGTGCAGGTACTCACAGCTCTTTCAAAGAAGTTAGGTTGGATAATGCTGATGGAATAGGACCTTCAAAGGAGTTCCCTTGAAACGTTCTGCAGTTACATTTATGAGTAGCTGATATAAGCATACGGCTTTGGCATTTTGGCATTTAAGCAGCAACACAAAATTAACTATCAAATCTCCTCTATTCAATTTCCAAAAAGTAGTAGTCACTTGAGCTTTAATCCAAGAAAATTAATAAAAAAAATTTGATGAATTGTCATTTGTCATACAGGGACGCAAGCTTTGACCAATTCCCTATGAAGTCAAGTATCCTGCCTGTAAGTTCATTGTCTGGTGCCCACCTGGGTCCAACACAAAGAATCAACATACCATATTTTATCAGTATCTTCTAGAAAGAGATTTACCAGGGTCAAAGTTGTCAAACAGTTCTTACACAGTAACCATGTTTCGTAGGTTAGCAAATGTAGGAGGAATTTCACCACTAAGTCCAGAGCTACCAAAATAACTGTCAAGGTAAAATATTTTTATTAGCTGTGTTGTTATCAGATAACTTTTTCATTTGAAAATGCAAAAGTCAAATTATTTATAGATAGTGAGGGAAGTATTTATAGATAGTGAGGGAAGAACTGAAAGACAGTTAACATGCGAGTAGGAACGTAGGTAAGCCAAAATGGCATAATCACTGTCATTGAATTCATTTCAATATATGAATGTAGGAGTGATATAGATTTCCAAAAACCACTTCTACTAAATACAAACTAACAAGAAATGAAGATTATATACTTAAAACAGAACAAAATGAACAACGCTTACATTTCTTCTAGCCTCGAACAATTCCCAAGCTCAGATGGCAGAGGACCAGAGAAGTTGTTTGATCCAAAAACACTGCAATATAATGAGAAAAGTCAACAGAGAAAGAGTCTTATTTAAGATAATCTATCCGAGTACCCATCGCATATAACTATATAAAAAGCAAGCAATTTGTAGAACAGGCTATATCCTTGGGCAATAATTAGATCGCTATTTATGTAGAAACACTTAGCCAAAAGCATTACGCTAATAATCATATTGAAAAGAAAAAAAAAATAAAAAAATAGATCGCTGTCCTCATCAGTTGAATAACAAACTCATCAAGTTCCCAGCTAACTAAACTTACAGTGATCGTAAATCAGTGAGCAATCCAAGTTCCTTAGGAAGTTCACCCGACAGGGAGTTAATGCCAACGCTCCTGATCAGACAGGGAGTTAATGCCAACGCTCCTGATCAAAGTATTAATTTAACGTCAGAAAACAAGAAGCAGTATATAATGGCATTTCCTATGAGTAAAAGTAGAGAAATTTAGATCAGCTTACAGGTATTGCATGCGAGTTAAATTGCCAATGGATGGAGAGAGGTTACCAGTCAAGTAATTCCGACGCAAATTCCTGTAAGGCAAGAAAACGAGTTCGAAAACGAGTTCAGTACACTAGCGGGTTGACGAGGGTCGAAAAGTAACAAAGCATATGCATTTATTTGGTTAAGGCTTAGGATGCTAAAAGCTTAAACTTTCATTCCATGTGAAAGAAGAAAGCAATACGGAAGTGTACGACTTTAATAAATATACCCAGCAGTAAGAAACCATACAAATTGGTGAGGAAAGTCAAAGTCCACAGTTCATCTGGAATTACACCCACAACATCTCTTTCATAAACTTTCCTGCAAACCATTTCAAGAATGAGCGAAGATTAATTATAACACTTTATAACACTAAAATCAAGCCGTTCACTACCGAGTGAGGCATAAAATCAAACAGATATGATACCTCCGCAAAGGAAAATGTTAAAAGACCAACAAAATAAACATAAAAGGTTGATTGTGAGAAAACGTACAGCGCAGTAATGTGGCAAGTGGTGCCATTATTGGCAGAGCAATTGCATTTGATAAAAGGGTTGTATTCCGGGATTTCGATAGCGGGTGATGAACCGAGTGCTGCTCCACTGCATAGCTCTCCGCTTATATTCCATTGGTTTTGATTAGCTTGGATTCCCCATTGCTGAAAGATGGAATTTAATGCGCTCGCTGCAATATACTCGCTGCAATATATCAATTTTACAAAACTCATGATCATGTCAAAGTGAATTCATTACAATTTACAGGCGATTCCATTTTCGTTTCTATTATGACTTCGAAAATTAACCGAAGAAGCCAGTTGGTTGGTCTTCTCACCAGTGGAGGTATTGATTTCGAGTTTTCTGACAAGAATTTTCACAATTTGATGAAAATTAACCACACTATAAAATTCATGAATTTGCATTCATCAGATTAAAATCATTTTTTAATTCAAATTTGGATACTTAAATTTTTAAAAGAAAAAACAGTTTTGAATTATTCAATTACAGTATCATACGCAGCGATTTATTTTTTTGACTATGCCGTAAATCGTAATAACTACCGCCACTTGCGAATAATAGCAATTTTTGCCTACATTTTTATTGGTGTTCTAGTTGCCAGACATTTTTAATTTTTCAAAAAGTCAAAATTTAAAAAATTCAAAAGATTATTATATCTTTTGACTTGTAAAAAATTAATAGTACTATTTATTAGAAAAAGTCATGATCAGGCACTACCTGATAGTAATATGTAAATGACAAATTTAACCTATTACTATCCTTTTAGATAATAATTATAATAACAAAATTTCTAAATTTATTAATTACATCGATGAAAAGAACAATTATTTAGTAGACCTGCATTTACTATCCTTTTTCCAGCGTATATATAGATTTAGGAAAAACAATATTTCTAAATTTATTAATTACTCGCACTACCTGATAGTAATATGTAAATGACAAATTTAACCTATTACTATCCTTTTAGATAATAATTATAATAACAAAATTTCTAAATTTATTAATTACATCGATGAAAAAAATATGCGGTGGAGGAGGAGAGAATACGAACGTAGCTTGTCAGTTCATGAAACATATTTTTAAAATTTTTTTATTTCAATTCTTAATTTTATTAAGTCTCTAAAATAACATATAATTTTTAAAAAAAAATGATCATGTTCAATAAAAATTTCGTGTTGAAACATCAATTATCAAAATAAGTTGTTCCTCTCTACTCTAATATTCATTTATTGATTTCCTCACGTTTCTTTCTTTTTTTTATAATTTTATTTTTAGAATATGAAGAAATTGTTATAATGAAAATTTTCAGATTTTTTAAAAATTTATACTATAATAAATTTTTTTTTAAAATGAAAAAAAAAGAGGGATGGATTTTTTTTTAAAATGACAAAAAAGAGCGGATGGGAGATCATAGTGAATAATAATATATAATTATATTCGCTCACTTAAGTTATATGGAGTATAGTAGCGGTGGGCTTTTTTCGCCTTTATGATATCATTTTCTCTATGCATACATTTATTGTAAAAAAGAACGAAAAGACCACGTCATTGCAACCTATCATCTTCATGAACAACAAAGAAGTTTATAATATATTACAGGGGTATATATAGAGGATAGTAAGAGCTGTTGTTATAGATGGAGCTTGCGTACCCCTCTCAGTATCATAAACGATATCTGTTAGTAAGCTTTAAGATGTTTTTTGAATTCGTGTCCCTGTGCATTCCGAGAACATAGTGCATCCGATCATGAAATACAAGGTATAGAACCAATACCGCACAAGATCTTAGAACGGTGGTATTAATGTTTGAAGGTCCTAAACATGGGATATACTGATTTACAGGATCGTTGGGTCGCTTGTATTCCAAGAATTTGGCTTGATTAGCAGAAACACGTAAAGAGGTTTTTTTCTTAACATCAGAAAAGAACCGGTCTTTTGTGCAGAGAAATTCCGGAGGAATATATGTAATAAAGCTGGGAATTTAGTATTTTTTTGTATTTATTATATTATTCTGAGTATATTTTATATGCTAGAATAGATGGTAAGGATGAGCTTCCTAGAAGAGAACAACGCGCTGTCGTCTCAGAGAGAACAACGCGCTGTCGTTGACCGTGGCAGATAACCGAACCTTAAAGTCTATTGGGGAATTGACAGCGGCCACTGGGACTTACGAATTGAGAAAAGTCCACCAGCTGCGATTTGTCAACTTCAGCAAGTGTAAGAAAAGCATTCCGCAAGATGATTGGTGGCGAGTGCGCACACCAAGTCCAGTATATATTTTTTTTTATCTTCAACTTTCTATTATTCAAGAATAATAACTTCATTTAGATGATAATACAATGATTTGGAATAATTAAGTTAAATCTCAAATAATGCAATGCTCATAATTATCTTTGTTTGAACATGTTAAATTTTTTTGATATATTAATAAAATAAATTGAATTTGCTCATAAAAAATACTTATTATCTTTATAAAAATTACAAAATATTTATGATCAACCCACCGATATATGTAAATAATTTAATCAAAATCTATAATTAATTAAAAGTTTACAAGTTGATTGTGAAAGCATGTAATGAGATTGAGAATAGCAAAGGTGAAGAAAATGTAATTAAATGTGTGTTTAAATTAATAAGCTAAGTTATTAAAAAAATGACAAAAACAAGGTTTTAGCTGAATGTAATTTAACATGTTGTGCGTTTCTTTGGGATTTAAATTTTTAAATTAAGCTAGTTAAAGTGAAGAAAATGTAATTAAATGTGTGTTTAAATTAATAAGCTAAGTTATTAAAAAAATGACAAAAACAAGGTTTTAGCAACTTTTAATAGACACCTCAACTTTTGTCGGCTACAAATACAATATCCGCAAGGGAAAAATATCAACGTTTATTAATATAAATGTCAACCTCAAAAAAAAAAAATCAAAATAAGCAATAAATAGGATTAGGATATGTTTTCAAAAAAACAAAAAAGGAGATGACTGCTTCTAAACTTTTTGGTTGGATGCCAGAGAGACGCCGTCAAATAAAACTCCGAAAAATGTACCGTTTTACAATTCCTTAGCGTTCGGTATTGAATTTTTTATTCCTTCCGACGTTAAATTATGAAATAATTATTTAAAAAAAAATTTAATAATATTATAAGCTACACAATAAAAATATTTTTTTCGTTTATATAATCTAGAGAATTAGAATTTAAAAATTGTCATTAAATTCTGAAAATCTAAACAGATTATACAGATTTTCAATTGAATTACGATTAATTAGGGGAAAAGAAAAAAAGCTTTGACTATATCGTTTCCCTAAGATAAATATTTAGTAATAGGTTTTTTTTTTTTTTTTTTTTTTCACTAGTATCGTTTCCTGCTATCAGATATATACTATTTTTATATGTTTAATATTGTTTTTGTTTTTGTTTTTTTTTTCTTTTTATTTTTTTTTGAAAGAGTAAAACTCATTCGGATTTCATTCTTGATCATTAAATCAGCTCAGGGGAAACGAAACAATGGTTCGTTTTGAGGAATATTAATGTCAAGAGTACGTAGATTAACCTGCAGGAAAGCGGAATAAAAGGCTCGAGTTAGGAACTATGGCCGCCTTTTTAGTTCGCTTGCCCTACGAATCCATCCTACCGACCGAGGGAGACCAAGAATTGGGAGTTGCTAAAAAATAGGAGTTTTTACAATCATAAAATAATACTCCACATCCGATCTGATAAAAAAAGAGCTCAAAGCAAAAAATAAAACCTGTGAGTCTATGAAAATAGTACCCATTACTTTGCGCATCCTCCATGCTCGAATACATTAATTCTTGCTTGAGAAATAATAAAAAAATCCGTATACTTGAAGAGTTCTAGAGCCTCCGAATAAAAGAGTTGTAGACTCACCTGTAACGTGCTGAACTGCTCCGAACTATTAGTGCCTCTTCCTCTAGTACCCCATCACCGGTTTGGCTGCCATAATCCTTGCATGCCTTCTTGCTCAAAATAGAACCATCTCACAAAATAGCCCTCTGTCCATCCGTATTAAGTTCTCCACTGTTGCTAAGATGTTCCAGGGTGGAATTATGGTTGCCATGAGTTTTCCGCTGCTGCTGGTTTTAGACTTGTATTTTGACGGATGCACTAGCCGATTGCCCTATGTGCGCCCAACTTTTGTATGTTCCCAGCTAATATGTATTCCTTTTGCCTTCAGAATGTAGTGTAGCACATGTCCCTCTTATACTGTTTCAAAGAGCATTATTTCTTGCCCATCCTTATTCTAAGCATACACCAAAAAAACTTTTTGGGATTTTGTTTCACCATTAACAAGTACCCTTGCAAAAGAAGTTAGTAAGAAATATTACCATCACCAACTTCATACCCTCACTTGCCTCAAACTCCCTTAAGCCCTTACTACATGACACTATGCATTGTTAATATCCTCTTTCCTCCCCACATCAAAGGAACACCCAATATCAATCTCCACCCCTCTCCTTTTTCAATCTTCTCCTTCGTAGGCAACACATTCCTGTAGAGTCCTCCACGAAACTAAATCTTTGGTCTTTAGGGGAAGCATCTAAACCCCACAATCTTACCCACCATCCACCTTCTACCTTCATGCATCCTCTCCCTCAATAACCTCCTTGAGTATATCCCGCTAAACGCTAATAAATGCCTTTTTTATCCCAATGCCTTTGGTCCCTATTAGCGTTAATACTAATAGGAATCCCTAATATAGCTCTAAACTCTCTCAAGCTAAAAAGAGTCATCACCTTCCCCACATCCCATCTCCCTTTCCCCTCCACAAAAAGCTCCCTCACTTTCATATTAGGATCAACAAAGTCCCTACTATCCTCCACCCAAAAACTATAATCCAAAGGCATCCATGGATGTGATAATACACCGATAGTTTCCGCATTCCCTACTCTCCATCGTACCCCCCTATTTTAATACCCCAATAGCAGCATGAATACTCCTCCACACATAACTAGGACGCCTACCAAGAGGAGCATCCAAAAAATCCTTATTATGGAAATATTTGGCTTTGAAAAGTTTAGAAAAAAGAGTATCGGGCTCCGTCATAAGACGCCACCCTTGCTTCGCTAGCATGGCCATATTACAAAAAAGAGTATCGGGCTCCGTCATAAGACGCCACCCTTGCTTCGCTAGCATGGCCATATTAAAACAATGAAGATCCCTAAAACCCATACCACCTTCCCTTTTACTACAACACATCCTCTCCCACGCTAACCAATGAATCCCTCTACGCCCTTCTTCCTTCTAACCCCACCAATACTTGTTCATCCTTTTTTGCAGCGCTTCATATGTAGAAAGAGGTATTTTAAACACACTCATACAGTAAGAAGGAATAGCTTGCACAATCGACTTAATTAATATCTCCTTTCCGGCTCTAGAGAGGAATCTGTTAGACCAATTGCCAA